TTTCTTGTTGATTTTTGCAAGTATATATTCACTTGCGGCTAATTAATATCTGATTTTAATTCAGTTTGAAACAATTTAGAAAAAGAAGAAGAAGAAAATTAAATGTTGATTGTTTACCTTTAGGTTTTTTCGCAATTTCGGCTTTTTGATGATCACAATTAACTATTCTGTTGATCATTATCGATATATTTGAAACAATCAACTAATTTAATCATTGACATTTATTGTCTATCGATGATTAACTTTAATGATGATAAGAAGCTCATTTAATTGAGTTATTGTTATGACTTTAATATGAATTAAATGATTATTACAATTGGTTTGGTTGATTGATTGATAAATTACTCTCTCTCTCTCTCTCTCTCTCTCTGAATTATTAACACTTAATGTTGACAATTAAATAACTTGTTGATCATCCTCATGTAATTAAGATTATAATGAACCTAAAAATGATTATGATGATGGTGATTAATGATAATTAGTGTCTCTTTTAATTTTTCATTTTCACTAATTAATCAAGCTGATCAATAAATTGTTACAATTGTTAAGGTTAAATAGGAGATGGAAGATTAATTTAGAAACAAAGAAACAATAACAATTAACTTTCACTGTTTAATTGTTACCCTATTCATGATTAGATTATTGATTCACTCTGTTGATTGGAAGTTTATTTTTTGTTTCAACTAATTAATATTAACTCATGTGAATTAAACCAATTAACTAATTACTTTGAATGATTGAATGAAAATTGAGAAACTTGATTTGAAAAGAGAGAAGAAAAAAAAAATTCAAAGATTTATGATTAACTTGATTCAGTTGATTAAATCAAATGATTTGAGTTAATTGTCAACGCAACATTTAATCAAGATGAATATGAATAAAACTTTTATCATGATTAACTGATTATCGAGATAATTAGATTCCTAATTAGGAATGATTTGAATTTTCATAGAGGTGAATTAGTGACAATTTAAATTGTGATTTAATCGTTTCCTAGTTAATTGTTGATTCTTAGTTTTTTTTTCACTCTCTTTCTCTCTTTGATAATCAGTAATTAATTTAATCCAAGGTCACTAATTAAAAATGATCATCAAATTGCCTGCGGGCACAAAAATAACGGTAAAAATAAGATCCCAATGAATTACCATTTAATTGTTAACAATTTGATTATCATGGTTGATGATGAAATTAAATTGGTTATTCACAAAGTCAATAATTGATTAGCTACCAGGTAAAAATCAATTGATTGTCAAGTTGATTATGATGATGATGTCACAATCAATTAATTGCTTCCTACAGTTCAATCAATTGATTTATCAGCTGTTGCAGGTTAAATTAATTGTTGATCAAAGTTAATAATTACTATTAAATTGTGAGTAAACTAATTACAATTTAATTGATGATACATTATGATTCATTTATTGAATGAAACAATTTGATTGATCAAACTAATTGTTTCTCAATAATCAAAGTTCTAGCAATCAATTTAATTGGTGAATTAGATGAAAATAAAATCGTAAAAGTAATTATAATGATAATCATACAAATCGCAAGAAAAACAAAGCAAAACAATTAAGATGATTAATCTGAATTGGTTGATGATCCATGAATTAGATTAACATACATAATTAACATGTTAACTAATTGTAAAAAGAAACAAACCCAAATTAATTGTAAATGATTGAAACTAACAATCAAAATGAGGGTTGATTAGGAAAAATGAAACATCAAAATTGATTAGAATCATTAAAAAGTAACAAGATAATTGTTCACAATCAAAGGTTAATCATGATGATTACAATTAATTTAGCCACATCCTTTTAGTATTGTAAATGTAATATTAAATCATGAATGATTATCATGAAATTAACGGGATAGTTGTTCATACATTTTGGTATCTAATTAATTAATTAACAACAACAAACAAAACATTACACCAACAATTTAAAAGTAAAACAACAACAATAAAAGTTTAACGTAAACAATTTAATATATGTAATCGAGAGTTAATTGTGATTAACATTTTCTGTTTAGTATATTAAATTGTTACCTTATTAATGATTGAATCCCAACCTTTAATTACTATGAAAATTTTATCTTCTTCTTAAAAAATTGATTACATTCAATATATCATTTCCAATGAACACCAACAATTTAAGGGCTTGAAGGGACTCTCACAATGAGTAAACCTTATGGGTTATGATTATGATTACTGGGAGTGAGAAGCCGGTTCATCGGAGAGAGAGAGAGAGAGAGAGAGAGAGAGAGAGAGAGAGAGAGAGAGAGATGGTGATGATGAGGGAGAAAGTAAATAGGCACGAGCAAGCGAGGCTTGGCCTCAATTGTTTCAACCTCAAGGGCTGATATTTATTGATAGCCTAATTATAAGAGATGCTCTGGGAGCATCATCATCATCTTTTTCTCTTCTTCTCAATCATCATCATCATCTTTACCTGAGAGCACCTAGGAAATAAAAAGAAAGAGGAAAAGGTAAGATGAGGAAAAAAGTGAAAGATAATATTCTCTTAAGGTACTCTTATCTTCGTTAACCATTTAATGTTCAACGATCGTGAGTCAAACCATGATGATAATGAACAAGAAGATGATCATCATATGGATTTCTTTCTCTCTCTCTCTCTCATCATTATCATCTTTCTTTCTACAAAAAAAAAGAGAAAAGCCTCAAGTCGATAGAAAGAAAAAAATAAGATTTTTAAGTAAACTCGTATTCTTTTAAGTTGAATTACGTGCTTACTTGTAACGTCTTTTTTTAACCTGTTTTAAAAGGCCACAAGATGATTAAGATGATGATGATAAAAGATGATGATCGAAAGTCCCTCCTTCCTCTTACTTTTTCTCTTTCTTTTCTTGTCTCTTTAAATTTTAGCGTTGTTGTTGATTGTTGTTCCATCCTCATCTCTTTGGACTTTTAAATGACCTAGAAGAAGAAAATTTAAAAAGACCTTTGTAAAGAAAGAAAGAAAGAAAAGAAAGAGATGATAATTTCAAGGAAGAAGAACCCAGAGAAAAAGGCCTAAAATCGTCCTTCACCTCGACTAGAATCTAGTTTGACCTTCTTACTATTTTTACTTTCTCTCTCTCTCTCTCATCTTCATCTTCCTTGTAAAAAAAAAGGTAAAGGTCGTGATGATAAACATGTAAACACACATTAGGGAGGCTTCTTGATACTCACAACGGGATAGAAGCCGAGGTTTAGGTCAACATTTAACATAACTGGTTAGCGAAGTTGAAACTCGTACAATAATAAAGTGTATTGGTTAACTGTGAGAAAATCAGGTTCGTAAGGAAAAAAGAATATTACAACAAGAAGATGAAGAAAAGAAAGAGATGATAAAGAAGATGATTACTTTCTTTTTTTTTTACTTTCTTTTCTTCTTTCAAATAATCTTTTCATCTTCATCTTTTCTTTCATCATCTTTTACCTTTACTTCTGGTTTACAATCCAATACAAAGTAATAACCTTTTTTTACCTTTACAATTCAATGGAAATCAAATGTTCATCATCTCTATGTAAATATTAATGTTAATACTTTTGGAAACTTTTTTATCCTTTCATCAAATAGTCCATGTGTATAAATACATTGGGATTTTGTTTCTCTCTCTCATTTACTATTAGAGTGAGAATCATTGATGATCAATTAGTTGCTGTATTGCAATTGATTAACCACCAGTTACTTATTAGAGATGTTGAATGTTGTTAATTGTTGTTGAGAAAATTAAACTGCAACAATTAACTGTAACTCAAGAAAAGTTATTGCAATTTAATTTCTGCACAAATAACAATTTACTAGTTAAAAGGATTTACAATTAATCATAATAATTAACAAAAGATGATGATGCAAATGGTTTCATCATTGCAATTCAAACATCAAGTTAAACCTTTCAGTTTGGTTGATGTTGTTGATATTTTTGCACAGAAGCATCAAAGATGATTAGGAAAAGGATGAAGATGAAGATGAAGATGAAGATAATGATGATGATGATAAAAAACAAGGTTTTAAATTAAGCAAACTAATTTATTTTCGTGTCAACAAAGCATTAAGCTCATCCCTTCATCCTCATCATCATCATCATCCCAACACAAATACAAAATAATAATCATTAGAATCCACTTGAGGATCTTCATCATCTTAGGTTTCATCATCTTAATTTTATCTTCCTCATCATCTCCTCCCTTTTTGGTATCACCATCATCATCATCATCATCACCATGATAATGATGACAAAGTATTAAGTACAGTTGGTTGATAAAAAAAAATATCAACCACTCAAATCACTTGTGTGTCTTTCAATCAACATAATCAAGTAATGGATATCTTAATCATCTGCAATCTAATTGATTGTGAATGCAAATCATTTAAAAAAAAAAAGAGAGACTCTATTCACATTGTAACAATCAGATTGAAGCAACAATCAATTTACAATCACAAATTAATTGCTAATTTGAAAACTCAACAAACACATTGACTTGGAAATACTAAACAACAACAACAAGAAGAAATCATTTCAATAAAGTTAATTTAGTGTCTCAATGATTAACAATTGAACAAATTGTTAAAATTCATCCCACACTTTAATTATTATAAATCATTATTAAAATGTTGATTCTCTTGATTCCTTTTTGATTAAATTAAAAATAAACGAATCGACCTTAAATTAACTAATCAACTAATATGTTGTTATCCTCGTTTCTCATCCCATTTGCTCAACAACAATATAAAGACCAACATCCTACATAATCATCATCATAATCATGATAACAAAATTTAATCATAATCATAATGATTACAGGTAACAATCAACAGACAATAGTTAATGATTATAATAATTTTCATGCTCATGATAAATAATGAGAAATTATTACCAACAAATTGATTTCTGTTCACAATTAAATGGTCAGGTTGATATTTAATTCAATTGTAAACTTCCCACTTGTTTTGATGGAGAGAAAGAGCAAAAAAATAAAGTTAATTTTTAGATTGTTGTGTCAATTAGAATCAACAATTTATTAATTCAATTCAATTTCATCGTTTTAATGATCAACAACAGCAGAAGAAAAAGAAAACTTAATCAACTTGTTGGATTTTGTTGTGCATTTGCAATGGTAACTTGTTGATCGACACAAAATATAATAACCATTGAGTGTTGTTGATTGTTAATCATTTTTTTCGTATTAATATTTCACTTCCTTTTTACCAATTCTATTATATTATTTACCTGGATAAATTATATTTCTCATTCTCATGTTGAATTATATTATATTGAAACAGTTTACCAGTTTTCCATCACAATTGTAATGAAAGTCCTTTTAGATTTGACCAGCAACCGAAACATGAAAAATTGAGTAAAAAAAAAATATACCAAATTGTAGATGAAAATGTTTCTATCATGTTGATGATTCTGTTGATTCTGATGATTCTGATGATGATGGTTAATTGTATCTGCCTCATTCTCTGGTGAACCGTTCAACTGGTTATATCACGCAATCAAATGCTAACATTTACAGTGAGTTGAAATGAGCATTGAGAGAGAGAGAGAGAGATGATGAAGAAGACATTAAAAATTTTCAATTGTATTTGATTATCTTCATCATTATCATCATTGATCATGATGATTACTTTTCTTCCTCTATTCTTTTTATCAATGAAACATTGTAATTGTTAGTTAACTGACTTTATATTGTAAGTTGATCATCATCCGTTTACTGTTGTTGGATGGGAAGGGTGTGTAAACAGTTGGTCAGTGATCAAGTTAATTGTAATGATAATGATGATGATAAGGAGGAAGAGTAATTCAAAAAGTTATTATTATTATTATTACAATTGATGATAAATGTTAATCACGGTGCTATAATGTTTAACTTGCACATCGATTTGGTTCAATGTTGTGTAAGAGTGTCAGTGAGTGTGTGTGTTGATGTTTTTACGAGTTTATTTGTAATTATCTTAAACTTTACTTTTTTTTGCCATTCGGGTTGAAATTGGTGTCAAGTGATCAGGTGAGCTCACAGCTTTAAGATGATGATTATAATCATCATCATCATTGTATAGATGATTTGGACTGAATTAACTTACTCGTACCTGTAATATGCACACATACAATTAAGACACATTCGGGTCCCGGGAAAAAAAGTCAAGTTAATTTGAGTAAGTGTTTTTCTTGGTTCCTCCAACAATTTATAATGTTACCAAATCTTCAGATGATGAAAAAAAAGGTATTGCTGTGTGAGACCCAATGAATGGTGATTTCAGGTGAAGGTAAAAAAAGTGTGGTTAAGAAAAAAAAGATTTACTGGTTACGCAGGTTACATATATAAATTTAAAGGGAGAGAGAAAGAGAGAGAGAGAGAGAGAGCGATGATGATGATAATGAAGAAAGAAAGTGAGAAAAGGTCAAGGAAGATGAGCTATTAGGGAGAGAGAGAGAGATGAAGACAAACCTGAGATTCTAGTTGAATGATATTCATTTGAAATATTAACTTCTAAATGTATTCAACTTTTTTTCTTGTACTTCTTTCATCATCTCCCTCTGCCTCTCCCTCTCTCTCCCTCTTTCTTTCTTGCTTATCATCATCTTTGAGGTTTCTTGCTAGTATATTAGGTGACAAATCATTAGTATCTTTCACTTAATAAGCTGTATCATCATTATCATCCTTCCAAGTGAAAATAAGATGATTTCTTTATCTGTCTCTCTCTTTCTACCTTTACTTTTTCATCTAATGTTATTATCTTGACTTTTGATCATTTTTGATTAACTCACACAATATAATAACTGTCCACCATCTTGATTGTCCACTGGGTGTATATTATACCTTTAGAGAAAGAGGATGACAAAAGAATATGAAGGAAAAAAAAAGTGAGATCAATATACAATTGAATCTTTGGAATTGATTATTTGCAATTGATTTGAAATTGAAAAAGAGAAGAGAAAATAAAATTAAAATTCAAGAAATCGATTCTCACTTTGATTGTTGTTAATGTTGCCAGTTCGATGGTGAATAAGAAGGGAAAAAAACTCCAATAAAAAACTTTCGTATCTTTTCAATGTTATCAATTTATCCTCTTCTTCTTACTCCTTATAACTATTACCTGAATATCCAATAATCCGATGTTAATCCTTAGAGGAAACTAAGAAATATCAACAACTTTAGAATTGAAAATCAGGTTTAAGTTTAACCCTCATCACCATAATATGAACTCCGTGAGTTTTAAGGGTGGATATTGAATCCTCTTTGTTTGGTGTTGCCTTTTTCACACCAGCATCTTGATTGTCTTCAATTGATTGTTCATTCCTGATATGTACTGATTCTGGTGGTGGTGTAACCATGATTATGCTCCTGTTTCCTTGTTCTGTATTTTTGTTGAAAATAAAAAAAAGGTTTTACATTAGATTGGTGAAAGTAAACAAACAATTAACACTGATGGTTAATAATCATCGAGTACATGATGAAAAAATAACATATGTACATACGTATAGAGAAAGAGATGAGGATAAAACAGAAAAATTTATATATTAAATGGGAAATTAAGGAGAGAGAGAGAGACTCCTTGAATTAATCAACAGGATATATGTTATATTATTATTATTAAACTCTCCACCTCTTCAATTGTTTAATTAACATCAGAACGATCTGCTTTTCTGTTTGGTGACATTGAATCAATTTCATCCTCATTAATCAGGTAACCAGAACGATTGTCCAAAACCAGATGATTTTATTTTCATTTCTTCCTTCTTGATGATGATGATAATCCAGAGTGAGTGTCTTTTAATGATTATCTTTGTTTTCGTGATGACTGCTGCTTTTTTTTGAATTTCCAACAGTTTGGATTAATAATTTTGAAATCATTTACCATCATGAATCATACTCATCTTCTGAATGATTTTACTTGATGTGAGAGTGAGTGAGTATATGTGAATGTGCTCTTGAGTGGATGATGTTGAAGATGAAGAAGAAGAAAGGGAAAGAAAGAGAAGAAAAAAAACAAGATAGAATAAGAGGATGAAGGAAGATAAAGAGGGAGAGAGGATTTGTTGAGCTTTAAAAGTATCACAGTTTATCATCAAACAGTTAACTGATAATATAAATTGTGTACATTGTTTAGATGTTGGGGTTAGTATGTATTAGAATTTTCAAGTTGATGTAATGGTTCACAGGAATACGTCGATGGAAATGATGAGGAAAGAGGAGATAAAAGAGGGAGAGAGGAAGATGAGAGAATAAAAACAAAACACAACAAATGACCAGTAGAAAGAAGAGAAAGAAAGAGAGTAAGAAGAACAATAAAATAAGGGAAGAAGAAGGAGAAAAAGACTAACCTCAACTACTTGATTATCTTCCATGTTGGGTAAGGTTGTTGTTCAACGAAGGTCAACCAAGCGTCCTTAATGCTATTACCTTTTTCTTTCTTTCTCTTTCTCTCATCCTATGGAGTTTTCTTTTTTCACCATAAAGTACCTTTTTTGACAGTAGGGTGAGAGATTCTATCATTGGGAAGGAAAAAAAGAAAGAGAAAGGACAAAGAGGAGAATATGGAAAATAGAATAGAACAAAAAAAACACTGAGGGTACACAATAGATATAGAAGAAGAGAAAATGTTGGAAAAGCAAAAATGGAGAAAAGATTAAGGTGGAATATATATGAGAATTGCCAGTAATCGATTGATTTTTGGTTAATCTTCTTTAAAACAACTGAGTAACAACAAATAAAGACAAAAGAAAAAGGTAATTAACTTAATCCCAATTAGATTAACATGTAAATACCAGATTAAGATGTGTGAGAGTTTACCTTTTGGCGTCTTTTGGGTTTAACAACATTTACATTCCCAATGAATCATTATTAACTTTTAACACTAATTTCATCATCAACCGGCGACAATTACACCTTGTTAATTGTAATTATTTTCAGTCTGTATTTAATCAGTTAGACAATTATGACAATTAAACAAAGGAAAACATTGAAACCTGAAAATTTAATCTCCAAGTTTATCAACCCCTTTCTCCTCCCGTTAGGCGGCGCTCGTCAATCAGATTTTCTTGTTTATATTCGAGTTTCTATTCGATCGTCGCCAGGTGGCGGTAGAAGAGAAAATCAGGTGATCAACAATCAACAGGAACAATTTAAATTGTTTTAATCAATTTTATAAATCAATCAATTTGAAGTTAAGAAAATTTGATAAAATGTGAATTAAATACTGGTCATCTTTTAAATTCTATTTGTCAATGGTTCTTTTCCTCTTCTTCTTCTTTGAGTTTTATCCCCCCACCGAAAAAAACAATAATCAGATTTGATTTTTGATCTACAATTAAAACCGTTAATTTTTTGTTTTGTTTCATCTAATTAAAGATGATGAAAGAAATGAAGACAATTGCTTTAACCTTTGTTTTTGTTTAAAGCAAATAAGAGCTTAATTTGTTTTCAATTTGTTGATTTCTATTTCATTTATATATATCAATATTAATATTATATTGTTATTGTTATTTGTTATAATTATCATAATTATAATTAATTAATTATTTACTATTATATATAAATATATTTTTTTTCTTATCATCATTCTTGTATTGAAACAGTTGTTTCCAACTCAGGGTATAGAGTAATTTGATCAATTGCAATTGCAATGAAGTCCTTTTTGGTTTGACCAGCAACCGAAGATGAAGATTTTTTTTTTAAGTAAAAGAGAGTAGGTTTTTTTTGTATGTTTGTGAGAGAGAAAGAAAAGAGAGAGAGAGAGAGAGAGTAGTGATGACGAGAGAGGGAGTGTGTGTGATCAGGATGAAGAAGATAAAAGTTGTATCTGCTTCTGATTTTCTGGTAAACCGTCCATTCAAATGGTGTGAGGTTGGGGGTTGATTATAACTCGTAATCAAAATCATGTTATTTTCATCGCAATTATAACAGTGAATAAGTTAAAATGTAAATATGATTAAAGAGACGAAGACATTGAGGTGGATGATGAGGAGGAAAAGTTGATGTGTATCATTTTGGTTGAGTGTTGATTACAATTGATTTTGTTTTTCCAAAAAGAGAACAGTTTAATCTCGCCTTTGTCCTTTCTTCCGTTTCTCTGAGACCAATTTGAGACCATTTTTACATAATTGTAACACTAATTGTTTATCATCACCAAGGAGAGAGAGAGAGAAAATTGTTGCTGGACACACAAAGAGTTGTTGTTGAAACAATTGTTGGTCAATGGTGAAAATAATTCTGGTGGTGGGGGTGGGTGAAGAAGATGATGATGCTCTGTGGCGATGCTCTGTGATGATAGAATAAGAGAGAGAAGAAGAAAACGAGAATAAGAGAGAGAGAAAAAATAGAAACAAGTTATAATAATTATTAACAATGGATAACAAAATGTTTTCTTTCTCACATCGATGTTGATCTCTTTGTGATAAGAATACATGTAAGTGGGTATGGTGATTTTCGGGTGTTATCAAGTTAATTTGGTTGCTTACCTTAAACTTTTTGGGTTGAAATTGGTGTCAAATGATCTGGTGACATGATAATCATCATCATCAAGTTACACCAGTCGATGTTGATACTTTTTTGGTTGCAGGTTTCACCCTTTTAAAGTAATAACGGTAAGTGTATTTAAACACAAATTCGGGTCTCAGGTAACAGAAAAAAAGTCAAGTTAATTAAGTGAATGTTTTCTTCATTTTTCCAGCACTTATGATGTTATCAAAGCTTCTGATGATGAGGATAATGATGATGATGGTGTTTGTGTGTGTAAAAAAAAGGATTACTGTTGTTATTAGCTTGTGTTTTTGGAACCAAATGAAGGATGATTTCAGTTGCAGAAGAAAAAAAAATCGTGGTTAAGAAAAAAAGATTTACTGGTTACGCAGGTTAAATATGAATTTCGGGAAGAAAAAAAGATAGAGAGAGAGAGAGAGAGAAAGATGATTTTGATGTTGATGATAAGGTGAAGAAATTGAGAATAGGCAATGGGAAGATGAGAACAGCTATTAGTGAGAGAGAGCCATGGTAGCCATTGTCATAACATGGCAGCTTTTACATGAAGGATTAAGGGTTCGGAAAAGTTTCCTTTTGTACAATTTGTAGACATCGAAAATTGTATAATAATCTCTAAACAAATGTCTTAAAAATTTTGCAGCAATGAATTTAAACCAATCACTGTATCTCCGACGAAGATGAAGATATATCACAAAGGTGGGAACAATTGTTTTTTCACCCAATTTTAATGAACCAATGGTTTGTGCTTTGTGATCCTCATCTTCCAGTGAGATATAAAGAAGGCAACCTTGCAGACCACAGGGTTCAGTCTCGGACATTCCAATAATATCTGAGGCTATTTTTTTGGTAAGGTTAGCAGGTAAATCGGTTGGACTGCGAATTATTTTCTTCTGATTGAGAACTTGTTCAATTCGCTTGGCGATTTCACTAATGGTGGCCTCCAGTTCACTATTATTGTTACCAACGGGAGTCACACTATTTTCAAATGAGAATATTGAATGGAAAGAAGGTGACAGTTTATCCATAACATGAGTTAATTTGTTATTCTCATTGTTGTTATTATTGGTGGTGTTGGAGTTTGTAGTTGTAGTAATAGTAGTTGTAGAATTGATGTTGGTATTAGATGTGTTGACATTATTCTTATGGCTATGTAAAGACATAACTATCTTTGGTTGGATATATATTTTTTTGTTATTACTTTTCGAAAGATAAGAAAAAAAAATGGATCAGAAAAATTGAACAAGATGATGAGAGAGAAAGAGAGACAAAAAGATTGAATGTTATTTAGTAAAATGAGATACAATTAAAAATAGAAAATACTAAACAATAATACAAATAAAATGATGGTGATGATGGTGTTTTTTTGTTTGAGTTGATGAACACAAAGATGATTCAAGGGGAGAGAGAATGAGAGAGAAAGAAAATGAATTTTCAATTGGGAGAAAAAGTGAACAAAGAAAAAAACGATTTTTTCTACAGTGTTCGGGAGATCTTCTCTTCTCAAAGTCTAACCAACAACTAAAAAGATTTCGTTCTCTTGTTACCAACCAAGAAGAGAAGAGAAGAGAATCCGAAAGGTGTCGCTTCATATTCTTTTCGCTGTTGCTAAGCTCTTTGTTCTCTTTCTTTTCTCTTTCTTTTCAGTTTGTTCTCTTTCTCAATTTCTTTCTTTATGTTATATTTTTTTTCTCTCTCTTTTCTTTGTCTCTTTGTTTCTCTTTCTTTTTTTCTCTCTTTTTTTTATCATCTTCTTTCTTTTCTTTCTTTCTTTCATCATCATCATTTCTCTTTCTTTCTCTCGTTCTTTCTCTCGTTCTTTCTTTCTTTATCTCCATCTTTCTTTTTTTATTGTGTGATCTCTTTTATTTTTTTTTCTCTGAATCCATTTTCCTTTTTTTCTGGTTCAACCCCATCATCCACCATGTTAATTTCTTGTTGTTGTTGACTTGTTTCAAAATTTTCGGCTAAACAATTAATGGTTTGTTGGTAACAAATTAAATCTCCACATCATCGGAATCATCGACAATCAATTAACAAAAATCAACTGTCATTTTTGGGTTAATTAAGGTATTAATACATATACAGTTAAAAGAAACCAGAAATAGAGAGAGAGAGAGAGAGTAACAACAACAAAGAAAGAAAGAAAGAAAAAGAGAGAGAGAGAGAGAAAGAGAGAGATAACATTGAATTAATAGTTAAATTGTCAAAATTGTTTTGGTTTTCTAATCATAGAGACAAAACAAATCAGGTAAGGATTATTAACCTTTAATTGTTGAGGCTATTGAATCAGGTAATCATCATCATCGTCATCATTTTTATTTACCAATATAAACATATAAGTGTAAATAAATCATTTAATGTTACTAATGATAAATAGATTGAATCACATCTCAATCATTTATACAACCACAACAATTAAATCACATCACCAAAGGTATAAAGAGAGAGAGAGGTAAAGATAAAGGTTAGTATTAATATACATATAAGAGAAAAAAAAATTGTTTCGAGTTAATTTCTACACAATTAAATTAACATTCACATATCATCAACCAGTAAGTATTAACAATATTAACAATCCAGTAATAAGCGTTTGCTTCAATTAGTTTATTAATTGTCTTGAAACAATTAATTAGATGAAGATGATGAACAAAACTCATTAATGGATAATAATAAATATACAATAACAATAATAAATTGATAGTCTCAAAGGTTTTCCTGATATTAGTAAACAATTAATAGCCTTTAGGGTTAACTGTTCATACTATTGATCGAAATGTGTTATTGTCTAATATTCATGATTATCTTCAACTGATTAAATCCCTAAATCACATTAACTGTTGTAACTTAATTAGTTTTAATCATAATAATAATTTTCTTTTCCCATTCATTTATTACAGATTATAATTCACAATCCATTTGGTTCATCATCTTGTTCATTCTGGTTCCACCTAAGAATCTAATATCTTTGGATGATGTGGATTACTTATTGTTAGAGGTTATTGTTATGATGATGAGGATGATAAAATTCTTTGTGTGCTGTTTGTTGATTTGCAATTTTCATCTTGTTTTTTTTTTATTTCTAAAAATGAGAATAACAACAACAACAAGCAAGAACAACAAAAGTTAATTGAGGTTATTATACAAACAGATAAAAAAAAGTGTTTACATATGTTTGAAAATAAGGAAAAGGATAAAAGTGTCAAAAGAGTTAATAGTGATGAAGATGAAGAAGATGATCGTGCTGATGATCATGTCAAGTCAGGAAGTTATTACATGGTATCCAAGGCAAGAGTGGATTTATCTTCCATTTCTCTTCCATTTCTCTTTCTTTTTTTCTTTCTTTCACTTCGATTCTAATGTCATTCTATAACCTCTTTTTCATCTCTCTCTCTCTCTCTCTCTCTCTTTCTCTCTCTTTTACTGTTTCTCTCACTCTCATCTTTCTTTTTCTCTTTTCAGGTTTTATCTTCTCTTTCTTTCTGGTCTTTGACGTTTTACTGATGGAAAACAAAGATGAGTGAGTGAGAAAGAGAGATCGTCAATAAGGGCTTCCCTATTAATTGCAAGGTTAACTGAAAGTGATAGTAATAGAGATGATGACGAGAATGATGAGAGCGAAAGATGGAAAGAGAGAGAAAGAGAAAGAAAGTTAGAGAACCTTTGGATCTGTGTCAAATGTTTATGATTACGAATTTTTTATCCTTCGTCTTCTAAATTTTCTTTCATCATCTTCATCATCTTCAGTAGCATCATCATCATCACCGAAAATTCATCTTCTCTCTTTCTCTTTCCCTATGTCAACTCTGATTCCAGGCTTCATGAATAACAAAGGATTCCCCCGGCATCTTTTTTAGCTTATCATCTTCCTCGTCTTCCCTTGAAATAACCAGATCATCATCCTCTTACCATAAATCTCTCTCTCTCTTTCTTTCTTTCTCTTTCTCTTTCTTTTTTCTTACATCAAAAAAAGGTTCACTTTGTATTCCTGCCAAACGTAACCGTAATAATCGGGTGATGTTGATTGTTTGTGAGTATCATCACTTTAAATTTATCCTCTATCATATGGATCAAGCTACTTTTCATCCTCTCCCTCATTTCACTTACTCTCACTGTTGCTTCATCTTCTTCATCATCATCATAATCATTATCATCCGTGTGTGTATGTGAGTATCTGAGTGTATACCTTGTTTACCTCATCCTCGGCCTTCAGAGTATTTTTCACTTCTCTTGTCCTTCGAATTGTTTTCTCTCTCTCTCTCTTTTCACTTTCTTCTCCCTCATCACCACCATAGACTTTCAGGCTTCTCCCTCCTTCCCTCTCCCTCTTCTCTCTCTCTCTCTCTCACTCTGATCCCTGTAGTTGGGTAAAAGTAACCCAACTGTAAACAAAGTCAACACAATGATAATTATAATCATGATACTCACACACACACAGTCAAGAATATGATCCGATATGATTTGGAAAATTATTAATACTACAATTAACTTTTCTCTCTCTTTCTCTGGCAATTAGTACAATGATGATAATCATAATCAGCTCATAATTATTTAACACGATTTATCTTAATCAAACAAGAAAAAAAAAGAAAATTAGTTCAATCAAAATCGACACAATTGTCAAACATATTGATTCATATTCAAAGCAATCAATTACCTTATCCTTCAATTTTAATTGTTACCCTTAATCATGAAACAGCTTTTCTTAGATGTTGATGGTTGTGTATGTGTTTCCAAGTGATAAATTGTTGTTGCTAAATTGTAATTAAAAACAAATTAGATGACAAAATAGTAGCAATTGTTAATTAGTAATAGAAACAGAAAGTCAATAATTTAAACACAATTAAAATTAAATTTCAATTAGTTTGAGAAATTAAAGAATTGATCTGAAACGAAATGAGAGATAGAAAACTGAAGAAATGGTTAAATAGATTGTTAAATTGTGATTAAAAAGCACAATTGAAAATCCCCCTCAAGTGATCACTGAACAAAATGATTAACAGTAATTAATTAAGGGTACAAATTGTAAACGATTAGCGGCCAACCACAAATAATAATTAATAATTAGAAAGAAAAATTTAACAAAAAGAGAGATAGGAAAAGATAAACTAAATTAATCTAATCATTTAGTTGTATGAATAAATTTTTCTGATGATTAACGGGAACGGAAAACTAAATCGGTCTAATGAGAATGTGTCACTAACTAAATTAACTAATTGAATTATCAATTAACTTATTCCGATTAAGATACACACACACAGTTAATCGCTGAAAAGGGTTGGATACGGAAGTTAATTATGTTTAAATTTCACTTTGGCCTTTCCAATGACCAACAATCAACAAATCGACAGGTTATATAAGGTTGAAGGTTTCCAATTGTCACATTTAATTGTCATCAACGTTTCGAGCAATGTAACTGATTATTTTTATTGGGTGTTCTTTTCTTTATTTCTTTCATTGTCTTCTAACCATTGGTCATCTATTCCAAAAGAGAAGTTTATATTAATTAAATTAGTGATTGTTCTTCGTAATTGTTTGAATATTAATTGTGTGGATAAAGAGAAGGAGAAAAAAAATGTCTACCTACACTCGGAGATTATGTTACCTCCTATTTCTTTGTTTGATCATCGCCTTTGTTGAGAGTAGCAAAAAATTTCGAAAAGGTTTAATTCTTGGATACTTGTTATCCTCTTCCAATTCGGATATTGCACCTTTGATTCCATTTGCTCTAGGGTAAGTTATCCATTAATTTAATCATCACAATCAATCAATCAACACCTTAAGGTTAATCCGATGATTGAGTTTCTTTATAAATCCATTGAGAGAGAAATGGGAATTTACCGAAACATAGAGAAACAAAACAAGTTACAGTAACTTTGAATTCGTCGTTCATTTGGATCTATTTTGGAAGAATAAAAATTAATTAAAAATAGAATAGAATTAAATTAAAAATTGATCAATTCTAATTAGAAAACAATAACAATGACAATTAGAAAAATTTTCACTCGATCAGCTGTTGACTTTTTTTCGCTTGTATGGTAACGCCATCTATCGGTTTTCAATCGAACAAAAGTTTTCTTTTTTTCTCAATTGTTACAATTGAATTTAATTCACTTAATCAAAAGTTAATCATTTGACTAATTTTCTTTTTTTTTGCTTTTTTTCGTATATTTTCTTCTCTAGTGGATTTGATAATATTCTGCGATGAGAGATGACAATGAAATGGAGCAATTTATTTTTCTGATTTACAATCAATCGGAATGAAAATCTCTCAACAATTAACTCTAACGATTTCTTGATTTAATTAACTAAGTACATAGTTGGACTACTGGATATTAATTAATTGCTGGACATTTAAATAGTAACCAGAAATGAGTTTTTAAATTGTAATAAACGGCGAGAAATAAATTAATATACAATTAAAAAGTTTGATGACAAAAATTGAAATTTAATTTAATTGGGATGGAAAAGGAAGAAAAATTAATTGTTAATTATTGTGTTAATTAGCTGAATTGGGAGAAATGTAACAACTTCAATCAATAATAAGGTTGATTGATTGTCTTAATTACAATGAGATAATTAAATCAATGGGTAAGAATGAATTTCAAACTGATTTTAACAACAATTGACAAATCGTTTGAAAATAAATAGTGAGTTAATTGTTAATATTATTATTAAATTTGTACAATGATTAAGTTTTTGGACAGGTAACAATTTATATTGATTGTATTGGTCAGTACATGTAAGGGTGACCAAAGTGATGATGATGATGATGAGAGTGACCATCATCCCATGAATCTGAATGATGATGATGATGATGATGATCCTCAATTAAATCAACATGATGATGATGATCAATATGATTACTTAGATGATGATGATGATGATCAACATGTTCAACGTGATGATGATGATGATGATGTTCACTGAGAGAGAGAGAATGATTAATTTAATTGGAAACAGAAAGAAAGGAAAAAAAATCAATCACATATAAAAGAAATTAATTAATTTTGATTAATGATAATCCATTAGTTAGATTGAATCAACTAAATCATGAAAGAAGATAAAAATTAATCCTTAATAATCATTCATCATAAATTGACTACAATTTATCACTAATTTCATTGATTAACCTAAATTGTTAATCATTTCCTGTAATCAAACAAATCACATTGATTCAAATTCATTTACAATTCATCGTTATCATTAAAGGTAATAAAACATATTCATTGATTATTATATTCACTATCACTTGTAATCATTAAATAAAACTCTTAATTGTGATTAATTGGAGTTAATTACTTACGGAATCTCGAGTCTCTGGTTAGATATTGGAATTGGAACCGGAACCGGAATTGGGTGATGATAACGGTTCTTTCCAGCCCCAAGAACCGCTGCTAAGGCTACACCATAGAGTAACTTTTTACTTGATTCAATTGTGGCAATTAAACTGATCACAATTAAGCAGTTAAACATAATCCAATGAGATAAATTCATTATGTATAAATTATTTGGTTATCACAATGGTAACAATTAATTGATTGTTGATGTTGATTGAAAATTGTGAGTAACTAAAGTAAACCAAAATTTAAATTTTCATCAACTTTTTATATGTTCATTAATCAACAATTAACTTTACCGAGTGAGCATTTTTAATTACTCTCACTAATCTGATTTTCCTTGATTTATTCATTTCCATCACAATTAAAAAAGTTAATCATGGTTGATTAGTTTAATCTCTTCTCGTTACAATTAATAAATATCATCTATGATTTGATTGTTTGTCTTTTCCGGAAGCAATGAGACAATCAGTAAATTGTTGATTATTAACTTAATTTCTCTCTTTCTCTTTATTAATTGTTCATTAATCAATTGTCCTCTTTTTTTTCGCGATCAATTTTAATTGTTAATCATTGAAATTGATTTAAATTATTCAATCTAGATCATAACTGTGTGACTCTTGATTGTCAATTATTGGTTAATTGTTGAATCTTATTTTCAAACAGTTTGTTGCTCATTTCAAATTAACTGTCTCATTTTAATTTCTGTTAAATTGTTAATATTGAATTAAATTGATTAATGACCGTGATTTAAATTATTACAACAATCATGATTGGATTAACTTTTAAATGGATCAGAGACTTTAATTGTTGTTGTTGTTTTAATGAATTTAATATATAAATTGTTGAAGATGGAGATGATGATAATAATGATGAGGAACAATTAAATGTCAGCAATTAAAAAAAAATGTGAAAAAAATTAAGAGAAACAAAAAACAATCATTTGAACCAAAATCAAAAATTAACTGAAAAAAAAATTAACAGATTATCATGTTAATCATAATCACGATTAAGTTGATTAACTAATCATTTCCTTTTGCCAAACATGTTACCCTGAAGTTGACCAGCACCTCCGATGTGTCCAAGGTATTGAACTCCGGTGTTCCAATTATCATATTGTCCAGAATGTCCAGATGACCAGTGGTCAACTGGATGATGATACGAGTGTTGATATGTACTGGAAGAGAGCGAGGGAGAAAGGGGAGAGGAGAAAACACTTTGAGATGTAATTTGAAGAAAAGAAAAAGAGAGAAAAGTTATTCCAACTAATTTAATTGTCTTTAAATTTGTTAATTTGGACAATTTACAGACAATTAATGGTTAGATACAAACACGGAACACAATTAATGATCAACTAATTTACAATCAAATTGATTGTTAAACTTACGGAACCAAAATTATTTGTGGCTGTTGTTGGGGCACATGATGAATCTGTGGGGCAGAGTGTTGGTGTTGACCCATTGGAACCGGAATCGGATATGGAATCGGAATGGGAACAATATGTGACCCACCATGATGAACTGGACCACCACCACCACCGCCTAGAATGATGGTTCGTTCCTGAACAAATCGACGATCGAACAAAAATTTTAGAACAAAAAAATGTTTCGAAAAACTTTTTCCCTTTTGGTGATAATAAACTTCGTTCAAATACTCTAAGGGTTTAATTGTTGATTCGATTTCTTTACCAATGATCAATATCGAACTTTGAACATTCGATCGATAATCAGAATCGAAAAAAAAAATTTCTATCATATTATATTTTCGTTACTCGAATATTAGTTTTCTCTTTTTTCTTCTTTCGGTTATTGATTAACAATTAAGAGAAATTAATTAACTTACCTTTCCTTTTTTCTTCGGTGATACATTTCCTATTAAAATCGCTAGAAATGCAATCATAAATAAACGTAAATGGCTCATGATTTACTGATTGTTATGATTAATTATCCACCTTAATTGTCCTAAAACAGAAAATGATTAACGATATTACAATTAGATGAAAATCTTAAAGATCATTTTTAAAATCATTTACATACTCAACTAAATGATAATCCAATTGTTGGGAACAATTAACGAAACGTATTTATAATAAACCAGATTTAATTAGACAATAAATTCACAATTAAGACATTAACAGTAATATTTATGAAAGAGGAGATGAATATGAAAGTTAATTGTTTGATCAACGTTTAATCAACTTAATGAGAACCAAGAAATTGAAGATGAACCATTTTATATGAAAAATTAAAGTTAATCAACTCAAATGATTTAAGGGTTGTCCTTAATTGTTTACTATTATTAACCTTAACTATCAACCCCCTGACCACCCACTACCTTAGCCTCCTCCCTGATGGCTCAATGTCCGACCCTTAATCATCAATCAGATGAGAACAATTAATTTTAATTCGGTTCAATAGAGTAAATCGTTTTCTCCATTGGTTTCTATTCAACAATTAACAATTAACAATTTAATTTTCCCTTTTTCTTTACTCTAATCAAACTCACAACTCTTTTCAACCCCCATCCAACTGTTAATTGCGTGATAATCATGGTAATCATTAAATCATCAACAATTTAATCATTGAGTTAGTAAATCAATGAGAGGCAATTTAATCCAATAATCAATTTGTCCCTTCAATTGATTTAGAGACCAAAATAAAATTAATTTAATTCACTGTCTACTATTAAGCTTAATTGTTTTCACTTGATTGTATCATCATCTAAATTATCAAACAATTAACAAATATCTAATATCAAGTGATTTAAATTTCAGATTCTATGGGAAATTGATTAAGGTTAATGAGATTTAATTGTTGCGATGATTAGAGATTCAAAATTTAAATGATTAACCTTGAGCTTTGAATGATTCTGATCTTTAATTGTAACAATTGACTTTCATTGATGATTTGGTTAAGCAAAAAAAAAAGGTTTGTTAATAATTTAATTGTAGATAAAAATAATTTGATTGTTGATTTTAATTGTCTCATTTGTTGAATAAGATTTTAATTTGAAATCTTCTCAATCATCAAGATATAATTACGAGTTGATGAGTTAAACAATCAATTGGTCACAAACAATGAACTTTTAATTGTGATCACAATTAAAGTAACCAATGAAACGATGAAATTAGATCAACCAATTTAATTATTAGGGTTAATTTAAAAGTTTCATCTCAATCAACCGAAACAATCATCCTAATCATAATTACCTTAATAACAACAACAATTTAAAAACTAAATCATATCAAAATAATTAATAATAATGAGACTATGATGATGATGAGTTAGATTTTTGAATTAAATCAGTTAATCAGTAAACCCAAACAATTAAAATAAAAACAGTGAAAGTTTTTGATCAGCTGATTGAAATCAACAATCACCATTAACTAATTATATTTATATATAAATTAATTAACACGTTCATTGTCAAGGATTTGAGAGTAATTAATGATTATAATCAACAGTAAACAATTAAAGTCTCATAAGCAATCAGATTGTGATGAGAAAAAAACAAAATTAGAAAAGTTTTTCAAGTTAATTAGATGGAAATGAAAAAGTTAATCAAACTAATCAAGTTGATGATAATCAAAGTAAGTTGATAATTTATTGATCAACCCTTAATTGTTGTCAATTGAATCAATATTAAACATAATTGTAATGATAATTGTGATTGAAATTGATGATCACAAAAACAAAGGTAACTAAGGTAATAGTTACAACGAGTTATGTTTACAATTTTTAATCACAATTAATCAATAATCAAATTAAACTCTACGCAATGTCAACAGTGTGTAGGTTAAATTACAATATTGATTAAATTGTTATTTAAACAATCATCTTGGCGATGATCAAATGATTATGATAACTTTTTTTGCTACGAAGAAACAAAAAAGTAAATATATTATCATAACGATCAATTGTTAATTGTGTCTTCGCGTTTAACTAACTACAATTAAAATTATGGTTAAATATGTATCATGATTATGATGATGATCAGGACGATGATGAAGACAATATAAGACAATCAATAGATTCGCTATTAACTTGGAAAGGTAAAAGGCAATTTAGATAATCAATTGTGAATGTTGAGATCAAAAAGTTTCAATTGTTACCCTTAATTGTGAAAGTGTTACAATTGTCATTGGATTTTTTTGTAAATTTAGTAAATTGTTTACGATAATCAAGTTTCATCAGTGGTTCTTGTTGTTGGTGTATGGGAGCAGAATTACATTGGGATTAAAAGGATTGAAAGGATTGAAAAGTGGCCTCAAATTTTGGCAGAAAATAATTTAATTTGTACAAAGAATTGGATTACAATTGTTATTTACATAAATTCGTAGGTTAATTGTTGGAAAGGTTGTTAATTGTTCTGATTGTGATGCAACATCAATTCGAACAGCGAAAAAGTTTCTCTCATCCTTCATCGAACCCAAAGGAAGGACTTTACGAAAATATTCCAAAACTTTCGTACGAAACATGGTTCAAATTATTCGGCTTATTGTCCAGTGGACTTGACCACGAACGTCGATATGGTCCAATTAAACAAGATCGAACACCGGTCAAGATTAAGCGACTTTACTGTCAACTGATAACTGCGATGTTGTGGTTCTTTGCCGTTCGTGGGTTCGTCTTGATGTTTATCGACGATAAAGGTTTAGCCGTTCTAATGGGTGACCTATCGGTTTATTGGAATGATTACCGAATGTACTACCTAATGCCAACCTTTTACTATTCCTTTTCATCGGCACTGGTGGCCACTACTTTTCTCCTTAAAGAACGTGACCTTTCCTGGTTCATCCCTTTCATGACCTTCTCTCAGCACCAATCAACCAATCCAAACGATAAACTTGGTTTTCACCGATGGCGAAATTTAATATTTACCTTATTCAATTTAACCGTTACCTCTTGGGTCACTGGATCCATGGGCTATCTGACCTATTCAGCGGCACGGGATAATATGGATGCTCACACCTTCCGTCTTTTCATGCCCTGGCTGGTAGTCCAGGTTATCTGGTACTTTTTCATGACGGGAATCATAATGTTCACAACTTCGTACTTTAATTTGGTCTGTCTTATGGTACAGAAAAAGTTTTCCGACGTTGCATCGGAAATTGAGGCACTTGCCGAAGGTGATCCTGGTCCACCGGGTTCTAAGAACGATGATCTTACCCGATTGTATTTCGCTCATAATGATCTTTGTGAAATTACCGATGAATCTAATTCCTTTTGGCAATATATTCTATTCTATATTATCGGTAATTTTATCCCCAATTTCTGTTATGTTATGTACACCCTGTTCTTTGGTGATCTGGACACTCCACTGGCCATTTTTTCCTGGTTCATATTAGGTCACACTTTCCTCATAATGGCCATCCTTTCCGTTTCCGCCGCCGATGTTTCATCTGAGGTGAGTTGATTCACCCGAATAATATTGTTACCTAATATTGTTTATGAATAATTTCAATCTTCTCAAGAAAATTAATATTTTTCTCTCAACAATTGGTTAATTGTTCTAAACTTTTCTTCCAATTCTAATCCTTAACTAGGCTCATGCTCCTTATACTTCACTTCATACCCTTTCTTTACTTCAACTTCCAATCGATATTGAAGTTAATGTAAGTTAATTGTTGATAGCAGAATATAAATCAACTTAATTGTGATTCAATTTTCTATTCTTAAAATTTAGATGTCAACATTTCTACATCGAGTTCGAGGTCCAACAATTGGTTATTCAATTCTCGATCTATTTGTGATTACAAACTCATCGATCTCAAATGTAAGTTGATCAACAAACTCGAGTAATAACTAATTAAATGATTTCAATTTTCTTAATTGTTGTTAACCATTTAGACTGTTGCTGCAATTGCTTCATATTTTCTAATTGTTGCTGATTTCTCGAGATCAACTGTTAATCAAGGATTAATCCAAAAAGCACAATCAAAGCAAAAGGCAATCAATGAATCACTTGCAATGACAACAACAAGTTCAGTTTTAGATGCTACAACAATTTCATCAACCGGTTAATTGTTGATGTTAATCAACAAAATTGATCAAAGTTACAACCAAAAAAAAAAACAAAACAAAACAATTACAAAGTTGATCAACTAAATAAATGTAAATGATGGTGATGATGACTGTTAATTAACTTCAAGAACAAAATTGAAACCCACAATCAAATGACACACAACAAATGATTTAAATCACACAATTTAAATATACAGGGAGTTTTTTTATCCACCGGCTATTTCACTGAATATCTCAAGAACTAAAAGTCATATGAATGTCAAACTTGACCAGAGGACTAACCTACACGAACAACCTACACCTTTCAACGCGTCCTGCAGGGAATGATCTCAATGACCTTGAAAATCGTAGGTTCGAGTGCTGTTCAGTCCTCTGGTCAAGTTTGACCTTAATATGACTTTTAGTTCTTGCGATATTTAGTTAAATAGCGGGTGGATAAAAAATGCCCTGTACACAATTCAATTCAAACTAAATTTAATCTAATTTATCTAAATTAATAGTCAACAATTAACAATCTAACTGTTGACAAAACTGTTGGGCTGAATAAATTGTTTATCTTAATATTGATACAATTAATTATTTGATTGATTATTTTGACGGCAAAAGTGAAGATCGAATTTTTTTCGATTGTAATTAGTAATCGGTCCCTTTTCTTTTTTCGGTCTTTTTGAATTTTTTTTTCTCTCTCTCTCTCTCTTGTGTTTATTTCTTTGCATTCTCATTTTTTAATTGTGATATGGATGACCATAAACCGGCTCTTGTTGATACTAAAATTGAGTCAAATGTTTATGATGAAATCGTGATTGACTCTGACTCTTGTGAGGAAGATGGTCCAACAACCACCTGTGAAAATGGTCAAACCGCTGATGTCAAGTGCGAGGTTAAAAATAGAGTCTTGGATACTTTGACTCTGTCAAGCGATGATGAAGATGATCTGATTGTTGGTGAAACTAAACCTGTTGAAGAAAGTGAATCAAAACCAATTGGCCCATCAAAAGAGGTAGTTAGCAAAGTTATTGATCAGAAAATTAGTGAAAAGGATGATAATTTTGACTTGCGGTGTCAAAAAATTGAAGATGGTTTTGAGTTGTGCACCAAAGATTTAAACAATATTTCAGATGAATTTCGCTCTTGTGATGAGATTTGCAGTAAATTTGCGCCAAAGTGAGTATACACAATTAATCCTTCATCAATTAATTAATTGTCCTCTAACCACCTGTTTGTATTTTTTTAGAGAGACACATATCACCAGTAAAGGAATCATAGATGTCAAAGACGAATCATTAACAATCGATGAAACCGTTCAAAGAATCGTCTTAATAGATCCTGTACAGAGAAAAATTGCCGAAGATTTACCAATAGATAAAGAAAAGTCAACAAAGGTCAACTTAGGCCACCTTACCACTGTTACATATTTTCCCGACATTGATGTTGTCCAAACCAAAACTGCAGCTGATGTCCAAGAGATTTACAAATTACCAGCAGTCGGGCCAATTGTCAGAAAACCATTAAACGTTGGTGATCAAGTATTCGCTGTTGCCAATCCAAGTAATATGGCCAAAAGTGGTTGGCAACCTGCAACCATAATCGAAACCATAAAAATCTATGGTAAAATAAATTACAACGTAACTTATGAGGACTCATTTAAACCTTGTATGCTGTTGAAAAAAGCGCAAATAGCTTATCGACAGACTCCTTCAGTTATGCTTTCACTCAAATGTCGAGTAGTGGCCGCAGTCGATGTCAGTCAAAAAGGATCTGCGCCGCGTTTGTTATACTTTTCCGGTTTAATAGCAGAAATTGCCCGAAGAACAAATTCATTCCGATACCTGATTTTCTTTGACAATGGAGCAGTGGCCTATGTTCCATGTGATAGTGTCTTCTTAATTGCCGAAGAGAATTTATCTTTTCTAGATGATGTTCCCGAAGAATATAAACCATTTCTTCGGAAATATTTCAATGATCTTCCTGAAAGAGCTTTAGTCAAATACTCTGTTGGAACAAGAGATTCCGTTTACACCAACGATAATTGGGTTTCTGGAAAAGTAAAAAAGGTCGATTGTAGTATAGTTCGATTTTTCTTTAAATCTCTCAATAAATATGAATGGATTTATCGAGGATCTCCTAGACTTAAACCACTAGCCGGTCTTTTGACAACAACAACATCTCTTAATAGTCAAGGTAAACCAAGAGCCCCAAGGAAAAAGACTACAATGTTTGCTAATGATCGTGCTCGTCCTTTTGTTCAATATACTCGAGATGAAGAGCACTCATCAGATGATGATAAAAGATCACCAAACAAATCAGGTGTTATTATACGACCTCGTCTAGATCCATTTGATAATCGATTCCGAGCCGAGTTTGAACTTTACCCTGAACTTTTCCAACCTCCGAAACGACTCTCGTTACCCAGTTTATTTGTTCCTCATCGTTGCTGCTCAAAATGTGTTAAAAGTGACCTTGAAAATATCTCAAAATATCGTGATGTTAACCCATATGCAATTCCAGTGATTTGTGGTTGGGATCGTCAGGTTTGCATAATAAGTAATGCAAAGATGAAACATAAACGTGAAATATTTTACATTGCACCTTGTGGCCGACGACTTCGTAACATTGAAGAGGTCAATAGATTCCTCGAATCAACCGATTCAGGTCTTTCAATTGATTTATTCACTTTCTATCCCAAATTAACTCTTTACTCTGATCTAAATGGCAAACGAACCCAAGGTTGCTACTATTATGAAGCTGATGTCGCTAAAGGAACTGAAAATCATTCTCTCTCGTGTATTAATTGGGTTAACGATGATTCAATTACACCAGGATTCGAGTATTGGCCCACACGATTCCCTGGACGTGATATAAGCCTAGAAATTGATCCTCATTTTTTAATGTGCTGTGATTGTACCGATAATTGTCAAGATCGAAGCAAATGTGATTGTCAAAGACTAACAAGTGAAGCCTACGAATTGGTTAGAAATCTCAACTATAATGACCAAGGTGGTGATGGTTACAAACATCGTCGTCTCCGAAGTGTAGTTACCACTGGAATATGGGAATGTAATCCAAACTGTGCGTGTAACTCTCGATGTGGTAATCGAGTTGTTCAAAATGGGATTCGTGTTCGATTACAAATTTTCCGTACCGATAAAAAAGGCTGGGGAATCCGGTGTCTTCATGACATTCCCCCGGGCGCATTTATCTGTATCTATGCGGCTGAAGTACTTAATGAAGAATTGGCTGATGAGTGTGGTTCCAATTTCGGTGATGAATATTTAGCTGATTTAGATTATATCGAGAACGTTGAAAGATTCAAAGAGTGTTATGAAGAAGCTGTTATGGAAGAAATTTCCTCATCATCGTCAAACGAATCAGCTTCATCGACTAGTGACCAAGAATCTGACAATTACCGTAGTCGAACACGCAAAGAGAAAAAGTCAACCAATAAAAAATCGAAAAAGGAAAAAGTTCGAAAACCAAAAATGACCGGTAAACCATATCGAGAATTATTCGGTGAAAGTTCTGCCTACTCATTAGATGCCAAAAGAAAAGGAAACGTCGGCAGATATTTTAATCATTCCTGTGATCCTAATTGTTACGTTCAAAACGTTTTCATTGATTCTCATGACCTTCGATTCCCATGGGTCGCCCTTTTTTCACACAAATTTATTCCCGCTTTCACTGAACTCAATTGGGATTATAATTATGAAATAATTGAAGGCCGTAAACTTTGGTGCTACTGTGGATCAACTAATTGTCGTGGTCGCTTATTATGAATTTCATTTTCAAGTATTTCATTCATCTAAAATCATATTCATCTTTTTTTATTGAAAAAAAACTCTCACAATTACCAAATAAGTTCATGTTTTAAAGTTGTCAAGACAATTGAATCAATTAATTGGTTTTACATGAATTGTGGTTATTCCTTTTTTTATTATCGTTTTTTTAAATGAGATCGATGATTTTTAAATATTTTTGTACTATTTTGTTATAAAGTTTAAATGATGATGATATTTTTTGATAGTGATTGAAATTTATCATCGTAAAAAATAATCATTAGTAAATATAATCAAAAATTTAAGTTTGATTTGATTGTTTCTCTTTTTGCATAAAAAGTTAGAAATCAAATTAATCTTAATATTTTTAAATTGCACTTTTTTTTGGTGATTTGTATATATTTTAAATTGATTATGATTATTATGATTAACGAAGTTTGCATTTAAATATCCACAATTTAGGCACCGTAAGGATGAATATGCTTTTCGGTGCTCGACTTAGATCAAGACCATCGAATCCGTTGATTGCTTTGACGAGAGTACATTCTGGAAGCTCTGAACTGATTTTACAAGAAACAGAATCAATTGAATCAGATAATGAAATTGGCGAGGATTGAGTTGATTGTTGTGACGTTGCCGATGACTTTTTGGTTGGTGATTTTTTAGATGGCGTTCGACTCGTACAATGATGAGTAAGATAATTAACATCAACATTTTCTAAAATAAAATAAAGTATTTTAAAATCACGAGCTTTTGGTGGTTTACGATTATTAGAATCGATAGTTTGATTTCTATATTTGGATAATCGGAAAGTCTTATTGGCCAAAGAATTAAAGTCCGGTGATTTATCATAAGTGACATCGTTCACTTGTAGGAAACGAGTGAAGCCCGTTTGAGCGGCTAAATTGCAAACATGAACAGCGATGTCATTTGGTTTATAAGTTTTCAGATCAATGTGTCGGATACGATCATTGGTCCAGTGAACGGCATCACCTCCGGGATAATTGTGATAAGAAGCAACTGATGCATAAATTAAACATCCGATATTAACCCAAACGTGAAAGGCCATTAGTGCGAGGAAAACTGTTGTAACTGCGGCGAAATCTGGTGAAGGAAGATCTTCGACCGTTGGTCGTCGTGGAGTTGGTGCTGGTGGCGGTGGTTGAGTTGGAAGTGCTCTTTCTCGAGCGGTGGCTTGCGTTATTTTGGAGTATTGTTCATCGAGCACATTTTCCACACCACTGGAATCGTAGGTTTTACTTGAGACTCCTCGTTTTCTTAAGGTAATTGAAGATGTTGATGTTGAGGGAGTTGGTGTTGTAGTTGTGGCTGTGGTTGTTGTGGTTGTCACTGAAGTTGATGTTGAGGATGAAGATGATGATGGAATTGAAGTTGAATAAGACATATAAGATGAGGCCATTTGAGCGGGTGAAACTGCATCGTAACGATCGGGTAATTGGGCCGGAGGTCGGGAAACATGTCGAATGTACCTTTGTCTGAATAGTTCTGCTTCAGCGTCAATACGTTTTTCTCGTTCTTCCATCATTTTGTCCTGAGCTGCAAAGTCTTCATCGGATGTTACCTTAAATCCTAACCAACGACAGATAATATGAAGTAACCAACTCTCAGGGTGAGGTTGAAGGGTGAAAAATCTGTAAGTTGTGATGGCAATTGTATCGGCAGCGCAAGTGTTGAGCAAAGGAAGACAATAGAAGATGAATCGAACCTCTTTATGTCCAAGGAATGAGTAGAGAAAGATGAAAACGATGGAAACTGTAAAACATGATTTGATGCACCTTCGAGATGCAAAGGGTACAAAGAGAAGGGAAGATAAAAGTGTCCGTGGTAAAGCTGAATAAAAATACCAAAAGAAGGGTTGAACTCCCCAATCAGCTGATTTGTTGAGATAAACATTGTAAATCAAACCATAACCCTCAGGCCATACCCATTTTCCCCACATAAATGAGTCAAATAGAACTGTGATCGAGAGAAAGATCAGACCAGCAGGTATTCCGACTTGGAATAATTTCTTGAAGGTTAAATTTTTCTGGAAAAATATGGAATGAGCAATCATAGGGCCGAAAAGAAGAGCTGTCTCTGCACGGAAAATGACCACAGTTCCAGCGACAACGATAATAAATGAAGTGTATCTGTGTGATAGCCATTTAGCAGAAGCAATTAGAACCAAAATGAAGGCGAAGATATTTGGAAGTGGCCTCGAAGCATAGAATAGAAAATGAAATTGTGTCAATGTCAAAATACAAAGTGCACTTGTAGTATGACGACCAAATTTTCGTGTGACAGCACAAACGAACGAATAGAAACCCGCTAGAACAAATGTTGCCAGATTAGTTCGAACCACCAGTTGAATGAACAATTTATCAGGTATTCGAGGATAAAGAGACCAAGGGAAAACAACAAGACTCAAAAGGAATGGACCGATAAATGATCTCGGAAGAGGACCTTATGAGAGAGATAAATGAAGAAATAAATCAAGATTGATCGTTAATCATTCAAATAGAATAAAATAACTGATTGTGAGAAATAAAATACGACAATTTACCTGGAAAATCTTGATGGTCCCATCGCCAGTCAGAGTAATTATATGAATGAACAATATTGGTTGGCTCTTCGGAGAAAGTAAATTTCAACGGGAATTTCGAGTCAATGTACCAATCAAGTGTTCCGTTAGCTAATTTATTGGATATATCGATTGCCCTTGGAATTCCTAGATAAACGAAATCATGAATTGCTTGAAGACTGAACGATTCTTCCACTTTGGTGAACGGAGTAAACACAATAAAGGCATAAGCCAAAGCGGTTAAACCTGTGAACTGAACAGTTCGTGACATGATCAGGATTGATATGAGTGATCCCATCCTGCCAAGACACACAATTATTAAAAATGTTGCACAAATTAAGAAATCAAAATTGCGAAGATAAAAAACACCAGGGGAAAACAATCAATGTAAAAGTGTTCAAGAAAAAACAATCAACGTCAAAGGGAAAAACTTGACTAACCAATCATTTGTTTTCTATAATCATTACAATTATCACATTGGTTGTCAATTGTTGAATATCTTTAAACTTATAACCTTTGGACAGCATTTACGAAATCAATTTCTATTTAATTAATGTCATTGATAGATTGTGTATTGTTTCAATAGAATAAAATTAAACAGAGAAACAAAAAACAAAAAAAACAATTGAATAATTGGAAGTAAACAAATCAAGTTGAAAATGTTACATGAGAAAAAACCAACAATCTTATTTGATTTAAAAGGGAACAGGAAGGAAACAGTTAAAACAATCGAGCTGATTTCACAAAGATGAACAATTTATTTCATATTAATTAAATTCTCGTCAAGATTACCACTAATTAATTATAATTTCTTTTGCAATCACACAATTAGCAAGTGGTTTTTGGAGAGAATGAACAAAAATGAAAGAAATTAAATTCTAATAAACAGTTGATATAAAAGAACATAGATGGCGACACTTGTTACAGAATTTCGGTCGATTGAAAATTGAGAAAATTCAATTTTTCATCTAAATTGTTTGTTTTTTTTTCTCTGGGATTTTTTCCCCAATTTAATTTATTCCTCATGTTTTAATTAGAACAATTAACTGATTGTCATCTCGGTTATTGCTTAATTCTTGTCAATCCAAATGTCTTCTTCCATTAGATAAAAGGTTAAAATGGAATCTCCAATCTCAAAGTGCTTCCCTTAATCTTGGCGAATCTTTTTCGAAGCCATTTTTGTTTAATCATTACGGAAACATTTTAATTCTAATCAACTTTTAATTACACGTTAATCAAATTTAAGAATTGGAAAAGATCAGTATGGTGGATTATCATTGTTTCTCTTTATTGTTGAAACAAGAAAAATGAACAATACACTTGATTACCTTAACCTTTTGTCTCCTGCTGACATTTCAGTCAATGTGTTGACCATCAATTGGCTGATGGAGTAGAGAGACTTAATTTTTTAATTGTTTGGACTGTAAATTCAATTCAATTGACAACATCATTCCCATTCTCTAGTCTCAATAACCGTTCCATCATGACTTTCTTAGAATATTCCAAATTCAGTGATTTAATTCTTATTCCTTTCCAAAAAGTGGTTAGTCTTTACAATTGGATCCACTCTTATGGAGGTAAGTGAATCTTTTCAACTCTTTGTTTGCAAAATTAAATTACTAACCATTAATACTAATTATTTTCATTTTAGATCCACGAGTTAACCACTGGCTCCTAATGAGTTCACCTTTTCCCACCCTGTTAATTGTTACAATTTACCTTTTAACCGTTTGGTATGGGCCACACTTTATGGTTACCCGAAAGCCTTTCAAGTTAAGAGGCTTCATGATTATCTATAATTTTTCAATCGCTTGGCTTAATGGTTGGATCTGTTATGAGGTAATTATGGTTAATTTGTTAACATTTCAAGAAATTATTGACCTTTAATTGGTCTTAACATAATAACGATAATTAATTGGATTTATTTTCCATTGATTCTGTCCGTGTTAATTTAGCTTCTTCATTGTGGATTGAAAGAAATTACAATTTCATCTGTCAACTGGTTGATACTTCGGATGATCCATACGAGAAACGGGTTTGTTTGATAACCGTCCCAAAATCTATCAAGAAATTGTCGTTTTCATTTTAATAATTACCCAATTAATTAATTATTATCCATGAGTGGAAATTTTTTTACTCATTAACTCATTGATCACTTGATTCAATTTGATTCTTGATGCAAAGTTTATATGGACTCACGCAATCACCATAATAACGATTACAATTACAACAAGGATGTAAAAATATTAGGATTTAAATTACTGTTAGTTAATCATGACAAAATTAACTACCTACAAGATTTGATTATAATTTTAATCATATCTATTCAAAGAAAAAGGCTCAGAATTTTTTCTCATTAATCCATTAATTGCATCGTAACGATTGTCCATCTAATTGAGAAACATTTAACCAGCGAATTGTCAGTTAACAGAGAGAGAGAAAAAAAATGAACCATTCGACTGACACAAGACGAATACGTGCCCAGAGAGAAAATTAGTTTCGAATCGATCATCATCATCATCATTATCATCATGGAATCAATCTAGTTATCAGTCTTCCTCTTTGTCCTTGTCCTTGAACATTTAGGCAAAAAATGGATATAAAAAAACCAGTAAAACAATTTGATGATTGTGATAAGTTATTAGTAAATTGTTGATAATCACACGATTTAAAATCAAGGTTAATCAATCCAATAATATCCATATATAAAAATGACCTATGGAAATTTTCATTTCTCATCTTTTCTTTGATTAGTTAATCCAATAGTTAATCTTAATCTCTTACCTCATGATGGTTACATGTTAAAATCTATCTGAATATTAGCTGATTAGATTAGGAAATCAGTGATTTCTCATTGATTCATTTCATTTCATTGTTTTTGTTTTCATTTTCTTTCAGTTAATCAACTTAATTTCCCTGAGGGTTTATCATATGCAATCATAATCATTATCTAATGACATTTTAGAATTGATTCATTAGATATAAATAATTTAAATTAACGAATATATTAGATTGTTATTTATTGATTTATTTTGATATTCTTTTTCCCCTCCACTTAGAGAATCCATTAAGGTGATTTCCTTAAATCCTTTCATGTTGCATGGTCACTTTTCCTTTGATTGGTCATTTCATCAGGATAATCGAGCCAATTGTTGATGAATCATGTCATCAGTTAAAGAAGAAGATAAAATTATCATATCAACCTTTGAGAAAAGGACACACATAGAGACAGAGAAAAGGATAAGGAAAGATGAAGATGATGATTCTTTAAGTTAATGAACACCCTGAGGGTATAAATCGTCATATCGTTTTTTTTTATTCTTCATCTTCTAAATATTTATCCTCTGATTTCAAATCAATCGAATTCAAGTTACATACGTAAACGAGTTCATTGCATGTTATAAATCATTTGAGGCCAAACATGTGAGCTGAGAGAGAGAGAGGACATGATACTGCTCTGTAAAAGGTTTCAGTAAAAAAGGGATAATCTCTTACCTTTATCGTGAAAATTATCATGATAATCATAGTTTGGATAGTGATGCAGATGATACACCAAAGCTCATCAGGAGATTATGATCATGGACATTTAATTACCCACCTCATATGAATCATGAGAGAGAAAATCAATAGGGAGCGAAATTTTCTCTTTTATCACCAAGACTGAATTGCGATGAAAAGTGTTCCCTCCTGTAAAGAATCTGATACCACATGAAACATCATCAATATCTTTCCATCTTCCTCATCACCTTTGGCCCTTTTTTCCCTCGACTAATTTTAAAATTCAATTTTTTTCTCTCTCTCTCTCATCCTTCTTATCTATCAATAGATTGCCGGTGCTATATGGTGGTATTATTTTTCCAAATGTCTCGAATTCACTGATACCCTACTATTCATAGTTCGTAAAAAACCCGCCCAATTGACCTTCCTTCACATTTACCATCATTCAACTATGTTCGCCTTCTGGTGGGTCGGTGCTAAATTCGTCCCCGGTGGGTCAGCATTAACTGGAGCAATGGTCAACTGTTTTGTCCATGTTATCATGTATTCCTATTATGGTTTAACCGCTTGTGGTCCAACCATTCAGAAATATCTATGGTGGAAAAAGTATCTCACAATTTTACAATTAGTAAGTAAACAAGGAGAATCAAAATGTAAACGAAAACAGCAAAAATCTGAAGCAAGATTATTATCTAAAATTGATTTAAATCTTAATCTTAATCATGGCAATTTGAACTGGTTTGACCAGAGTAATTTAAGATGCTAGGTAACAACGACAAAAATATAAACTGTCACCGTGACAATTAACCCAAGGTTAGCAAAAAAAAAGTCAACATATACTCAAGACCAATAATGATCTTGATAATCGTGATTGACATGAAACAAGTATCAACAAATAATCATGGAAAGTTAATCAGTAATCAATTAATGATGATGATGAAATTGATCTTAAACGTTGACATATTATATTGTCAACGGCTTCAATGGCTAATAAGAATTAGTTAATTGTTACAAAATTACAGACTAGACAAACTTGACTCTCTCTCTCTCTCTCTCTCTCTCTCCTGAAGTTTTGTTGTTTTTTTGTTGTTTCATATTCAACATTTAACTTTCATGTGCAGTGACAATTAAATTGCTCGAGGCAAGATTAGTTGTCCTAATCAATTTTCCAGATAATAACCAGGGGTAAGGTAAAAGCATCATAATCAAGTTAAATCAAACTAAATTAAAGTAAATAGTTTGTCGCTATTTGATAATCACTTCATTACTGGTTCCCCTTTGAAGATTTTACTTGATTTGTTTTTTAATTTGCTTCTTTTTTTTCCTATGTAATAATATCACAGAGAGAAAAAGGAAAAAGTAATTAACTTGAAAATCAAGAAAATTTATCTTCCTTTTCTTTGGGCTTTTTTTACATTCGCAATTAACTCAATCATCTCTAATAATCACCTCAATTTATGATCATGTTTGATGATTGATCGGATAATATGATCACATTTATCCCTCTTTCTTAATCATAATCAACGAGAATTGATATTAATCTGATTTAAGATTTTTTCGAGTCGATTAAAAATTTTGATAATTCGAAAGTTTTATTCGATTTTTCCAATAATTCGAGTTTCTTGTTTTTCTAGTTGATTAATTAATTAATTACTCTTTCAATATATTACTTATTGATTGTCACGAAGGGGATTTACCTTTTGGAACAACTTTCTCACAATTTACTGATTCAGTTATTTAACTCACTTCTGTCATCGCCATTGATTTTAAATGGTAAACGATTGGAAAGTTTTATTATTTATTTTTTTTACTTTTTTCTTTTAATTCTGATAACTGATTTAATCATTATCTGTATCACCATGAATTTACACAACAATTAGTCAATATTTCCCATTAATTATTATTTACACCTTCAAGTAATTAAGTTAATTGTTTGCACTGGGAACTTATTATGATCAAAAGAGTGAGAAAATTTTTATCCGATTCTCAAATGATTAAAATCAATTGTTAGAATTAATTTTCTGTTAATTTAGTTTAATTGTATTTATCATTTTATCTCTCAATGTATCAAATTTGTCTCAGGATTAATTGTTAATCAACCAAGGGTATGAGTCTATCTCTTTCCCAGTTGATTAATATCAGTTATCCTTGTAAAGGTTAATCATGATAATCAACTAATTATTGGGAAATTTTAATAACTTTGTTTTGTTTCAATATAAAAAAAAACCAGTTAAATTGTTAATCCATTGGATGGATTAATCCAAAGATTTGATTTAATAACTAAATTTAAAAATAACCAGAAACAAGTTGATTGTTTTTGATTGATTTGATTGGATTTAAACTCAATTTTAATATTAATTTGTATTAACGGTTAATCAACTAATCAACAAACAACAAAGGGTTTATTGTTACATTGAAAAGTTGTACATATACGTTTGAATGGTTAACCAAATTAAATTTGATTACCATTTAAATGATCATATGATGAATTAAATTTTTGTTCTGACGTAAAAACAAAAAGTCAAATACCATAAATCATATGAAGAGATGAGACTTGTCTGTGATTAGTTGATTATCGTAGTTAAAATCCTTCAATTAACCATCGCCGTTACCTCATATTCAGGCCTCTTCCTTTAGGGGTATTCAAGTCATTTGCTTTTAATCATCATGATAATCATAAAGAGAATTAAAAACAAAACTTAAATCACAATCGGTAATCACGATGGTTTCATTTCATATAATTCATATATATGAGAATATGTAAATTAAGTCAAAAATAATAAGAAACATTGATTGAAAACTTTTCTTAATCTCAAAAGATTAACTAATATAATGATAATCCTGTTAATCGTTTCAGATTCAGTTCACCGCTGGTGTTGTATTGGGCTTACATGCGATTATCACTAATTGTCAATTTACTCGGTGGATGCAATACTTTTTTGTTTGCTATGCTTTTTCATTCATCATATTGTTCAGCAACTTTTACAATGGTGCCTATGTCGCTGATTCCGCCGTCTTTAAGCCTTTAGTCTCACAACCACCGGCGGCGAGATCCAAGATGACCCCTCGAACTCAACAGATCACAACGGGGAAAAAAACACCGACTAAACTACGGAAACGCATTTGAACCTTTTCCCATATTAATTGATATTCCAACTCAATCATTGACTATCATCATCATGATTAATAGATTATCATCTCTTTTTTATGATTAATCAACTTTCAGATTGATTTCGTGATTTAAACTAATCAACTAATCATGATTGTGAATATTATTATTATTGATAATCTTATATTCAACCTTTAAGATTTAAATATTTCAACTCGTATCATTAAGTTCATTGGTAACAATCAATTTTAATTGTATTCATTGTAAACAAGTAATCTAGTCATTCCGATTTAATTTAATTGATTTTTGATTAATTTTGTCTCTCTTTGAATGATCAATAAATTGTTTCACTTTTTCAATTGTTTCAAAGACTCAAGTTAATTAGCCAATGTGATGTCCATTTGCCTAATAATTACAATTGTTATTGTTAATTGTAACTATTTTAATTGCTAGTGATCAATGTTTTCATTAACAGATTAGAAATCAAAAATTTAAGTTGATTGAAAATAATTAAAAAAAAAAACAAGCAAAAGTTGATTGGGGTTTAAATTATGATGTTTATTTGATTGATTGTTTTGACAGAAAAAGTCAACAATTAAAAAAATGTTTACAATTAATTGTAACAATTATGATTAATATTTACAATAAATTATCGCGATTTTCACCTTTAATTAACTAATCAATTAAGCAATTGATTAATCTAAAGGATATATAATAATTTTTTTAAGAAAAATTTAATTCTATCTACACAATTAAAGTCAAGTTATTGAGATTGAATTAATAAAAATAGCTAATCTATTGAATCGTAATTAGTTAATCATGATTAGTTTTTATAGTAAAAAATAAGTTTCCAATTTCCTTTGACAATTAACTTAAATGTCCTCTAGCTAATTTTCCCGTAGTTAAAAATTAAATCATCTAATAAACAAAACTAATCTAACTGTTGATGATTTAACCAAATCAAAGTAAATTTAAATTGAAACAACAACAATTGGTTGATTGTTGAGTAATTTGTTTTCTTGAGTGAATGTAAATATAAATGAGTGAAAAACAAAGCAAATAATTTGAAAATGTGATGAGACTGATGATTAGAACGGTAATTAAAATTAATTGTATATATATAAAAGCTAAATTGTTGTAGATGACCAAAGGGATTGTAATTGTTTGACCATTTACTTTGTTACTATTTACTTGATTGACCATAAAGAGGATAAGCAACATTTTGCTTGAAAAAACCTCGCACGTTGCCCGGAGGGTAATAGTTACAAGCGATGTAAATCCTTTCGGTTCGAGGGCTTTGAGCGGCAGCGCAGCCAATTTTTTGGGTATCTTTCCAAACGATTTGGGTGAAATGTCCAGTTTTGGGCGAGTATCGAGGCCAATTGTATTGGTAGAGTGAAATTTCATTGTACCAATTCATGACGGCGTCTTGACAGGTCGGAACGGAACCTTTTCGCCAGTACAAGTTTTCACCATAAGGTAAACGCTTCGGGTGCTGGAAGATATCGGTAGTCGCCATGTATTCAGCTCGTTTCAAGGCAAATCTTTCCAACTAATTGTTGAAAAAAAAAGAGATAAACAATTAACTCCGATAATTAACTCTATTTACATTTGACATTGTCAAAGATTAACTGTAATTAAGTTAATCGTTATTATTATAACCTTGATTTAAGAGTGAGAGAGAGAGAGAGAGATAATCACACTCTTTGGGAATTATTTTGAAATTTTTTAAAGAAAATACAATTAAATTTAACTGATGGACAGAGAAAGTTAATTATCTTTGTATTGTTTTGATTGTCAAGTTAATCAACACTGAGTAAATCTCACGAATCAACATCTCACTTGCTAAATACATAAGCTAATGATTAAAAGGATGAGCAAGGTTAAGGTGTTGATGATTAGCAGCAATTTGTATTGTTGCTTGATTGTTATCATCAAAAAATCAACCAAATTAAAAACAAAACATGATGATGACTGAAGTTAAAATGATTCTGTATGTTAGGAAAGCCCGAGATAATCTTGAATTTATCATGATCATGGTCACTTTTGATTCTTAATACAAATATAATTATTTTGAATATAATCAAGTCAAAAAGTAAATTGAAAACAATTTAACCTTCTCAGTGAGAGAGAAAGAGAGTGAGAGATGATGATGATAGTGAAGATGAGAGTTATTAGATTACATCATTACATGAGAAGATAATCAATGGTAAATGTGGTGAAAATGTTCAGAGAGAAATTCAAGTAATCTTGAAAAAAGAACTTTTCTCAAATTCGAAATTCAGTTTCTTCTTCTTCTTATTTTTCACTGTTTTTGGTTTTCTTTTCAAGGAAGAATTATAATTACTATTCAAATTATCGCCGTAATTACAATCAGTTCCATGATGATGATTAACCTGATTGATAAGAAATCATGGTGATTCTCTCTGTTAACTGTAACAATTAACCCTGACAATCGGCTTTTAATTCTTGAATCAAGTCATTGGACGATTAACGTGACAATCAAATGTGTTGCAATGATTGTTGCTTATTGGGGGAACAATTTAATTGCTGGTTAATTGTTTGCAAATCTAAATGATAGATTGTAAATTGTTGAGTATTGATTGATTGGTGAAAACAATTTTCTCAACAATTTAAATGACCATTAAAAGACAATTACATTTGATGGTCATCTAATGGTAAAGAAACATTTTATTGGTTTCATTGTGTTTACTAACAATTAACTGATTAACAAAGATGATGACAGGGAAGATAATGATTATGATTAAGATGATGATGATTAAAATGGTCAGAAATTCAAGTGGAAAGACATTAATCACAATTAGGCCTTACAATTAACGGTACACAATCTGATCACATTACAACTCGAAAGGCCTTTAATCAAGGTGAACTTGAGTTAATTCAGTAATCAAATGATTTTCAACATTTAATGAATAATAAATTAGCTTAAATTGTTAACAATTTAGTACTATAGAAAGTTAGATTTAATCTAGATTAACAATTAAACAGTTGACGGTCAAAACAATTTATTAATTGTCGTGTCCGATGAAAACAAAAACAAACTTTTCCTTGGTTAATTAATCAAAATCAAAGCGGAACGAGAAAAATTAAAACTTTTTCGTATTGTTAGTTAATTAAATTTCCTTAATTTGACTGACAGCAATTAACGATTAACAATTATTAATTGTTTCTCTTACCTCTTCATCGTATTCCAATGGTGATGATCCATGAATTGCTCTTAAATAATTATGGGTAGTTAGACAATCTTGTCCTGTAATTAAGAGATAAATTTAAAACAATTAAGCATCTTGATTAACCACCTTCACATTAATTTCAAGTTAAATTTATAGATAAATGATTAACTTGATTTAGTTTCAATTATTCATTAAATGATTTCAAGTTTTACCATTAATTTATTGCTAATTGCTCAATCAATTAACTAATTATCTACCTGTCAAAAAGTTGTAATTAAAAGGTGTTGGTGTTAAATTGTTGTGGGTGTAAAAATTAATTGATTGAGTAACTTGATTAGCTCAATTGTAACTAAATTAAAAGTAACAATGTTTGTTAATTGTTTTCAATCTCATTGTTTTCTAGTTGACAATTAAACTAATTTTTCAAGGCAAATTTTAATTGTTGATCAAAACTTTTTGTTCAACTTGATACTTTTGGCTAACTAATTGCTGATAACTTTAATTGTGAATCATTTAAAACGAGATTTAATCAATGAATTGTCCTTACCATTGGCTGGTTGATAAATTGTTTCAATAATTATTACAATGATTAACAATTGGGTTAACATATTTCCTCTTAATCGTTTAATTACTTATTGATTTTAAACTTCCAATAAAATTGAATAATAATTTGAAGATTAAGATGATTTAAAGATTATCCAATTAATAGTAAAACACTTAATTGAAATTTTGATGGAATCAAATATAAATTGTTACACTTTTAAATTAGATAACCAAATGGTGAACAATTTAGCGAGAAATAGTTGGTCAAGTTGAGATGGTTAACTGATTTAGATGATATTAGTTAGTGAAATGAAATTTGAAAGGAAAGAAAAAATTGTTATAAGAAAATGAGAAGAAATTAAAAGAAAAGGGAAAACAAATTAACACAGACAAGTTAACAAACTAAATTAATAGTAACACAATTAACACAAGAAACAGACACACACAGGATCGGGTTAGAATCTCTTCTGATTAACAGAATCCCATGTATTCAGACTAATATTCAATTTCGTATACACCTTAGGGACATTTGCTACATGAAGGCTCATCGTCATCTTTTCCCTCTCTTTCCCCGATCATCATCAACCCTTTTCAACTCCCCATAACCCACCTTTCTCTTTCTTTATCTTTCTCTCTCACTAACTCTCTCTGTCTCTTTATCTCTCTCACAGAACTTTATCAATTCTAAAGGTATGTTCAGGGTTGTTCCTTTTTTTTTCTCCTTTCTAACTACCCCATTTTTCATGATATATCTTCATGATATTTGTATAAAATTGAATTTCCATTTCAAGGTGGATCTCATCATGTAATATGGTTGACGTTGATTCATTCAATACACTTGTTTCACTTTCTCTTTCCTTTGGTTTAATCTTCCTCAATTTCTTGATCATCACGATTAACTGAACGCTTATATGATTCCAGAGTTTTATCAACTTCCAGATTAAGTGTATTCTCTGATGTTGTAGCAGGTTGATTAACTGTTTCACTACTACTTTGACTACTGGTCATTTCTAGAAAAAAAATGAATTATAGAAAAAATTAAAATTAATCAAATCAAAACAAAGAACGAGAAAAACAACAACCTACCTGTTGGATTATCGGATGAATGATATTGTAAATATAATCTCTCAGTTGAAACAGATCTTATCTGATCACTAAGAAGATCAATTAATTTTCTTAAAACTTTCTCTTCCATTTGTAATTTTTTTAATTTAGCTCGTGGATTATTGTTAGACATAATTAAGAAACAAAAGTAAACAAGAAATCAAAAATCACTTCAAATGAACAATTCCAAAGATGAACCAATAGATGTCACTACTTACCTTTCTCGAACTTTTTCGAAAAATCCGCGAATTTTAAATTTTGATCTTTAATCAACTGACCAGATTGTTAACAATTAAACAATCTAAAAGTTAATTGTAGCGATTAATTTATTCAATTTGATAACCATTCATATCAATACATAATCTTAAAGATTTTCTAACACTAGTAGCGTTTAATTGTTCACATTTATGGTCAAATGATTTGCCAGAAATTTAAACTAATCGTTGTACTTAATTTGTTAATTGTTTGATCTTTAATTTGATTATTTAATGTAAAATTATTCGTTAATTATTATTCCTGATTGTTACAATTAAATTCTTTCTCAAGTGTAACTTTTTTTCTCGTTCACTTGGTTATGATTGGACAAATGATGATAATATGATTAGATTGTTTTTTGACAATTTCGCAAAATTTAGTTAATTTAACTTTTTGGAAAATTTAATCAATTAAATTGACACAAATTAAAGATTAATTTACAATTAAATTATTTGCCGATGATTATTGATAAGTAAAGAGGAGAAAGTGCCAAAAATGAAAACAAAGTGAAAATCGGTCGAGAAATTTTTTCCATAGACTGATGACCAAAAGTATTAATTGGATTTAATTGTTTACAATTTGATTGAGATAATTAATATAATTAACCAACGATAAGTGAACAATTTAGGTGTTTCTTTCTTAGATTGTGTTAGTCTAATTGTTTGGTTTTTTCTTTCACAAGAAGTTATTAAAATTTTACATCAAGATAATTTCTATTTGATACAATAAATAATTGTTCGGTGTGAATAGTAATCAACAATAAATATAATAATATAATTATTATCAATTAACTATCACATAATAATTATCATTAATAATTACATTAAAAAAATGCTTATGAGCATAAGTTAATTTGATTAAAGATTAAATCAGTTTAAAATGGTTTCGATTGGTAATTAAAAGTTGACTGATTTGTATGTTGAATTTGGTTAACTAGTCAAAAGAATTAAATAAATTAAAATCCATGAGATCATTGAGAATTAAGATGAAGACAATTAATTGATTGTGATTCCATTTTTTTACCCATTCAAGGAATAGATTATGCGTAAATTGTTTGAAGATTCACATTGGAATCCAATTCTGTTGGACCTGCTTGGTTTTCCCTCGAAGTGTCAATCTCACACGACGAGGACGCTTTTTGTACATAAATTGGATTCTCGAAGGTTGAAAATTTCCGGCCAAAGGTAATTCGAATAGGATAACGAGTGTGATAGACTTTAACACAGCCGTAAATAGCACCGACTAGCAAAGCCACGGTAATTATTAGGAGAACCGCTGATAGAGCAACAAACTCCAGGAATGGAGGAGGAAATGATGTTTTAATTGTTGATTGTTGCTGTTGATCTTGTTGTTGTTGTTGTTGACTAGTTGATAGAGATTGACTGGATAAAATTGTTGTTACTGGTTGATTCAAATTAATATCGGTCATCAATGTTATCCTGGTGTAATTATTGGTGCTCATGGTGGCTGTGGAAAGACTTGAATCAGCTGTTGAATCATTTTTATTGGAACTTGATTCAATATCAGCTGATGATTTTGGCAAAACTGAAATGGAAATGAAATGATTAATTAGTTTTGTCGTAATTAATGAGAAAACAAAAGGTTTTTCAATCTTGAAACTAATTCATTTGTTTTGGTTTTCTATTAATTATTGGTAATATACTCGATTGTTAATTGTTGAATCATTACATGAACGACAATTATTATGTATCAACTAATTTCCTCTCTAATAATTTATATAATTTAGATTTAATCATTATGAATAAAAAAACATAAATTGAAAGTGAAGTTTTAAATTGACTGTAAAAATGAATTAAATGAAACAATTTTGATTCATTAACAATGAATTAACTGTAAGAGGATGTGTATCATGTTGAAACCATGCAATTTAGATACAAGGTTAATCGTGATGACAATTTATTAACTCACATTGTAATCACATGTGAATGACAATATGGTTGTCACATTGGATCATGAATACACATCAATGTAAAACATTGTTAATTTAACAGAATTGTTTTCAATTGTTTATGAGATAATGTCAAGGACATTGTAATAAACTTACAGAGAAAAGATTAATCAACTAATCAAATCAATTTTACCTGAATTGTTAATTATTGTTGACGATGGAAAAGATTTTGTTGTTGATGATGATGGAGATAAATTTGACAATGATAATGTTGCTGTTGTATTAGTTGGTGATGGAGATGGAGATGTTGTGTTTAAAAAATTATGATCACTTTGGACAGAATTAAATAAATTTACTGATGATGATGGTGAAGATGTGGAAGTATTAGAAATTGTAGAATCATTTAGATGATCAGTAACTCTTTGAATGGGAGATTGTGAATCAAATTTCACTGACCAGAGAAATGGTAAAAAACATAAGACCATAATGGTGGACACAATCAAGTTCTGGTGATATTGAATCATGGTGGTGGATAATAACTTACCACACGAACAGTAGGATAAAAGAGGAAGTTGATTGTTAATTGTATTTCTATTGAACACCCTGATTAAACAGAATTGATCATCAGTTTGGCTTTAAGAAGGTAAAATAGTCATTGCTTGTCATCTCCACATGATGGTGATGGTGTAAAATAATTTGGAGCACCAAAGAAGATGAAGGAAATAATATTAATCATGAAGAGAGAGAGAGCCAATTTGCAGGGAATAAGGGATCTCACTGAGAGAGAAAAGGTTGAAAAATGTTTACATTGGAAGAGAGGAAACAGGAATGGATAAGAAAAGAGAATTTAGGAAGAGAAAAATGTAGAGAGAGAGAGAGAGAGAAAAATAGAAAAGAGAAGCTTGTCATCATCATCATCTCCATCACATCTCCATCATCTTCTTCCTCCCACTCTTGTAATCAATGGAAAATTGCGCTTGCCCTTCACAATGAATTTACTGTTACTCTAAATGCTGAAGAAAACCATAGAAACATATCACAACCCGATTCAACTCTATTCTCTTTCCTGGTTGTTCCGTTTACTCTCATTAACCGGAAATTATATCAATTTTAATGATAAATTTTAATTCCATCACCGTCATCGTTATTAACATTTCCTTTTGACACTATTGAAACTGCAGAAAATAAAATAAAAGAGAGAAAATTAGTCATCAATCCTTTTGAGCCTAAAAAAGAATTTTTTTCCTCTACTTTACAATTGATATTCTATTAAAAACTTACCATTGAAAGTACAAGTCCAACAATACGATAAAAAATTCTAATCAACTAAACGAAATCATCAAGCCAACAATCAGCTAATTGTTATTTCTGATACCATTAAGTTTATTATTCTCATAAGTTAACTAATATCTCAAGGACTAAAGGTCATATGAATGTCAAACTAGACCAGAGAACTGAACAGAATCGAAGCGCTCGATCCAACGATTTTCAAGGCCATTGAGGTCATTTCCCGGCGAAGGGCGTATTGAAAGGTAATTTTAAGGTCTTCATATGAAAGAGCAAATCAGATGACCCATCAAGTTTTATTTTAGAGTTCCTGTGATGAAAGAATTAGAAGATGACCTCAATGACCTTGAGAATCGTTGGGTTGAGCGCTTCAATTCTGTTCAGTCCTCTGGTCTAGTTTGACATTCATATGACTTGGCTTAGAAAACACTAAGCAACAAAGATCATTGCCTTTACTTTGTTAATGACAACAATCAATTCTAATTGTTGGAAATTAACACTCATTGTTGACAGGAAATTAATCTAAAATCAGATAAGACGAAATGATTAGAATTGATGAGAAAAATTAAATAAGAAAACACAAAGAGACAAGATAAACACTTAATCGTTACCAAGGAGAAAGAAAAACAGAAAGATTTACATTTATATTCTAGAAATTAAAGGAACAATTTGTTTTTCTTTTCTTTTGTTTCTCTCTCTGAATATGGAATTAATTAGTTCATTTGATTCTCTAATTGAACAATCAATTCCGGGTGAACATTTAGATGAAGTGAAGAAATATATCTATGGTTGGATTCCAAGGTAAGTTTCAAATGAGATTAACAAGTGTCCATTGGAATTGTTGACCATTGATTGATTGATTGATTTGATTGTTTATTGTTTGTTTTCTGCTCCATTCTAATTGTTACAGGTCATTACAATTACCGGAAAATTGTGAATCAACGGCTGACACTTTGGGTGTTGAATTAAAGGCCTACAAGTTCAACGCTGAGATTGAACAACTTAGATCACCAAGATTGGTTAGAGTTGCGGTTGTTCAAAACGCTTCACCATTGGCACCAAGTGACCCTGTTGACCAGCAGCGATTGGCCTTACATAAACGGATATCATCAATTACCTCGTTAGCATCCAAGGCTGGAGTGAATATCATTTGTTTCCAGGAAACATGGCGTAAGTGATTGTTAATTAGTTCTAATCAACAATCAACATTGTCATTGATCATTTTTGTTGGTGATAATTTAGATATGCCGTTTGCCTTTGCGACACGGGAAAGGTTACCATGGACTGAATTTGCTGAGAGTGCTGAAAATGGACCAACAATTAAATTATGCCAAGAGGTGAGGATGACAATTTGTTAATTAGCCTTTAAAATGATCAAATTGTGTCAAAAAAACTGTTTGTTTTTTTTTAATTCATATTATCAGGAAACTAATTGCTTAATCAATTTAGTTTAAATTACCTTTAATTTTGCATAATTGTAATATTTACTTACTTAATTATCTAACCTAATTGTGATCAATTAATTTTACTTCAATCAACTTGTTTACTATGATGAAAAATTGTGATTAACAAGCAACAATTAAGATTTTACTTACCTTTAATCACATTATCAATCAATTGGAGTGATTATTAGTAAAGAAAAATCAACAAATTAATTAGGTGTTAAATTACGTTAATCACTTTAATATTTAGATCATTTTAATCGTTAACATAATCTGAGAACAATTAAAATGACCTAATAGTGGTTGAAATTAATTTCCATCACAATTAGGTTCATGTAAAGGTTTTTTATTATGATTTTGTCACTTGAATTGGTTTCTAATGACAATTAACTCTAATTTCGGTTGATTAATTAGCTCGCTTCTCGTCATAATCTGGTTATTATCTCACCGATTCTGGAAAGAGATGAGAATCATGGTGATATTATCTGGAATTCAGCAGTTGTAATATCTCAACATGGGAAAATAATCGGTAAAACCAGAAAGAATCACATCCCTCGAGTTGGAGATTTCAATGAGGTAAGACAGCAACAATTAGTTAATCCAATTGTCTGAGCTAATCCATGAATAAGATAACAAATTCTAATCAACTAAACAAAATCATCATGCCAACAATCAGCTAATTGTTGTTTCTGATGCCATTAAGTTTATTATTCTCATGAGTTAACTCTACTATTATTTTCCCTTTTTTTTCCTGAGATTTTTTCTTCTTGTTTAATTTGATTTCTTTTAATCAATAGTTTTAATGATTAATGTTAATAATTATTACAATAATCATCATCAGCAGATGATGATCTCATAGGAACTTGTATTTTCAAGGTAAAACCTTGATTAAAGCAATCAAATGAAAACCCCATGGTATCGTTCATTACAACGATGAATTATATTAATTGCTGGTACTCATTTACAACGAAAATCCTAGTAAAAAAAAAGAGAGAGAGAGAGAAAGGGTTAATTATGATCAACTAATTGTAATTCGATTATCTTATCCCATTAATCTAGTCAACTTATTACATGGAAGGAAACTTGGGTCACCCTGTTTTCGAAACCTCTTATGGTCGAATCGCTGTCAACATTTGCTATGGAAGACATCACCCTCTCAACTGGTTAATGTACGAAATTAATGGAGCTGAGATCGTCTTTAATCCGAATGCAACGGTCACCGGACTATCTGAACATTTATGGCCAATTGAAGGTCGATGTGCGGCCATTGCCAATTCTTACTTTACCTGTGTAACTAATCGAGTTGGAACTGTAAGCAGTTAATGATTAGAATTTAATTTATGTATTAATCGTTGTTATTAATTTGTTTGGGTTGTTATTTGTAGGAAATTTTCCCGAACGAGTTTACATCGGGAAATGGTTTACCTGGACATAAAGATTTTGGACATTTCTATGGTTCGGCTTATATAACTGGACCAAATGGTAAACGAACTCCGTGTTTATCTCGAACCAAAGATGGACTTTTAATTGCTGAGATTGATTTAAATGTTTGCAGACAGGTTAAAGATACATGGGGATTCAAGGTTAGTTAATTGTGACAAGTTGAACGATAACAATTTCCATGACTAATTGTAATTGTTTTACGATTTGTTTGTATTAATTTACAATTTTGACAATGAAAATTTTTCTCTCCATCTTGTTAAATTAAATAGATGACACAACGATTGGATTATTATGCTAAAACACTGACTGAGGCTTCCAAACCTGATTACAATCAGCAAATAATTAAGGAGAATTAAAATTTAATCAAAAGCAACAATTTAACTTGGGAAACATTGGCCTTAATTATTGACCAAAACAATTAAACCACTTGACCGAATACAATCAATGACGATCACTAAACTAAATTAAACATTTAAATTAAATTGTTGTAAATAAAAAAAACTTATGAAACCAAACCAAATTGGATTAAAATGAAAGTGGTCAATCAAAACAATCAGCTGATTAATCTAAGAGATGATGATAAAAATTTGGGAGTGAGAGAGAAAGAGGGAAAAGGTAAGAAAAGAAAGAGTAAAAGACAGAGAAAACGAAGATGAGGATGAAGACAAGGATGATGATGAGAGAGAAAAAGAGAAGATGATAAATTATCTTCTTTTAAGATTTACATCGACCTTGATTTACTTTGCTCACGAAGAAAAGAGAGGGAGACAAATGAAGAAGAAGAAGATGATGATGATGAGAGATAATGAGAGAGAAAGAAAAAGTCCTCCCTTAGAATTAAATCTTCTTCCACCATCGAGGATAAAACTACAATTTAATTGAATTGATTACAAGTGAATTAACGTGTGTTTACCTGATCATCATCTTCGTCATCTTCTTGTCATCATCTCTCTTTCTCTTCTCTCTCTATCGATTTGTTTTCTTTATGGAAACAAAATCATTTTAATTTACCTTCTTCTCTCTGTTGTTTTGTTTTGTTTTTTTTCTCTCTCTCTCTGTTTCCTTTTACCTTCACTTTCTCTTTAACATTTGACCTCAACGTTGACCTTAACATTTGATTAAATCTCGGAACTAATTAAACTAATCCAGTGCCAAATCTATTTCTGGATAACATTGAATATTTTGTTAACTGTTTTCTTTTTTCTCCTCTGTCTCTTTTTCTGTCTTCATATTTTTTTCTCTTATTTTTTTTTTCTTCCATCAAAATGTCTTCACCTTTTCGTGGTTCCCAGTTAACTAACAAATTATCTCGCCGATTCTATCGTATTGAAGGTTTACAAGATCAAAATCTTGACCAAGGAGCTTTTGTTGACCAATTGAATCCATTCTGCTTCGAGATCGCATGGGAAGTCTGTAACAAAGGTAAGAGTTGATCTCTGTTTCCGTTATTTGACCTTTTGTTGCTTTACCCTTGATGTTTTTTTCTCTTTCTCTCTCTCTCACCAATTTAGTCGGTGGTATTTACACTGTTATTCGTAGTAAGGCACCGGTCAGTGTTGAAGAATTGGGTGACCAGTATTGTCTCATTGGTCCTTACAAGGAGCATTGGGTCAAGACTGAGGTTGAACTATTGGAACCAACTGAGAGCTATTGGAAGGAGACAATTGAAAGTGTTGCTGCCCATGGAATTAAAATCTATTATGGTCGGTGGTTAATCGATGGTACCCTCAGGTCATTCTGGTTGATCTTGATTCGGCTTCATGGAAATTGGCTGAATGGAAACACGATTTTTGGAATGTATGTTCCATTGGTATTCCTAATACCGATATTGAATCAAATGATTCAATTCTCTTTGGTTATTGTGTCGCTTGGTTTTTGGAAACATTTTATACCAAAGTTGCCGCTGCTCGAGATATTAGTTCACCGCTTCTAGTTGCTCATTTCCATGAATGGTTAGCGGGTGTTGGCCTCATCTTATGTCGAACAAGACATCTTGATATATCGACCATTTTTACTACTCATGCGACACTTTTGGGTCGCTATTTATGTGCTGGTGCTGTTGATTTTTACAACAATCTTGATAAGGTAAGTGTTTGCAAATTACGATCAATTGATTGTTTTGTCTCTTTCATTTTATTTGAGAAGAGGAAAAGAGAGATAAATAAACAATGATAGAGAAAAATTAACTGTTTGGTTTCATTTGGAATCAGCTGAGATCTTTTCTCTCTCTCAATCTTAATCTCTTCCTCTCTCTCTTCTCATGCTCTAGTTATAAAAGATTATTGGTTAACAACCGTTAATTGTATTGATAATTGTTCTTATTAAATCAATTTAGCACAAGGGGTAAACATTTATTAAATTATCAATTGATTTATCAGTTCAAGGTTATCATGATGAATAGTTTATTAATTAATCTGAAGAGACTAATTGAAGAAATGTTTTGAATTGATTGTAATGATTTTTTTTTATTCCCTTCACAGTTTAACTTGGATAAGGAAGCCGGTGATCGGCAGATTTATCATAGATATTGTATTGAGAGAGCAGCGGCTCATTCGGCTCATGTTTTTACCACCGTTTCGGAAATTACTGCCATCGAATCGGAACATTTACTCAAACGTAAACCCGATGTTGTTACTCCAAATGGTTTAAATGTTAAACGATTTCATGCTATCCACGAGTTTCAAAATCTTCATTGTAAAGCAAAAGAGAAGATCAATGAATTTGTTCGTGGTCATTTCCATGGTCATTATGATTTCGATTTAGATAAGACATTGTACTTTTTCATCGCTGGTCGTTACGAATTCTCAAACAAAGGAGCCGATCTTTTCATTGAAAGTTTAGCACGACTCAATCACGAATTAAAGGTAAACAACAATCGTAAACGCAAAAAAATAAACATGAATCAACAGGTTGATGATCAATTTTTTTATTCTAATTGTTTAGGTTCATAGACCTGACACAACTGTAATTGCCTTCTTAATTTTACCCGCTCGAACCAACAATTTCAATGTTGAATCGTTGAAAGGTCAAGCAATTGCCAAGCAATTTAGGACCACAGTTGAAGAGGTGAAAGATGCAATTGGCACACGATTATTTGAATCTGCCCTTAGTGGAAATATGCCAACAGGGATCAGCTCCTTCAATCAGATGATATTGTTAAACTTAAAAGGTGTATTCTGTCCGCTTCAAGGTCAACACTGCCACCGATTTGTACACACAACATGCTCGAAGATTCAGCTGATCAGGTACTTGCCGCTATCCGTCGATGTAAATTATTCAACAACCGAAGTGATCGAGTTAAAGTTATCTTTCACCCGGAATTTTTATCCTCAACTAATCCATTATTCAGCATGGATTATGAGGAATTTGTTCGAGGCTGTCACCTTGGTGTTTTCCCTTCATATTATGAGCCCTGGGGCTATACACCAGGTGAATGTACCGTAATGGGAATACCAAGTGTCACAACAAATCTTTCCGGGTTCGGTTGTTTCATTGCCGATCATGTGGCCGATCCAATGTCCTATGGTATCTATATAGTTGACCGACGATTTAAAAGTCCAGAAGAATCGGTTCAACAATTAACTCAACAAATGTACGATTTTTGTTCACTAACAAGACGCCAACGGATCATTCAACGAAATCGTACCGAAAGACTGAGTGATCTTTTAGACTGGAAAAGTCTTGGAGTGGTAAGTCCAATTTTCTTCCTTTGATCAGCTGATTATTAATCTTAATATTAATCTCTCTTTCAAAGTATTATGCAAGATCCCGAAGACTTGCCGTTCATCGCGCTCACCCTGAACTCCTTCCCGAAGATGAATTCGAGGAGAGACTTCAAATCAAATATCCTCGACCCTTCAGTGAGCCTCCCTCACCGCGTCGATCTCGAGCTATGACTCCCGCTCCATCGATACCCGCCAGCGACGACGATAGTTCAGATGACGAGTTTCGTGATTAATTTGATTTCAATGAATGACAATTAACTTTTAAAATGATTAACCAAATTAACAATTGTAATAATAATGATTTAACAAACTACAATTAACTGGATCAACTTTCAATTTTCTGTCAATTAAAAATATGAAAAAGTTAAATGAAAATGTTTATTTGATCAACTAATCAATTATCAATCTTTTTGATGGTCAATTGTTCAACTAATTAAAATCAGTGAGTGCAAACTAAATTAATCAATAACAGTTAATTGTTTTAAGTCATAAAGGTTAGTGATAAAAACTTTAATCACTTTTTAATTGTTACTTTGATTTAGTTTGACAATCAAACTTGTAATTTTTCATTATCATCTAATTGTTTGTTTGGACGTTTTTTTTTTAACCAACTAAATTGTAATCAATGTCTCTTAATCTGATACAACAATTAATTGATGATCAGAATTAAATCAATAACAATGATTAAACTTTTCCAATTCTAATTGTTTCCTATTTACTTTATCATCTTCCGTAATTAAATCAAACAGTTAAACCAATGAATGGGTAACAATTAATATTATTGTTCCTGGAAACAATTTAATCGTATTGTTTAATTTGATTTATCATTTTAATTTTTGTATCCAAACAATTTAGTGTTAATTGTTACTGATTTAATAATAAAATTATATAAATAATCTTAAGGTGATATCGTCAAAATGAAAAATGGATTAACAATATTAATAGTAGAACAATTAAGTTAATCATTTAGTCAACAACAATTTAGAAATTGTTATTCACTTAATTGTAATTGATTAAAATTCTTCCTGAGTAATAATCATTAACAATTTAACTCAATCTACTTTGATGGTTGACAAATTATCATATCACAAGATTATTTTTTCACTTTATTCAATTACTTTTAATTGTTACAATTACAAACAATTAATATTGAAGAAAAACTTTCATCTTCATTATTTAATCAACTTTGTTTATCTTTGTTTATACTTGATTGATTGTAATTAATTGTCATTGATTAAGCTTTCAGTTCAATTAGTTATGCATTGAGATTATTTAGCAAAAGGGAAAATGTTTCCTTAATTGTTATCGTTAATTGTAGTTGACTTTTAATAGCTTTTAATTATTCAAAATCTTGATTGTGAAACTACCGATTCTAATTAGCAGGCTTATAATTATTAACAATTAGTTTCATGATGAAAATGATCAGTAAATTGTTTGATTTTTTTGTTGTTTTTTTGATGGTTTGAAATTTTTTTCATCTGATTGTTTACAATTAACTGGAGTATCGATTGATTAATCTCACAATCAAGAGCAAATCACTTTGATTAGTTGAGGGAAAGCTAAATTGAACATTCTTAATTTACTAATTGTTGGAATGAATTTCTCGTTGATTAAAACTTTGATTATTTTCCATTGATTGAAGTTAAAATTAGTTACAATAATTACTAATTCCAATGCTAATTGATTTGATTTGATTTGATTGTTGATATGATTACGATTCAAACTAAATAATTAGTAACAATTAACTTTTCCATTGAGAGTTTAAATCTCTTCCGGAAATAATTAACAGAGTAAATTGTTGATTGATGTTATTGTTTCTCTATTATTATTATTATGATTAAGATGATGATGAACAATTAAAGAAAGTAAATAGTTCAATAGTTGACAATTTGATCAGTTAAACAATTAAAAACGAACTTTCAATCGAAAGTAAGAAAAACAAATTAATTAAAAATCTTAATTCTGATCATTAATGTTATTGAACTTTTCTCTTGTCAAACAATTAATTCCCACTAATTAGCCAATCAACATTTAAGAAACTTAATTGTTGATCTATTTTCATTGCCAGAGTTTCTTTTTACAGGACAAATCAATCAACAATCAATAAATAATCAAATGATTAGAAAAATAATTGCTCTTAATTATTTCAAGGAAAGAAAATCCTATTTAAAGATTTCAATCATTTCCTTGCATTTCCATTGTTTGTGATGTAAATAAACAAGTTAATCTACTAAATTGATCACATTAATTATGTTAAATTCTCATTTTTATTCTCAAATTAAATCTAATTAATCATGATTGTGTGTGGGATTGATGATGATTAACAATCAATCGATTGAATCAATCTAAATGGCCTGGCAAAAACACCGAAAATCCTTTGATAATGTAAACAAAATCGATTAGTAGGAAAAGGTAAATAAGGTTGAACTTCATTTTCAATTCTAATTTGTAATCAGTTAACTATTGTTTATCACTGCTAACGATTTATAATTAGTTGAATTTTCTTAAAATTGAGAGAGAAAAGATATTTTAATTTGAAGAAAATTATCATTTCCTTTCAGATTCCATTTACAGATATTACTCCATATTCTTGATGCTATCGGTTGTTTACACTCTAAATACAGAAAAGTTTTTCTTTTCTCTTTTACTTCATTAGCATCTAATGATTACCTCTAATTGTTGACAATATCCTTTCTCTCTCGATTTTGTTTACTTCTCTCTCTCTCTCTCTCTCTCTCTCTCTCTCTCTCTCTCTCTAAAAACTTTCTCTAAAATCAACTATCAACCCGAAATCAGCGGTAATGAACGATAAATATTAGTTGAACTAATAGTTGTTACGATTTTTTTATCATCTGATTAACTACTTTTCTCACTCTCGCTCTCTTTCACCAGGTTACCTTTTGTCTTCTGAAGAGAGAGAGAGAGCGGAAAATGTTAACTTTAGGGTTACACTACCATTACCAAGGATCATCATCATCATCATCGTCATCATCACACTCACTCATTTATCTCTCTCACTCTAATCTAATCTGTTTGGCTTAGCGAAAATATCGATGCATGAGAATCTTATCGAATTACTTTGTCCGACCTTCTTTTTTTTTCGTGGCCTTTTCATCCACCCCCAACAATCTACTTCCTTCCTAATTTTCTTTTATTATTATTGATCTGTTTACATTTTTATCTTCATAATCATCATCGTTTTTAAGATCAATCGCTTATGAAGCAATTGACACTTTTCCCGTTCTATTGGTACAATAAGAGGCTGGATTATGTAATAGAAGGAGCTTAAAGGTGAGAGTTTGGAGGAGGAGGGTGAAGATGATGATAACTTTGACTGTCTCCACCTCTCACCTTTACTACTACCTGTTGATCTAATAATTATAAGGTTGATAATGATGGAGATCGATTGATTTAATCGATTTGCGAAAACAAATGTCCGCCTTAGAGATTGTGAGTAACTGGAAAAATAGATTTGGAAAAATCAAATTTAAACGAAGGACAAATTGTTTCAACGATCATTCAATCATCTGAACAGTTTCAATTCACTTAAATCAACAATCAACAAATAAACAAACGAAAATGTCTAAGGTTAGTCTTGATTATTATCTTGTGTGTTTTTATCAATGGATTCTCATTAATTATCTTTATGTAATTAACTTTAATTTTGTTTCTATCTGTAGGCTATTTTCTTACTCGCTTCTCTCCTCCTTTTGGTTATCGTCGTAAATGCCAATGGTAAATACCCACAACACGGAGGTCACAGTAACACCTACAGAAAACAGGATGTAAGTTGAATTAGTGAAATTTATGTGAATAGTTTTCCGATTTGATTCACTCATCAACAATTAAGTAATTGCCTTTAATTGGGATTTGTTTCCACTCGATTTTTTCCAATGATAGGCTTGGGGTAACTACAAATTCGGATACGATATTGTTGATCCAAAGGAGCCAAAAATTCACGACATGAAGAAGGTAAGTTTACACAATTTATCAATTAGTTTTCAGGGGAATTTTGAATTATAACTTGTCAACTTGTTGTCAATTGTCATCAGGTGATGCTTGGGGAAACAAACATGGTGAATACAGTTTGAAAGATGTCGATGGTCGAGAACGACAAGTCCAATATATCGCTGACAAGGCTGGTTTCAGAGCTAAAATCAAGACCAACGAACCAGGAACTGGCTCAATCGATGCCGCTGACGCTATTTACAATGGCCCAGATCCCCATGGACACAGGTAAACTCCAGTGTTCTCATTTTATTTTAATCATTTGTTAATTAATCTCTTTTGATCACTTTCAATCAACAGCCACACTCATGTACCATCAGGATGGGAACCTCATCACGGTCACCACGGAAGTCACCACTAAATTATTACCAAAGAATTGAATCAAAATTTTCACCATAATACCTTGCGACTCTCGTACTGAAAAGGTAAAAGGTGGAAAAGATTACAAACAAACTACCATCAACAAATCATAAAAATTAACAATTAATAAGCAAAACAATTGTTACTACATCAACTTCATCTGTAACATCATAATCATGATCAATGTGATAATTTATTTACATCGAGATAAATAAAAACAAACTCGATTTCAAAACAAAACAATCAACATTTTACTCATTTTATTTAACAATCAACTAGAAGATTAAAAGATAATCAAATAAGATTTCTCTTTAATTTCTCATTTTACAATCAAAGATCGAAACAATTAAACTGCTCTGAGAATAGAAAACCACTTTAATCTTCTGTGAGAATAGTCTTTCTGCTAATCTAATTTTCTTTATAATATTAATCCAATTTCATTGCGACAATTTAACTCTTTAATTCTGATTTGACTGAATTTCATGAAGGTACAATTTCCAATCTATTTCATCAAATTCCAATTCTTTTTCTCTGATTCAAACTCGAAATTTATCTATTCTCTTAACTTCAAATGCCGATTTTCATTCAATTTTCTCTACCATTCTGATTGTTCCTCTTTAGAATCTGTGATTATCAATATTCTAGTAATCGTAATAATAATATCTGATCCATTTAATTTCTAGATCAACAATTATTTACTTTTAACACATTTGTGAAGATCGAAATTAAAAGTCTACTCTAACTTTATCTAAACTTTAATATCGATCTGATTTAGTTTCTTGAGGCAAAAATCATAAAGAACCTCTATCTTTATTTAAAATTACGTTTCGATGATAAAGATCGTCAAACTAGAACAATTTTCCGATCATCGAGATTAGTCTTTTGGCATCCGATCGACGATTCGAGAGAGACCACCGACTATTCCGATCTCTTAGAAAGTGCGAATTCAATCTCAATGCTGATGCTCATTATTATCATAACATTTTTACTCAAATAACCAAAAATGGACTCGAAGGAAAATCAAAATTTTCTTAATTTTAGTTTACTTTAATTTAATGTCTCCATGTTAAAATGTGATCAAATTAACAATAAAGCAAAAAAGGCTCGATTTGAAACTTAATTCACGAAAAATATAATGTGTCTGGATTATGATGTTTACAATTTGATTACATTGATTGAATAAACTATTCAAGAGAAATGAAAAACTTTTTTTGATATAATATTAACTAATCATGAACCAAATATTAACAGCAATTAAAACTCGTAATTCACCGTTATGTTGATTAACTGACTCCACCTTATGTACTACCTGTTGGTCTACTAAATATAACGATAATACTCTTGTTTCAGATCTAAAATCAAGACCAACGAACCAGGAACTGGCTCAATCGATGCCGCTGACGCTATTTACAATGGCCCAGATCCCCATGGACACAGGTAAACTCCAGTGTTCTCATGATAATTGATCCTCATTTTATTTCAATCATTTGTTAATTAATCTCTTTTGATTACTTTCAATCAACAGCCACACTCATGTACCATCAGGATGGGAACCTCACCACGGTCACCACGGAAGTCACCATTTAATTGCCAAAAATTTAATCAAAATATTCTTTCGGCTAATTATCCGATTTCTTTAATCTAGTTCTCTTTCTGAGGTTAATCCAATTCTATTGTGACAATTTAACTCTTTAATTCTGATTCGACTATTTTTTATGAAGATTCAGTTGTCACTCTCTTGATCTCTTTCATTTTTCCATTTTTTATCATTTTGGATTATTATGAGATAACTCTGGTTAATCAATCAATTCAGTAGAGTTATTTTAACTTTTAGATTGATTATCTTTTGGGAGAAAGTTTTACCGTTATATCGACTGTATGACATCGAGTAGGAGCTTAAAGGTGAAAGTCTGCAGGAGGGTGTGGATGATGAAGATAATTTTGTTTATCTCCAACTTTCACTTTGTGTGCTACCTGTTGATCAACTAATTATAATGTTGATAATATTCTAGTCCAGCCTCAGAATTTGTGAGTAACTGAAAGAATAAATTCGAAAAAAATTGAATATAAGCGAATGAACAATTGTTTAAACGATCATTAAGTCATCTAAACAGTTTCTATTCAGTTAAATCAACAATCAACAAATAAACCAACAAACGAAAATGTCTAAGGTTAGTTTCGTGTTTGTGTTTACGGACTTATTTTGATCTTCATTTTTATGTATCAATTTACCTTTTAATTTGTTTCTATTCTGTTTCTACCTGTAGGCTATTTTCTTATCCGCTTCTCTCCTAGTCTTGGTTATCGTCGTAAGCGCTTTTGAACATGGACACGGAGGCCACAGTAACACTTACAGAAAACAAGATGTAAGTTAAATGAGTGAATTTTGTGTAAAACTATTGAGTTCAATTGGAATATTGTTTTATAATTGTTCTAATAAATTCTAACCACAGGGATCAGGTAACTACAAATTCGGATATGATATTGTTGACCCAAAGGGAGCTAAGAACTCACGACATGAACAAGGTAAGTAGACACTAATTGCTATAGATAAATACATGGGGTACTGATTATGATTGATATTCAAAGGTGATGCTTGGGGAAACAAACATGGTGAATACAGTTTGAAAGATGTCGATGGTCGAGAACGACAAGTCCAATATATCGCTGACAAGGCTGGTTTCAGAGCTCATCTTAAGACCAACGAACCAGGAACTGGTAATATCGATTCTGCTGATGCCATTTACAATGGTGCTGATCCTCATGGACACAGTAACACTCATGTAACATCAGGATGGGAAAATCATCATGGTCATCATGGTGGTCAACAAGGAGGTCACCACAATGGTAACCACCGAGGTCAACATTAAGTTTCAATAATTACCTATGATACAATGCCAAAACAATCAACTCCTTCCTCTAATCCTTAACATCCTTGTCAAAATTATAATTTATTTATATCAGATTGAATAAAAAATTAAGATAAAAAGTACTCTCTTGTATTCATTTCTCGACTCTTTTGTTATGATTAACAAAACAAAATCTCATTCACTTCATAGTAAATCCAAATTCATGAAACCTTTAATACGTTAATAGAAACTGAGATAATTTTTCCATTGTGATAACATTTGTCGATTACTCAATCTATTAATTAAACAATTAAAGATGCACTTCCAAAAACTAATCATACTTTTTCCTTAAAAACCCTTAGTCAATGTAACCATCGCAAAGTTCAATGGTCAACCACCAAGTAGATCATAAGTGGAAACTATTAGTATTTACAACCTGTCAAAAATGATTTCCTTGGATACAAGTGATGATTTACTTGCACGAAGCTTAAGAGCTTGTAAAAGGTGAATTCGGAGGTCAAAGATCATCTTACGGTCAGTTTTCAAGCCATTTAAGAGAAAGAGAAAATACCAATCAACACTCGAAAATCATCTTAGTTGATATTAACTGGATGAGTTAAATACGAAATTTATTATATTGTAATGATCTCACTTTATCCTGAGAATTTATCAAACATCGGATTAACTGATGAACAACATAAGACTAATTCTTTGGACAATAGTTATTGTCCTCTCCTTAGCTAAGCTAAGGTGGTCAAGTTTCTGGTGAAGCAACAATTCATTATAGTGAGTTCTTGAAGGTCTACGAATATGCAAAAATATCAAGACAAACGATAGCATTAAGATTAACGGGAGACCTTCAAACTGTTGATTATGTGAATCGCGATTCCACTCGTGATTATTTTATTACGAAATCTGAAATAAATCTCAGAAAATCATTTGGTTCTAATTTCACGGAATAGGGTGTTTATCCGTAAGCATAACACTTTACAACGATTAAGACTTCGTGATGCTTTGGGAAGAGAAACATCATTGATAAGGCGAACATCAAATCTTCAAACTATTAATATTAGAACAATTTATCGATCACCGAAATCTGTCTTTTGGCAGGCGGTCGACAGTTCAAGAGAAACCATCGAGTATTCCGATCTCTTGTGGCCATTTTCTTGTTTCTCTTTTAAATATATACATGTATTATCAATTTGCTGTTGATAATTGAAATCAATTGTTTATTCTTGATAATTTCAAGAATTAGCAAATTTGTTATTTATTATTTTCATTTTACATATTGAATAAAATTTATCCAGACTTTGCTTAATTTTCTATCTTGATTATCGTTTCTGAAGAAAGTTTTACAATAATGCTGATTAGCTGAGAAAAAAGTTACTTGAAGGTGAAAGTTTGGATGATGACGACGATAACTTTGACTGTCTCCACCTTGTGTACTACCTGTTGATCAACTAATTATAATGTTGAAGATATTCTAGTCCAGCCTCAGAATTTGCGAGTAAGCTGAAAAAAATTGTTTATAAGCGAACGAACAATTGTTTAAACGATCATTAAGTCATCTAAACAGTTTCTATTCAGTTAAATCAACAATCAACAAATAAACCAACAAACGAAAATGTCTAAGGTTAGTTTCGTGTTTGTGTTTACGGACTTATTTTGATCTTCATTTTTATGTATCAATTTACCTTTTAATTTGTTTCTATTCTGTTTCTACCTGTAGGCTATTTTCTTATCCGCTTCTCTCCTCGTCTTGGTTATCGTCGCAAGTGCTTTTGAACATGGACACGGAGGCCACAGTAACACTTACAGAAAACAAGATGTAAGTTAAACAAGTGAATTTTGTGTAAAACTATTGAGTTCAATTGGAATATTAATTGTTATTTACTCTTCTCAATTCAACCACAGGGATCAGGTAACTACAAATTCGGATATGATATTGTTGACCCAAAAGGAGCTAAGAACTCACGACATGAACAAGGTAAGTAGACACTCATTCCAATTAGTAAATGAGTTCTAATTGGGTTTTCCATTGGGTTATGATTAATGTTTACAGGTGATGCTTGGGGAAACAAACATGGTGAATACAGTTTGAAAGATGTCGATGGTCGAGAACGACAAGTCCAATATATCGCTGACAAGGCTGGTTTCAGAGCTCATCTTAAGACCAACGAACCAGGAACTGGTAATATCGATTCTGCTGATGCCATTTACAATGGTGCTGATCCTCATGGACACAGTAACACTCATGTAACATCAGGATGGGAAAATCATCATGGTGGTCAACAAGGAGGTCACCACAATGGTAACCACCGAGGTCAACATTAAGTTTAAAATTACCAATTTCTAATGTCGTTGGCTCATCAAATCGTAATTTAAAATCTGTAATCATAATATTAATAATTACAAATGTGATAATTTATTTTCTATCATTTATCGTAATAAACACTAATCGAACTTAAAACAAAAAATTTACTCTCTTTAGAACATTCAACTGACTGTTCAATCATTATTATAAAAAATTCTTATTGCATTATATTATTACATTATTCTCATTTATTCAGTAATTCGTAGCATCGAATATCAAATTCAATTCTCACAATAAAATCGCATCGAGAATTCAATCACTCATGATAATAAAACTTCTATTGAATTCTAATTCTTAGCTTTAAAATATCACCACGATTCGCATCTCATCCTAATGAAACGATCTTTTTACATCACTAAGAATTAAAATTCTCTGAGAATCAAATTTTCGTTATATATTTCATGTCGATCTCCTGATTTTGCAAATGTTAATCAACGATCTTTGACTCAGTAGACCTGAAGAAAAGACAACAAATAATCTTTGACAGATAAAATCTCTTTGGGTTATATTGTTCATCACCGGGAGTTGATTATTTTCATCATTAAATCAGCAATAATCTCATTCATTCAGAATGAAATTTTCTCGATATTTTCCGTTGGGAGAAATTATAATGTTACATGAAATAGATCGAATGAAACTCGTTTTGTTACGAAAACATAATGGAAAAGTTGATGGGGTTTTGCAAGTGATTCTAATCATGTTTAATTAGCTTCATGATTGAAAGAAAAATTATCATGTGTAGATGGATAAGAACTTTACTGAAAATTTTCTCTATTTTTGTGACCTTTTTTTCCTCCACTAACTCGACATTTTATTATTAATACTTCCTTTTCTTTTGTTATAATTTAAATAAATTTACATTTTATCTTCATTTAAAATCAGCGGATTTGAATGAAAGTGTCACTTTCACCGTTATGTTGATAACTTAATCAAGAAGACGATAGAAGGTGAAAGTGCGTGAGAGGGTGAAGATAATGAAGATAACTTTCATTGTCTCCACCTTTAACCTTGAGTACTACCTGTTGATCGCAAAATTATATGGTTGACAATTTTGTGGATCGATCTTCGAAAATGTCCAGCCTCAAAATTTGTGAGTAACTGAAAGAATAAATTCGAAAAAAATTGAATATAAGCGAATGAACAATTGTTTAAACGATCATTAAGTCATCTAAACAGTTTCTATTCAGTTAAATCAACAATCAACAAATAAACCAACAAACGAAAATGTCTAAGGTTAGTTTCGTGTTTGTGTTTACGGACTTATTTTGATCTTCATTTTTATGTATCAATTTACCTTTTAATTTGTTTCTATTCTGTTTCTATCTGTAGGCTATTTTCTTATCCGCTTCTCTCCTCGTCTTGGTTATCGTCGTAAGTGCTTTTGAACATGGACACGGAGGCCACAGTAACACTTACAGAAAACAAGATGTAAGTTAAACACGTGAATTTTGTGAAAAATGTTGAGTTCAATTGGAATATTAATTGTTATTTACTCTTCTCAATTCAACCACAGGGATCAGGTAACTACAAATTCGGATATGATATTGTTGACCCAAAGGGAGCTAAGAACTCACGACATGAACAAGGTAAGTAGACACTCATTCCAATTAGTAAATGAGTTCTAATTGATCATGATTATGATTGATGTTTACAGGTGATGCTTGGGGAAACAAACATGGTGAATACAGTTTGAAAGATGTCGATGGTCGAGAACGACAAGTCCAATATATCGCTGACAAGGCTGGTTTCAGAGCTCATCTTAAGACCAACGAACCAGGAACTGGTAATATCGATTCTGCTGATGCCATTTACAATGGTGCTGATCCTCATGGACACAGTAACACTCATGTAACATCAGGATGGGAAAATCATCATGGTCACCATGGTGGTCAACAAGGAGGTCACCACAATGGTAACCACCGAGGTTAACCTTAAATAATTATTATTTACAATGTTCTAAAACCAAATCAACCATCAACACTTCCCTTAAACCCTCACGTCAAAATATAATTTATTTTTACATAATAATAATAATTTACATTAAACTAATTAAATTCATTCAAGAAAAAAATAACGGAGTATTTTTATTACAACACGAGTGTGGGTATTTTTTGGTTCAAATGGGTCTAAAGGAAGCTGTACCATTTTTAATTGGTGTTCTTGAAGATGATCAACAAAATGAGATAACTCGTCATGAGTGTGGTGAAGCTCTTGGAAATTTAATTGTCACTTTATCCGAACCAGAGAAAAGTTATCAAAGTGTTGTTTAAACAATTAGATGATGGTTCAATTATCGTATCTCAAACCTGTCAATTGTCACTGGATAAAATTTATTGGCTTGAAAGTGTTGATGAGAGAGAACTTAAATCTGTTCAATCTGATCGTTTCTCCACTCATGATCCTGCTCCACAATTTGCTGAAACAATTAACGAATTGGAAAACATTTTAAAAGATTCCAATACAAGTTTAAATGATAAATATCCAGCATTATTTTCACTTCGGAATATGGCAACAATTGGTTCCGTTCACGCCTTGGGAAAAACACTGATCCATTATAAAGACGATCGAACTATGGATTTACTCTTACACGAAATTGGTTATATTTTTGGACAATTATGTGACATTGAATCGATTCCATATTTGAAAGAGATTATTTCAGATAAAGACTGTCATGAAATCGCTCGGCATGCATGTACTGAGGCTTTGGGTTCCATTGCCACCAAGGAAGCGATCACTTTTTTGGAGACATTTTTAAACGATGAAAAAACTGTTGTCCGTCAAAGTGCCGAAGTAGCTCTTGATATGACTGATTATTTTAGTTGTGATCAATTAGACGATTAACTGATTGTTCCACAGATCATTTTGAAGAATAAGGAAAGGATAGTAGTTTATATTTATTGTATTTTTTATTAAATGAGAAAATTTTGTTTCAAAAGAAAAGAAATTCGATTCGTTTTCAAATCAATCTAAGAGATCGTAATAGTCGGTGGTTTCTCTCGAACTGTCGATCGGCTGAAAAAGTTTTACTAAAATGCATCAGTTAAATTTACCCCAAACCAAAACTCGTTCATCCTCAAACTAAACAACCTTTCGAAAGGATTATCTCAATGGGATTAAGTTTTTCTTTTAAGCATTTTGGGAAGTTGACTATACACTCAAGTATTAATAGATTAAGGGTCAAGTTTCTTTTGCTTTACTGATTTTAATGTGTTTGAGACTTCAATCAAACTGAATTACAATTAAGAAGAAAATTTTGATTTTCCTTCTAGACCATTTTTAGTTATTTCGAGTAAAAGTGTCATGATAATAATGAGCATCATCGTTGAGAATGAATTTGCACATTCTAAGAGTTCGGAATAGTCGGTGGTTTCTCTCGAATCGTCGATCGGCTGCCAAAAGACTAATCTTGGTGATCGATAAATTGTTGTAACTCGACGACCTTTATCATGTACCACTGATGTTTCTCTTCCCAAAGTATCACGAAGTCTTAATCGTTGTAAGCAATTACGCTTATCAACAGTTACCTCATTCCATGACATTAGCACCAAATGATTATCTGAGATAAACGCTTCAGATTTCGTAACTAAAGAAACACGAGTTAAATCGCGAGTCACAACATCAGCAGTATGAAGGTCGCCAATAAATTCAAATGAAATCGTTTGTGTTGACATTTTCGAATATTCATAAGCTTCCGTGTAATCATAATGGCGAGTCCCAGATTCACCATGAACTTGACCATCTTCTTCGAAATGGAGCCGATAATTACTAATGAGAGCATTTCTTCTGTATTGTTCATCGGGTATTTTAATGTTTGATGAATTCTCAAGATGAGCTGCGGCCATTGTACCTAGACTAAGACCATAATGTTCAAGAATCGTATTTTGAACTGATCCAATTAATTGTAACCATGATGAGATTTCAGTTTCGGCGTCATTGGCAATTGACGCTTCAATACATGCAATATAATCTGTGAATCGGTTGGAATTATGTTTCACGATTTTATTTAAAGGTCGTTTAGCCGTTTTCACTTCCACTTCGCACACTTTCTGAAGTATACATTCATCGGAATAAATGTTAAGCTCGAAATGATCGGCAAGCGAAAATGAAAGAAGTATCAATAAACACACTGTAGAATTGACCAGAATTTCACAGAACAAATAAAAATCCATTTTTTGATTTGCCTTTTAAGATGAAAATTGTCACAGCCAAAAGAATCACTTGTTTGAATGGTCAAAATAAACTGACCAGAAAATTTGGCCGATTGTTTCAAGAGAAAATCGATTCATTTTCTAGACGCACTTTATTTGAATAAGTTTCAAATCGAGTCACTTTTGTTTTATTGTTAATTTTATCATATTTTTTTTCATGACTTTTTTCGAGACATTAAGTTGTAGTAAACTAAAATTTTTTTAGAAAATTTACCAAAATTTTGATTTTCCTTCGAGTCCATTTCTGGTTATTTCGACTATTGAAATAAACTGTTCATTCTTGATAATAATTTGATAATTCATACAGAATTTGCTCACATTTTATCTTAATGATCGTTTCTGGAGAAATTTTTACCGTTATGCTGATTAACTGATCGAAAAGAGCTTGAAGGTGAAAGTTTGGATGATGACGACGATAACTTTGACTGTCTCCACCTTGTGTACTACCTGTTGATCAACTAATTATAATGTTGAAGATATTCTAGTCCAGCCTCAGAATTTGTGAGTAAGCTGAAAAAAATTGAATATAAGCGAACGAACAATTGTTTAAACGATCATTAAGTCATCTAAACAGTTTCTATTCAGTTAAATCAACGATCAACAAATAAACGAACAAACGAAAATGTCTAAGGTTAGTTTCGTTATTGTGTTTACGGACTATTTTGATCTTCATTTTTATGTATCAATTTACCTTCTAATTTGTTTCTATTCTGTTTCTATCTTTAGGCTATTTTCTTATCCGCTTCTCTCCTCGTTTTGATTATCGTCGCAAGTTCTTTTGAACATGGACACGGAGGCCACAGTAACACTTACAGAAAACAAGATGTAAGTTAAATGAGTGAATTTTGTGTAAAACTATTGAGTTCAATTGGAATATTAATTGTTACTTACTCTTCTCAATTGAACCACAGGGATCAGGTAACTACAAATTCGGATATGATATTGTTGACCCAAAGGGAGCTAAGAACTCACGACATGAACAAGGTAAGTAGACACTCATTCCAATTAATAAATACATGGGGTACTGATTATGATTGATATTCAAAGGTGATGCTTGGGGAAACAAACATGGTGAATACAGTTTGAAAGATGTCGATGGTCGAGAGCGACAAGTCCAATATATCGCTGACAAGGCTGGTTTCAGAGCTCATCTTAAGACCAACGAACCAGGAACTGGTAATATCGATTCTGCCGATGCCATTTACAATGGTGCTGATCCTCATGGACACAGTAACACTCATGTAACATCAGGATGGGAAAATCATCATGGTCATCATGGTGGTCAACAAGGAGGTCACCACAATGGTAACCACCGAGGTTAACCTTAAATAATTATTATTTACAATGTTCTAAAACCAAATCAATCATCAAAAACAATTCCAAGTCTTCAACATCATACAATAATCGTGACTCTTGACATAATTTATTTTTTCACATCGAACTGAATCAAAATGCAATCAATCAAAATAAATCTACTCTGCTATTATTCATACATATTTCTCGTTTATTTATATTCATCTTTCTCAATTAATCAAAATGATTATTTAGTTAAAATCGTTCTTTACATTGAGACCAAATTATTTGACAATCAGTTCGAAATGCGAAAAGTTGAAAAATCAAATTGCTCTGAAAATAGAAAACCACTTTACTTTTCTGTTAGAATAGCTCCCGTTGCTATTCATACGATTTCTTTATTCTGGTTTTCTTTTTGTTGATTAATTCTGTTTCATTGTAACTCTTTTTTATTGGCCTTTTGTTTAAGTTTATTTGATTTGATTTTCTCTCTCATAATTGGTTAAAGTGGTTTCATCTAATTAGATTGTGATTAGAGAAAAAAAGATTCAACAAACAGCCAAGAACATCAAATCATCGTCACCTGAGTATTTCTTGTTATTTCCATTGAGATTGTTGTTTCTTTGCTTAGAAAAATTATCCTCACCTTCCCTGATCACATATAAACATCCAATATGTTGCCCAATCATCGAGGACCAGGAACGCCAAATCAAGTGGTTGGTCCCAGTGGACCAGGTCCATTAGGTAATCAGCAACCACCGCCTCCACCTCCTTCATATTTTACCGCTGAAGAGATTAAATTGGAATTGTTGAGGAAACAAGGTGTTGTTTATAGTACAGTTAATGGTGAACTTTTTCCCGATTTACCAGAACAGGTTGACAATTATCGAGATTTATCACCTTTAGAAAATCCCATTGCTACCCAATCGACAACATTTGGTTATGTCAACAGTATTTACCGAGCTGTCAACATGTGGACTGGTGAAGTTTATTGTTTAAGAAGAGTCCATGGTTTCCAACCAAATACAAATAATTTTAAAAGCTTAAGCAACTCAATTGATGCTTGGAAAAAATTGGATCATTCAAATGTTGTTCCTCTTCGACAAATTTTCACGACCAAAGCATTCGGAGACAATTCTCTTATTTTTGTTTACGACTACTTTCCTGGTGCCCAAACACTGATGAGCCAATTTTTTACTTTCCATCATCACCATGGAACAGGTGGTTTAGGTGGACATCACAATGGATTAGTTGGAACTGCTCGCCCATATAGTCAACAGCAATCATTTAGAGCGAAACTTTTACCCGAACCTCTTATTTGGACCATAATTATTCAGTTATCATCGGCTTTACGCACAATTCATGCCAATGGTCTTGCCTGCCGTGTCTTTGATCCTACCAAAATCATCATCACCAGTGGTCAAATGCCAGACAACTCACCTGCCTTGGGCCAATATCATCCAAATCCTAGGCTACGTTTAAGCTCTTGCGGCATTTTTGACGTAATCTCACCCAATCCGTTCCAAGAGCTCGCTCAATGTAATCCAAAAGTTGTTTTACCTCAATTACAGCAAGAAGATCTTATTGCTTTAGGAAAAGTTCTTCTGGCTCTGTCATGTAATTCCTTGAATGCCGTTGAAAGAGAAAATTGGCCTCAATCGATGGAACTAATCTCCCGTAACTACTCAGCCGACCTGCGAACATTAATCCTGTTTTTATTAACAGTTAAACGTGGAAATAACATTAATGAAATTATGCCCATGATAGGTGGTAGATTTTATGCTCAACTGGACACCGTATATTCAAGATACGACGTAATCGAAAATCAATTGGCCAAAGAAATTGATAATGGTCGACTTTTCCGTCTTTTATGTAAATTGGGAACCATCAACGAAAGACCCGAATACCGAATGGACCCACAATGGTCCGAAACAGGTGATCGCTACCTTCTTAAACTATTTAGAGATTATCTATTCCATCAAATGTCAGAAGATGGTCATCCATGGATCGATATGGGTCACATTGTAGCTACTTTGAATAAGCTTGATTGTGGATCTCAGGAAAAGATTTGTCTTGTTTCCCGTGACGATCAAAATGTACTAATTGTTTCCTTTGCGGAGCTTAAGAAATGTTGTGAAGTCGCATTTAACGAGTTACTATTGTGATGACAGAACACAAAAACCACGATCATCATCATCTTTTCATTATGAGAATCCAACATCTGAACGTAAAAAAAACAATTAAAAAGCAAAACAATCAACAAATCAACAGATCAACTCAAACTGACCACTTAACACAATCCAAAAACTGACGAAAGATAAAACTTTAAGCAAGATTAGAGAATAAAATCAAAAGTACAAAAATTAAGTAAATGAATATTTTTTGTTCTGATTCGATATGATATTTTTAATTTGTTTAAATAATTTTTTTCTCTATCGTTTCCGCTTCTAATTGTAAAATTAATCAGAATTAATTTGAGTAAAGATTAACTTTTTAATTGTTTATTTCTTTTTCTGTTTAAGGTGAAAAAGAGTTAGCATTTAAATAGAAATTATCGTCCAATCAAAAATAAATGTATCTGAGGTCGTGCAAAAAAAAGGTCGCGAATGTGTAATCCTGAACGATCAACCACTGTACCAATCGGGAATCGAATCAAACATTGAGAGAAGACACCATTTGTCAATTCGTTTCTTAAGTTCATTGTCGATGGTCGGAATTTGTTCACGGGAAAAAGTTATACCCGTAAATGGATCAGAAGGTTTTCTAGACCACTTTTTCTCAAGTCGAATATATTTATGAAGATAAGCTCGATCACAATTTTTACCACAGGGTAGAAGCATCGGGAATTCCATCAGTTGACTGGTAAATGGATCAATAAATTCTGCCGGAATATTGTTCTCTTGTGCTCGAGTTGACGCTTCGACCATTTGTAAGCCTCTTGAAGCACTTCCTGGTAGATGATTGAACATTGGTCGTCGATGAGGGGCTTTGACCGGAGTTTTGGGAATTTCTGGTTTATGGTTAAGAATACGATCAGTAATTGATCTGAAACTTGGATCAGTAAATGATTGTGGTGAAGGTTGACCGAGAATGACAACCTTATTGAATGTGATTCTTGTCCTTTCCGGTAAATGGCTTAATTTGATTTTTAGCTTATTGATGTTTAAACAACTTGATTGATGATCAGATGAGATTCCAAATTTAACCGAATCAATTAAAGGGTAACAAGGATCCATATTGAAACCAGAATTTCTCATGTTGTCACTAATTTGATAGGCTTTGTTGATAATTGTAACGTTTTGTTTTGGAAGAGCAGGACAACGAAAAATCCGATTAGGCAAAATTTCATTTGGTGCATCGAAAATATTTTGCTGTTGTTGTTCATCTTGCGCTTGCCAGGTCAGCACTTTCAGGCCACAAGTTCTTGTAGACGATTGTTGTCTAAATTGACTATCAATGGAATAACTAAATGTTATGGCTCTCAGATCAATTGGAACTTTAAATTTAAATTCTATGTCTTTAGTAGCACTTGGAACAGTTGATCGGCTAATTTCACCTCTCTCCAAAGTGGTAATAAAAGCAATGCTAGAAGTAGAATCAACAAAGGAAATTCCTTTTCCAAGCTCAGCACTTGTACCATATTTTAAATTACACCAATCGATTGACATGGTGAAGAGTATTGATGATTCAAGACAAGCAACAAATTAACTCTGAATAAATCAGAATAAAATAAGAGGTCATCAATCAATTAATCACAAAAAAAAAACGATCCAAATGAGTTGACACTATTGAATAAGAAAATTATGTTGAAAAAAAATCCATTAGTCACTTGTATGAATCGAAAAAAGAAAAAAGAAAAATGGTCATTTAAAATTGTGCTTTAAATAGAATCTCAACAAAAAATAAGCTTAAATTTAAATTATGAAACCACTAATCAAATTAAAAAGGATTAACTCTAATTACTTTAATTACAAACACGATTTAAAGATGAGTGTAAACAAAAAGCTTAGAATTTAAAAGAAAGAGAAAACCAGTTCACTTTCTTTTTGTTCTTTTTAACCATCACCATGGAAACCAAAGGGAAAAGAAAACAAAACATTAGGTTTGCGAATCTTTTGTCAAAATGTAATTTTAATTTCTTTTCATTTATTGGTTAATTCTAATTTTTTTTATGCTAATTAGTTGATTAAATATCGGTGAATTTTCTACTTACAATTAGATGGATTGACTTGCCAGAAGAAATGACGAGTCCAACTCATTTTAATCCATCCAGAATGTCGACATCCAGTGATGTGAGACCAATTTCTCGAGCCTCGGTGAGTATTTTTACAAATTAATTTCTTTTTTCTTTTTAATCGTTTTTCTTATTTGATTTGGTTTTGCATTTTTTTTCTCTCTTTCATTTTGTTAGCTTAAATCGGCGAAATCAGAGGCTGTCAAGGTCTGTGTTAGGTGTCGTCCGATGACGGAGAAAGAGATTGCTGGAGGTCATGATAGATTGGTTGAAATGGATCCAACCAAAGGTATTGTGACACTTAATCCGGTTAAATCTTTATCTAATTCAATGATTGTTCATCGGACACCATCATCTGGAGAGACGGTTAAACAATTTACTTTTGATGCTGTTTATGATGTTAACTCAAAACAGGCTGAGATTTATGATGAAACTGTACGACCTTTAGTTGACTCGGTTCTGGAAGGTTTTAATGGAACCGTTTTTGCTTATGGTCAAACTGGTACCGGTAAAACTTATACAATGGTCGGTGTCCGTGATGATCCTTCTCGTCAAGGAATTATACCAAATGCTTTCGAACATATTTTCAGTCATATTGCAAGAAGCTCAAATCAACAGTATTTGGTTAGAAGTTCGTATCTTGAAATTTACCAGGAACAAGTTCGTGATCTACTTTGTAAAGATCAATCAAGACGATTAGAGCTAAAGGAAAGAGCCGATATTGGAGTTTATGTGAAAGATTTGTCATCATTTGTCTGTAAAAGTATCAAAGAAATTGAACATGTGATGACCGTTGGAAATCAAAATCGTGCCGTTGGAGCGACAAATATGAATGAACATTCCTCTCGATCTCATGCAATATTCATCATTACAATTGAACATTCAACTTGCGTCGGTCCAGATCAAGAAACTCATATTCGAGTTGGTAAATTAAATCTAGTCGATCTTGCTGGTTCAGAGAGACAATTTAAAACGGGAGTAGTTGGTCAGCGACAGAAAGAGGCGATCAAAATAAACCTGTCACTTTCCGCTCTTGGTAATGTTATCTCAGCTCTGGTTGATGGTAAATCTTCACATATTCCATACAGAGATTCGAAACTAACTCGATTGCTTCAAGATTCATTGGGAGGCAATTCAAAGACTGTCATGGTTGCGAACATTGGTCCAGCAAGTTACAATTACGAGGAAACTTTAATCACCTTACGTTACGCATCTCGAGCTAAAAACATCAAGAATCGTCCAAGAGTCAATGAAGATCCGAAAGATGCTTTACTTCGTGAATTTCAATTGGAAATTGAAAGGTTAAAGATTCTTTTACAGGACAAGAAAAGAAGAGAAAAGTTCACCATTGGTGCTGATCTACCGTCAAGTGCTCGTGATAACATTGTACTCGACGAATCCGTCGCAAGTACCAATGGTGTTGATGAAGCTGCTGTTGAAAAACTTGCTTCCAAAATAAAAGCAATGGAATCTAAATTGTTGACCGGTGGTAAAAATATTATCGACCACACAAATCAACAGGAAAGAGCTGGAAGTGAAACGTCAAGAAATCGCGGAACAGAAACGCAGAGAACGTGAAATGGTACAACGGTTAGAGGAACAGGAAGAATCGACTATTGAGATTCGAGACACTTTTAGCTCAATGCAACAGGAAGTAGAATTGAAGAAACGCAAATTGAGGAAATTATTCGCTAAATTGCAATCAGTTAAAAGCGAAATCGAAGACACAATGGAAGCCAATAGTCGGGAACGACGGGAATTGGAAGAATTACAAAATGATCTGATGAAGGAATTGAAACTTAAATATTTGATTATTGAAAATTTTATTCCCTTGGAGGATAAAAATGTTTTCCTTAGTCGAGTTACTTATGATGAAGATGACGAGGAATGGAGATACAGTCGATTAAGTAAAGTTGAATCACTAATGATCAATCAACGACCTGTTGCTCGACCTGGATATCTAAGGCCAACAACCGAATCCGCTCGAGTTGCATCAACTCTGGGATCATGGTTACCATTTAAAGGGGATAATGTGATTAAATTTGATCTAATTATGCCCAATCGAATAACCAAAGACTATAATATACGAAATGCACAAAAATCGGCTTTAGAATCAGCATTTAGACCGGAAGAGGAAATTCTAATCGATGCAAGGTAAGAAATAGACTTATTAGTATTCTGTTTTTCCTCTTATCTAATTAGTAATTACTTATTCTCTTAATTATTTCAGTAACTTACAAAACAAAATGGATTCTACTCGATCTCGACATCGACACAAATCGGAATCAAGTAAACAATCAACTCGACCCAAGACAAGTTCGCGACATTCCCGAACCTCAATGGACCATCACCCCCAATCATTAAGGCCAGACACCGCTGGTTATATCAACCACTGGAAAGGAATAGAATCTGGACAATTAAGCGGAGACGATTATTAATTTACGAACCACCTGAATTAATCTCATCAACTAATTGTTATAACAATTCAACAACAACAACTACAACTTCAGAGTCACTGTTATTTTTCATTCTAATCATTCATGTTATTATTTGTTTATGTTTTGTTTTTATTTTAATTTCTTAATTTATTTTTAATTTATCATCACCATAATAATGAGTAACATGACATGTTAGTGGTTGTCTGGCTTATAATTACAATCAACTAAACTCAAAATAAAAACTAGTCACCAATTAAAGCTAATTAACTCAAAACAACCTCAAAATTATTCAAATTGTACTAAAAAAATTAACTAATATTATCGGTTATCGGTTTATTTTTCTTCCAATTAACAGTAACAATCAAATCATTCGATTAATTATCCAAGCAACAAGATAAATCGTGACACAAATAATAAACATCAACCAGTTAATTAGTCGCAATTAGATAAATTCACCTCCATCTCCATTAATGAGTGCGAAGAAAGTTCAATGATGGACAAAAATTGGAATCAAATTAATCGTCGATTTGATTATTGACCATTAACCGAACTTTAAACCAACGGATCGACATATTTGACCTTGTAAACGTAAATAGTTCGAACGGACATATATTTCAATTTACTAATCATAATCAAATTACCATTAATTGTTCATAAAAAAATCATGTCCTTGGAGATGAATTTTATTCATACAATGGCAGTTAAACGTTAATCACTTGGATTGGAATCATATGATTAACTTTATCTTGATTGATTTCTGTCCGATAAAATTATAATAATAATGAACAGAAAGACAATTAATCAAGTTAATCATCGTTAAAACATTTTATTAATCACTTACATTATGAAATTGTAGCAACTCCTTTTCATTTTTTTTCTCGAGATTAATTTTCATGATTTAGTTTCTGTGTTAAATTGCCAAATCAACTGATCTGATTAAATTTAATTAATCAATTTGATCATTAAATAGAGGATTTAAATGTACAACAGTTACGGTGCCACGAGTGATTCCGTTGAATCAGCCCATTTTGCCGACATGGAGCTTGGTGGTTACAATGTTTTCTCCGAGAAATCAGTTCGACTCGGATTTATCCGTAAAGTGTTTGGCATTGTTACAATTCAGTTGATCATAACAGCGCTCATTGGGACAGCATTTTTTGTCTCCGACAATGTTAAACAATTTACGATTGAAAATCCTTGGACAATCTGGATTTCGCTGATTGTTTCAATCATCTCATTGATAAGTCTCACTTGTTGTAACATTTACCGATCATACCCCGGGAATCTCATATGTTTGATCTTATTCACTTTATCTCAATCACTGACCATCGGATTTTACACCTCATTCAGTAGTGGAGAGGTCGTTTTAATGGCGATCGTGATAACAACCATCGTGGTGGTCGCTTTGATCCTTTTCGCTTCTCAAACTCGAATTGATTTTACTCCGGCCAACGGAGTCCTTTATTGTGCCACACTTTGTCTCATTCTCTTCGGCTTGGCTTGTATCATCTTCCCCTCCAAGATCATATTACTCATTTACGCCTCTTTGGGTGCTCTCCTTTTCTCCATCTGGTTGGTTGTCGATATTCAAATGCTCTTGGGTCGTAATAGTATTTACAGATTCTCTCCTGAAGATTATATTCTCGCCTCGATCATCATTTACCAAGATATAATCAACATTTTCCTCAATGTATTAGATATTATCACCCTTAGTCGAAGTTAATTTGAACATTTGAACATTCATTATCTCTATCATCAAATTTATCTTTGATCTCTTATATTATTAATAATTAAATCAAGCGGTCGATTGGTAATTTCTTCTGAGATTTTGTTATTTATTTCATTGAGATTGAGTTGAGTTCCATTACTAAACATGAAAAATTGGTGAAGAGCCTGAGGCAATTTATCGCCCGTTCAAAGGTCTTCAAACTAGTACAGTTTATCGATCACCGAGATTAGTCTTTTGGCCGCCGATCGACAGTTCGAGAGAAACCACCGACTATCCCGATCTCTTAGAATGTTCAAATTAATTCTCAACGGCGATACTCAGTTATTATTATAAAACTTTTACTCGAAAGAAGCAAAAATGGACTCGAAGGAAAATCAAAATTTTCTTAATTGTAGATTACTTTAATTTAATGTCTCGAAAAAAGTTATGAAAAAAATGTGATAAAATTAACAATAAAATAAAAGGGACTCGATTTGACACTTATTCAAATTAAGTGCGTCTAGATTATGATGTTTACAGTTTGATTACATTGATTGAATAAATTATTAAAGAGAAATGAAAAACTTTCTTTTGACAAGATAGTAACTAATAATGAACCAAATATTAACTGCAATTAAAACTCGTACTAATTGTTGACTGTGAGTGGTTTCGTCAACACCAAAATAAAACGGAAAGTAACCTTGTAATACATAGGAGCCAATGTAAAGCAATATTGGGTTCATTCCTGATGAAAAGAATTGAAAAGAAATCAATTAGTTAGTAATTGAGAATAAAATTATCAACAATTAACTGATTAGTTACCTGGATAAATGAAAGGTTTACCATTTTCCCAAATTCCCCAGACATCAATCAACCAGTAAAATAGAGTCAAAACAATTAGTGCCATCGATCCAGTGCAAGTTATGAATGAAAATGACCAAAGATTTTTAATGATAGGAATTAATTCAGTTTGTGACAATACCACTGAAATCGAACCTGTTGAGTTGATTGATAGAAAAATTTAGATTATAAGATTTTAGTCGTTTTTGGATAAAATCAATTGATCTTTGGAACCGAACGAACCTAAGATTAGACTTGACGAGAGCCAGATTAATATTCGTTGCCGTGAACATTTAGTGGACAAAATGACACGACCACTAAATGAACCGATGGCCGTTAACACAATCGAATTGGCAAATCCTAGTAAACCCTCTGGATCGTGCCTAAGGTCATTGTGATAAATTTCCTTCGAAGTTGCAGTTCGATAGAGGTGATTCTCGGTTAGGACAATTTTATCTATTCGATTGGCTGCTCCACCGGTACAATTGAAAGTTGTTCCTAAATTGTGAAGTCCACCCGGTCCTTGGTAACCCTTTGGACAGTATGGATCATATTCCCAGAATAGGGTTGCCCAAAAGTAGATAATTAAACAGATTGTATAGACAGACAATTCTGGAAGGAAAATGGCGATACTTTTAAGTGTCGTCAAAGTGACCGGTGGTTCATCATCGGTGGACATTGTAACTTTCGAATAAAGTACAATACTGAATAATCGACTTGTGGCCACAACGAAATAACTAACACCGAATCTTTGTAAAACTCCAGGAATACGAAGTGAAGTTAAATAACCTGAAACCAAATCGAAAAAGAAATTAATTGATCAATGATAGTTTAGTGTAAACATTTGGGCCAATTTACTGTTTTTCGAGTTCAAACAAAGTCCAATAACGAAAAGTTTTGCTGATCGATTTGCAATCTTGAGCCAAATTGAGGTAATTGATTGATTTCCTCTTTTCACTTGTGATTCAATACTAGAATATAATTAAAGTATGAGATAAAAAAATTAATAAAATGGATGAAAATAATTCACATTGACTTGAAAATAGGATAACAATCAACATTAGCTGATAAACAAAACAAATAAAACATGAGGAAAAAAGTTTACATTGTTTTGATAACCTTGTTTACCAATTAGTGTTAATTGCTAATCATTGATGGCTGGAAAAGTTATAATCGTCAGAGGAAATAATCGTAAAATCATCACAATTAGTTAACTATTCAAACAAATACGGGTAAAGTATTATTATTGTAATTGTTAAGATCAATTTAGGTTCAGGTTATTGGGTCAGATTAACACGAAGATGATAATCTAAATGATCGCTATTTACAATTCCAATTCCATTCATGATTTCTCATTCTCATTCTCATTCTTTTTCTGATCCTTATGATGATTGTCAAATTTGAGGAGAAAAATAAATCAAACTCTCTCCAATTCCATGAGAATCAGTGAGCATTTAATTCTGATTTAATCACCTGAGTGAAAGACTGACACCCATTATGAAAATGAACCAAGGGAATATAACATCGGCAATCGTAAGCCCGAACCAGGGGGCATGGTCCAAAAACGCATATCCAGCCGAACCATAATTGACGAAAATCATCATTATCATTGTCAGTCTGAGAAAATCAAGAGAAAAAAATTAAATTAAAGTGAATTTGATTAATAAAAGAAAATGATCATTAAGAGAAATCGTACCCTCGAAACGCATCTAGTGATCTAAGACGTTGAGGTTTAGTTTGATCTGTTATATCAACTCGACGGGAGGAAAAGTGCCTTCGATAAATGTACGATCCAAGAATTATCAGAGTGTAAAAACTAATTGCACAATATATTGGAATTAAATCATTTCGTCCTGATTTAAGGACGGAAATTGAACATTGGCTTTTAATTTGCTCCTTTGGTGATGTGAAATTCAATTGATAAACACCTTGATCGGTGAACCATCGGTAAGGTAAATCACATAGAGTCTCATTAATATTACTATTGGAGTTAATAGTCGATAGATCACTTAATATGGACGAGGAACCATCGCGAACTTGTAAGGTCACTTTGTATCGAGTATCGATGATTATATTGCCCGTTGATCCAGGATCAACGGTAGTCTGATAAAGGTAAGAACAATTTGAACAAGCATCGACTTGACTCCAAACGGTGATCGGCAAAGGATAGTCCAAATTTTGAGCAACTAAAAGTGCTTGATCCAAACGCAGATCCAATGAATCCATTGGAGTGTTTTTTTCTGGTGCCGATTGAGTGATAATGTTCACAGGATAGCAAAACAATTAGGGTTGAACTTGATGATTAGAAAATAGAATTAAAATTGAATGGGAAACACTGGTGATGATACTGTTATCTGAGATGAACATTAAACTGAAATCACAATTTGATTAACGGAAACATTTGATAGATGATTAGGTTACGGTTTGATTGTGAAGAAAAAGAGAAAACAATGAAGATACAAATTAGGTTAATGGAAGAAAAGTTTTGTGGGAATGGAAAAGTGATGGCGATGATTAAGTAAATTCAGTGAATCGCCCACTTACTTTTATCTCTAATTTAATGAGCCCCCAAAAAGGTAAATACACAATTTAAATTGTTTACAAAGTTCCAATACACCGAGTTGATTGACTGGATTGTTATAAGAGTTTACATACAGCAGAGAAAAGAAAAGAAGAAAAATAAAAGTAAAACCAATTATTGTGACGAAAATTCAATTCAAATCCATTGAATTGAGAGATAGAAGATTCAACAAACTGATTCAATGTGTAAATCTGTTAATTGTGAATAATTGAACTGATTTACTAAGTAAATTAAACTATTATTTCAACAATTAAGAGGCCAGAAAATAAGTAAACACTGAAAGTAAACAAAAATGACAATTGATGAAAAAACAAACAAACAAATTGATGAAATCAAATCAACAGGTTGTTACACAATCAACACAAATAATGTAATAAACAATTTAACTAATTAATGTTGATCACTTTAGATTTAATTTGGTTGATTAAAACAATTTACAAGATAAAAGTGAATTTGTTTTGAAAAAAATTGTTGCTCTTTAAATAGCTCTCAATGTCTATTCCACAAGAAAAAGTGGTTGGAATAGCAAAGACAATTGCGACAATTAATAATTAAATTATTTCCTTTTCGTTTGAGGTGAAATTAAAAATTTAAGCATTGAGTATATTGGTTAATATACTGATAGATAATTAAAATTGTGATGTTACAATCGGCGAGACTTGAATAAAAACTAAATTGACTGTTAATCGTTAATTGTTGAGCATCATTTATTTACACAATTTAAATTTTCGTTGTAATTATTAGTTGAAATGATCAGGTAACATCAATTATGATTCCCGTCACCATTAACTTGTCCACCTCCTTTTACTCATCTTCAATGAAAATCAAAATTAATTATCAATCTGCAAAATTGATATGAAAATTAAAAATTATTAAATAATTAAGTTAATCAGAATGACAATCAAGTTGTGTGTTTGTGTGTAATCCGTTAATTGTTGACGAGATCAAGTTATTGAATTAAATTCTTGTTGATGAATTTTCGAGAAGGGGAAAAACAGGTAACAATTTTCCGAAGGCTTTTTTAATTGTGTGTCTGGGTGTTTACAATTAATAAATTGTGATTAGTGAAAGAGTTAATCATTGGAAAGACGAGAGATCCTGATTAAATTTGAATGGAACCATTTCTTTCATCCTCTAATCGTCTTCGCATTTCCTATGAGGGGAGAGAGAAAATCAATCAATTAAATTGTCAACAATTTAGAAGGGAAAAAAATTAGTATCTCAGAATATTAATCAATCAATTCAATCATCATGATCTATTTAACACAATTGAAGCAATTGAATAAATTGATTGGTATATTATAAGAAAATTAATTGACTAAACATTAATCAAAAACTTCTTCAAGTGGTTAATCAACATGATTAATTTACAAGGTGATAAATAGAGTTGATCAGTTTACAAGAGAAATTGTAATTGTTTTCTTTTCTCATGATTAAATTACAGGAAAGACAAAAGGGTTAAACAGTCAATGTCAATTTTCATTCTTCCCGATTGTTAATTGTTAACAATCAAGAAGAAGACTCAGAAAGGAAGGTAAATTAAGCTAACTGAATGCTTGATATGAAGCCAATCTCTTCCTCGACTTCCAACAATTTAATTAACAAGTTCGAGAAGGAGAAAAACAAAATGGCAAAAATGATGAAAAAAAAGAAACATTGACAATCTTGATGATATAAATTGTAATTAGCAAAACGTTTTACAGATTAACTGTGAGAGAGAAAGAAAAGAGCACAAAGAGAACAATTAATTACCTCGTTAGTTAAGATGATTATTCGATTTTCAACTTTAGGTTCTAAACGGCGTAATTCCAGTTCGATATCACGATGAATCGGATCGGGTGATGAAGATCTGATTGTTGATGAATTATTATTTTCCGATGAGACACTTCTGATATTATCACTATTATTATTGTTACTATTAGGCACTGATGGTGCATCAAGGCTCATTGTGAACGAAGCTGAATGAGCTTTCGATGCGGAGACAAATTTTTGTAAATGACGAGAAGGCCGTCGAACGTGATTCCTGAGCGCATCAATTGAAGCGAAATGATTTTGAATACATGTACATAGTTCGGGACATTCCTCTTCGGGTACAAGTACTTCGCACTCTTTGAAACAGGTATAACCATCTTTACCTTGATAAAGGTATTCCTTGGTTGCTAAGCGATATTTTTTGGTTAAATCGACAGGTTTCCCACCGATTTTAATGAAATTAGGGTCAATCCGATGTCCGGGAGGTTTAGATGGGTCAAATGCGAACTGGACACCGGAAACTTGAGGGAATCTACCTTCCAGTTTAGGCCATTGGGATACACCGTTTTCCAATGCTTTCCAAATAATCTCACCGCTTGCCGAAAGTACAATCATCGGATCCATAATTGGCATGATTCGAACCAAATCTCTTAATTTAAAGTCACCCTTTGGATGGATTTGATCACTTCGAAGTGTCCCCGAATTGATTATCGCTATATCGGATAATGTTGATGAAAGCATAATGTCAGCAAAAAAGTTTCCTAAATTGGTTTCTTGATTGCGAATAATTGAAAATCTACCATCAAGATCACAATAAAAATGTCCTAAAACCATGTCCATTTTACCCTCGATAATATCTGCATATTTTTCAATTTGAGCCCTTAAACTTTCATCTTCAATAAAAGTCGAACGGATTTCGACCTCGTCCACTTTAACATCAACCACCGGTTGATTCCCTTTATCCACTTTATCCGTGAAGGTTATCTCTATGTTTGAAAACTGACGGAAATCAGTTCCACTTTTAATAATAAATTTATCATTAACTTTTCGTACATCGAAAACATGATCATGTCCTCCCAATATAAGATCAATTTCATCCACATTGGCAGCTAATCGTGAATCATTTGGAAATCTCATATGAGTCAAAGCAATAACATAATCTACCTTTTCCTGTAATTAGAAAACAAAAACAAAATAAGCAAATTAATTAGTATAAAAGAAAAGAAAAAGATTATCATTATTTTATAAGTGTTCTCACCTCTTCTTTAAGATGCTTAGCTAATTTTCGTCCTTCGGTGACATAATCGACAAATATTACATCTTCTACATCAATTGTCGACAATGTTGCCAACCATTCCTCTTCGACAAGACCAATTAGACCAAACTAGTAATGAGAGAGCAAAAAATAAAGTTAGAAAAGTAAATTAAGACAATCATCTTTGGATTATAAACATTTATAAATATTAACTATAATTTGGAAAGATGAATATGGATGTGAATTGGGAGCGCGAATGCAAAATGCTAAAGTTTTGGAGCAAAAATGATTCTCATCTAATGATAAGATTATAATCTGTTTCTTTTAGTAGTGAGAGAGAGAGAGAGAGAGAGAGAGGGAAAAGAACCTTGAGCCTTCCATAGATACGAGATATTCAGTGGAAAGAGTTTTTCCATCATATTGTTGACAGGAGAAAATGAATTACTGTGGATAATCAATGAGAAGACAGAGAGAAGAAAAGAGATTGGATTGAAGACAGAGAGGGAGAGAGAGAGAAGAATCAGATGAGATTGGATGATGAGATGAAAAGAATTCTCATATCTATAAGTGTATTGAGAGATTATAAGGTGAATAACGGAAATCATGTCTATCTTTTTACAGAGAGAATTGATCGAGAATTATTGAGATCATTTCAAATAATTGGAATCAAATCTTCAAATTGAAATCAAGGATTTTGTTGTTGTGATTGGAACAAACAATTTCTTTTGTTCCAATCATGATGGTGAAAAAATTTCGTCGACATGAAACTGAATCTGTAATGAAAGTTGACAAGAAAAAAGAGAAATTTCCAATGCTAAAGTTTACATGACCACCTTGCGAAGATTATGATTCTAATGATACAGTTTATCATCATCATCATCAGAATCTTCTCGATCTATTGGCTTTATACTTGTATCTATGTTTATAATGTAAAACAATTGACAAATTATCAAATCAGTAAATCTTTACATTAGATTTATTCTGATAACAAGAGGAGAGAAAATTTTCCTGCTCATAAACAATCAATTCAATTAATATGGATCATTTTGTTTTTTCCAATCCATGATTAAGTTGTTTACTATCAACATCACCAGAAAATACCTTCATCTTTAAAACTAATTAGATCTAATCTCTCCCCCTCTCTCTAATTACAAAGTTATCAATTGAAATGATGGCAGCAATCAAGGTAAATCGGTAACTACCTTTTTTCCAGCTTTCTCAATAATATGAGTTATTTGAGCTCCTCCAAGAGGTTTTCCCGTTTCAACGTCAGTAACATTACTCATTAACCAAGGGAAATTCGTCCTCTTAATGAAGGCCTCCAAGCAATCGAGACCAAAATCTGAAATAGTAAATTGTTATTGAAAAAAAGGTAAATAACAAAATTAGAATCAAGATGAACAAGTTAAGATGATATAAGGTAATTGTCGATCATCGAGAGAGAGAGAGGGGTTAGGTGAAATGAGAGCAAATTTGATGATTCGAGAAGGCGAGAGGAAACATCGAAAATCGTATGAGAAATCGTACCATCGATTTGTAAAGTAAACAAGAAACATTCTGACACTTAATCTGAGGGCCTTGACAACAAAGAGACACAGAATCATAATATAAACAGTAAATAAGAGCCTGAATATGAGCGCATGACAGAGTAATTTAAAAATTTATAATTCGTAATTAACATTGGAAAAGGTTGATGGATAAGAATCTAAGTAAAAGGGCTCAAGATAGATGAAGGATATTGTAGTGAGAGAGTAATGATAATCTATCCTGGAGGTAACGGTGAAGTGATTAATAATAGATAAGTTATTGAGAAGGTATAAGATATTAATAGTCAGGTAAATGAGTTAATCCAAAGTCACAATTAAAGAATGACAAACATTATTGGTGACATTTGATGGATTGAAAAATCACCGGTGTGTATCTTTTGTTATTGGTTAACAAAAGAGGTTTCTAGCTGCTCTCCCTCCATCTCTCTCTCTCTTTCTCTCTCAGTCTATGGTTATAATCGATATATGTTAAGGTTAACACTCTCGATTAGAATGACAATTGATTGATCTGTTGGATCCTTTGATTGACAATTAGTTGGATTCGATTTTCAAATAGATTAGATATTGATGGGATTCTCACCGAAATCGTGATTTCCAAGAACAGCACAATCAACACGACATTCGTTTAGCACAGGTATCATTTGCTCTCCATGGGTAAATGTACTCACTAAATATCAAGAAAATGAAAAGAACATGTGAACAGATGATTAGTTAAATATTAGAAAATGATGAAGACGATCAGCTGAGAGATGAATAAAATGAACTGCGAAAGAGATACAAGAAAAAAAACTAACTTATCGATGGAGAAACACAATCACCACTAAATAGAACCATAGAATTTTCATCAACCAGTGATAAAATGGCAGTTTTGAATCTCGAAGCTCCTCCACAAGGCTCAGTGGTTCGAGGTTCGACATTGTAAACATCATTGAAATGCAATATCCTCACTTTACACGAACCAGAATTCACAATCGGTGAAGACATGACGATATTTTCAGAATTTAAGATGATGGCGATGAAAAGAAGATTAATTTATATAATTATCACAACAGAAGCTTCAAAATCTAATTAGAAAAGAAGAAAAAAACAAAAGGATTTAGTAAATACACATAATCACGTTGGAGAGCAGAAGATGCAAAAGATAAAGAGAGAGAGAGAGAGAGTGAGAGAGAAACAGAAAGAGACCAAGATGCTAAAAAGAGAATCGAATTAAATAGAAAAGGTTAACACTTTTAGGCTTTGGAATAAATTGGAAAAGAATGTTTTGTATTTTCATGGAATTGGTGTAATAATCCATGTTAATCTTACCTGTTTCATGAAAGAGAATTAGGTAAACAATCAGAGGAAGATGATGATGATGGTGATGATGAAAAAGAAGAAGAAGAAGAAGAAGATAAATGAAACCAAAAGGAAAATCAATGATATAAAAATGCAATAGAAAAACAAGAACAGAAAAGAGAAGAGAGAAAAAGATTGAAACCTTTACTTCCTCCTCTTCTTCTTTTCTCTTTTAATTAACGAATTAAATTCGTAATCAATTAAATTGTTGGAAAATTGAAGAGACACAATTTAAATAGAAATTAAAATAATAATCACAATTTAAAAGGTAAAGAAAATAAAATTAATTGCGAAGAGAAAAAATCAACAACACTAAACGTTCTGATGGTTAACCAGAAATGAAGGAAGATAAAGATGACAAATCTTTCTCCCTCTTTTCTCTCTCTCTCTCTCACTCGATTTTTCTCTCTCTTTCTCTTATCATTCATCTTCTCTGTCTATTTTACTCTCTCTCTCTATTTCTCTCTATTTCTCTCTCTCTCTCTCTCTCTCTTTTCTGTGTCTTCATTGATGATGATTCTCTGAATCTGAAAACACTTTTTTTCATCTAATCAAAGTTTTCCATAGGAAAAGATAATCAAACTAATTAACTAATTGTAATGTTTAGTATTACATCGTATCTGATCTGATAATTATTATGATCAGTTAATTATTATCTCAATTACAATTTACATATGTGTTTAACCAGAGGTAGTGATGAGAGAGAAACTAAATTAAAGTTAATTACTTCAACAATTAGTTATGGTTTGAATTAATTTTTTCATTTTACTCCTAAGTGTAGATTTGATTGTAACAACCATGATAATCAATTAAATAATCACCTTACAATTTAGTTAACTGATTACGATTACGATTTAATTGATTATTATCATCATGGTAATCAATAAATTGTCTAGAAATAACTTACAATTAATCATAATATTTTATATATACCAAAGAAATCAAATTAACCTTAAAGATAATATTAAATAATCAGAAATATCAACTTACCTTCAAGAGTAATCAACAATTAATCCCTCTAGATAATCAATATTTAATCACGATAGTCAATATCTTGTCAAATAATATAATAAAATAACAAGACACAATCACAATCAATTGGGAAACAATCAATCAGTTAGTTGATTAGTTAACAATTAACAATTGACACGAATTAAACTTAACTTTGTTGTTTTTTTGTTGTTGTTGTTGCTAATTAACAATTAGAGGGTTAATTTTGATTCTAAATTGTGATAATTAACCTTGACTACGATCAATAGCTTTATTACTCGTAATTAATTTAACTTAAAACAAGTGAATCAAATAATTAACTAATCTCTTGATTTATTGAAATTAAACTGATCACCTTTAACTTGATTCTGGTTATATTTAAGTGTTTAATTGTAATCAAAAGATGATGATGATAATCAGGTTTGTTGCATCATTTAAATTGTAATCAATTTAAACTATCAAACAAATTAACTTTTACTATCATGTTTAACTAATTAAAATATTTAGCTAGTCTCTCATTAATATAATAACTACAATCAGCTAATTGTTAATCAATTATTTTGTGAGTTTTGTTTAATTGAAAAAAAAAATCCAATTGATTAAGTTTAATTTTAATTTTGTTTTTTACTTTAATTGTTACAAAGGGTAAATTAGTTTAACCTTGAACTTGATTAACGTCCCTGAATTGTAATTGTGATGATGGTTCAACAATAATAATCAATTGTTACTAATTGATTGTGATTAAATAAATCCAATTAGACCTTGATTGTTAAGTATCACTTATTGACAATTAATATTAAATGAGCAAAAAAAAACAAATTTGATTTACAAGGTTTATGGAGGCACCTTAATTGTTATTTCATTAATATCAATAATAGTAATTACAATTGATAATAATACAATTAACTTTACGATGATTAATCAAGTAAATGACAATTAAAGTGTCAACAACTGAGAAACAATAAAATTGAACAATTAAAAATCATTTATCAATAAAAAAAAAAAGTCATTGACAATTTAAAAGTTTAATAAATTGTAACTTTCAGGTTACAATTAAAAGTAATTATTATTAATTTAACAGAGATGATCAGTAAATCATAATTGTTAATGATTAACATGATTTAGAAATGATTAGATGTTAAAACTTTGCCTGTGGGGAAAAAAATGGTTCAATGTTTAACAATTTACTAATTGTAAACAATTGAAAAATGGATAAAAATAATTAATTTAATTCTCAGCGATTTTAATTGTAAATTAATTGAAACATTTTCATTCAAATTGAATAAAATAAACTTGGAAAGTGATATAATATCATATGTATTTACATAGACTTGATAATTGTGATCATAAATCATTGATCCGATCAAACAATTAAGCCATTTTTTGTTTTCTCATCCAGTTAATCAATCAGATTATTAATTGTTGCTAATTGTTAAAGTCGATTGCTGAGTAAACTGGTTTTAGTTTCTTGACTTGAAACGGCACTTGGTAATTTCGATATGAAACTTTTATTAGTTGCGATTCGATTTTTAATCTCAGTTAAACTGCTCTTTTTTAATTGTCCATTTGATGATTTAGAATTGCTTTTAAAAGTTAATGAACAAATGAAAAGGATAATTAATGTAGCAGTAAACAATGAGTAAATCGTTAATTGATTTTGTCTCCGTTGAATTACTCGTAATTGAGGGGTTGGTATACCGTCGATAGTTATGTTGATTGGTATATCGGAGGTGAGAAACTTTTCCGTTAACTTATTAGTTAGATTGGCCCCAACTGACCAAGTAACTGGCCAATTACCTTTCTTACGTTGACCCAGAGTACAGGTCAATTTGAATCCATTAGAATCAAGGTCAACAGATTGAACAGTTTCCAAACAAGGGTCATCATTAACATAGACCACAAACTCGTAATCTCTGTGGCTGATGAGGTCACTACCTCTGTCATTTAAGATCAAAGTAAATTGAACCAATGGATCGGTCAAGATTATTGTATCAGGTGAAATTGAGATTACCGTTAAACATTGGTCAATGTCTTGACCATTGTTCGGACCATCGATTTCTCTCTGCTCACAACTAGCTGAGAATGTTGTTTCGATCCAATCACAATTAAAATAATCACCGAATATTAAACACGATAAGCAATTGGGAAGATACGAACAGTTCATTAGTTTAAATGAAAGTAGTTCTCGATGACTGGGCGAGTAAATTTCAATCGATCCAGTGGAAGCGTTTAAATAGGGTGAATATAAAGGTCCACGGGTCAAATTGCCGACATTTCCAATATAGTCACAGGTCCATTCATCTGAGAAAAAGGGTGGTACTCGAAGTGGACAACTGTAAACTGACCCATTGGTTTCAACTCGAATTGCGAGGTGACAGTAAACTGGAAAATCTAAATAGACAAGAGTGAAAACCACCGGTGGATTGGATGATGTCCAATAACTCCCAGAGAAAAGTCTTCCCTCACTATTGGAGGGAAAAAGGGATTGATTAAGGTCACATAAGTTCGAAACTTGGTCGGTGATAACTGGACAATTTTCTAACACCCTGGAAGAGATGAACAGTGAGGAGAGTGTTTTTCCAATCCCTTGGGTACATTGTTGATGAATTAAATCAAATCGATTAGCATCAATTGGAATGATCACAAATTCATTAGTCATTCGATAAGAAATAAGTAACCTTGATTTTAAAACATCACCAATCAATTCAGGTGTAATCGAGGTAATCAATGGATAATCAAAGTAATTATCATCATTAAAAGTTAACACCGAAAGGAAAAAAAGTTCAACAAAAGTTCCCAGTGAGTATCTTGAACACAATCGAATCGTGAACAGTTCATCTTCACCACCAAGGGTTCGAATACCTGACAGGTAAGAATAACCTTCAACGGTGGTCGCTGAGTTGATTATGTATCTAGTTAAACGATTGAAAAAAGTTGAATTGAATGATATTGAATCAAGATGAGTTAACGTTTGATTATTCAAATTGATCTTGAACAATTTGATCAAATCAAAGGTTGTCTCTGGGGGTAAACTTGATTCTAATGACTTTCTAATCTGATAATAGGTGATAAAAGTATCATCACCAAGAATAATTAAACGGTGAGCTTGTTCAATGGGAGGAGTAATCGATATATCAATTTTAAGGGTCAATGGGTCATCGTAAGGTGTATTGGTAGGTCCAAGTATATGAATCATGCCATTGTAATAAGCAAGGAAAGTTGTATCGATCGTCCAAAAGATGATTCCATCACCACGGTTTGCTGAATTTAAACTAAATTGCCGAATCGGTATAAGGCCACTTATGTTTTTCACATGATTAGTGAACTTGAGACAAGTTAAACCGTTACAAGTAACTGGTACTGGTCTGAGAATTGAATCAAATGATAAGTAGAATCCATGAAGTGACATTAATTGTAGTGTCCAAATGATGAGAAATCCCAAAAGCATCCAGAATGATTTTTTAATTACTATCGACAATTAATCCACCATGTAAATTGAATAATTAAGAGCAACTAATTAGTGGTTAATGATGATCAATAATAATGAAAAATGTTTTTTTTTGCAATCACAACGAATCCCAAACCATTAATTAGATTATATAAGTATCCAAATTAGAAGGGAATTTAATTTTACTCGAGAGGAATCAAAACATCAGATGATTAAATTAAACGCGTATTTTGATGGTTAATATCAACAATTAATCAGCCATGTGAATTAAATGAGTAAGAGTAGTTTATTACTGGATTGATGATGATGATCAATAATTTGATGGTCCCGATTTAGTTATAATAAAAATATTTTTTTTACAACGAATCCTAAATCAGTAATTAGTTTCATTTAAGTATCCAAATCAGGAGCGGATTTAATTGTGATGGTTGATTATGATTATGAAGGAAGACATGAAACATCGGGTGAATCGTCATCATCATCATCTTCTTGAGAATCAGATTCATTTTCTAATGAAAAATAATAACAATCAGGTAACACACAGAATTTACAATCAATTTTTTTTTCCAATAATTACCTTGTTGATTGGGATTTCTAATTCGAGACATGTTTCTCATTACGAGCAACATGGCCAAACCTCTAGCGTCAAACAGGTCGTTCTTATCCCCTGATAATCGATTACGAATATTTTCACAGATTCTCTGGATAAGAATAACAATTAATCGATAATTAGTTAGAAGTATTGATTGATCATCAAATGAATTACCTTTTTTATGCCAGTCAAGGTTTTCGGCCAAACATCAGCCGTTGGCTCAAAGATTTTGATGGAATCCTCAATACCACTCGAAGCTATCACTGGGACATTTGGATGCATCTCCAAACAATTTACCTGTTATCGAATAAATTAATCAGCACATAGAAACAATTAGCTAATTGAAAGACAGTTGATCGTTGAATTTCTTACAGATCCAGATTTGTCTGCACGAATGGACATCACAATGTGTTGAGATTTCCTATCCCATCCATAGATATAACCATCGTCTGAACCTGAGATGATGAAATTGTCACCAAACCAGGAACATCCTTTGATTGTTTCCTTATTACGATGACCCTGGTATTTACCTTCCTCTGTAAATGATCAAATAATAATTATTAGCGAGATTAAGTTCTGGTTACAATTGTACAAAATTAACTCACGTTTACCAGTTTTCGTGTCAAACACGTACAAATCTTCATCATTGTAAGACATTAATAATCTAGAACCTGTACTATTGTAGACTGCACTGGTCACACTGTACAATGAATTTTCGCTGGCACCCAAACTCATAACAGCCGATGGATTTGAAGCTTGATCGCTATTTGAATGATCATCGGACGACGACGACGAATCATTTGAGACGGACGAAGAGTTTGAGGAATCGTCAACGGATGGCTAAATAACAATCGAATTGTGGGGGAAAAAAGTAAATTAGACAAACGATGAAGAAAGTCGAAGAAAATATTCTAATTACTTTTCTCAATAATCGTCGGTCATATATTCTGACTTGTGGTGATTGACCGGCAACAGCAAAATAGTTTGGGGTAAAGTTCATATTACAATTGATTGAGTATAAAGGGATTGGATCGTCCAATTGATTCCTGGCAAAAGAGAAGATGGAAAATTAATATAAAACAATTGGAAAAATTTAGATCAAAAATACGAACTTTAGTACGAATAACAAAGTGGACTTATTACACCTTAAATCGATCTCATAAATGGCACCATCTTCTCCGCAGCTCAATATAACCTGTGGCTCTGTAAAGGTTAACTATTGGTGAGAGATAAAATTGATAGAAAAGATGATAGAACAATTATGGAATTGGAATATTCGATTTTGGACATGAGAGGATTAAGAATTTTTCACCTTATGAACTGCATCTGAATGGCGAGCAATACGTTTAGAAGAACCAGAAATATTATTGATATCACAGATTCTGATCTGACCATCGCGAGAACAAGTGACTATGTGGGTATCGTCAAGACACCAAAGACTTTGGAAAACGTTTCTTGTATGACCTGAGAATGAAGAAAAGAGTATATGATTTGAAAAAAAAAACCTTCGCACAGAATTTTCATTATATATTTTTAGAAGAAGAATAAAAAATTACCAGAAGAAAATGAATGTTTCAATTTGGATGATCGCCAGTCCCAAATATTGATGCAAAGATCGTCACTTCCACTGCACAAGAGATCACCTGATTTATTGAAATTTAAACAATTAACACAACCTAAGAAAGAAGAAAAAAGAAGATCAAATTTGAATATGAAAATTAACAGAACAAATTCTGTAAGAAAAAATCAGTTGCTTTGAAACGATTTGTTCATAAGAGAAGATAAACAAATGGGTTCTGATTAAGTCTAAGTACCAGTGTGACGATAAAGGAGATCAGTCATTTCCATTCGCTGGATGAAGTAGAGAGAATCGTAAGCATATTTCCTAAACCAGTACGGGTTATAATGAGTAAGATCGGGTCTCTTGGTGAGTAGGCCAGGTTTCTAGAGAGTGAGTGAGAGAGAGATAATCGTTTTGTCATTGAGCAGAAATTGCAATATTCTTACCACATTATCGCCATACTCTCGGGACATTATTTGTCTACATGAGAACCAATAAGGTCGAGGGAATGGATTATCCCAGGGAGTTGGATCATAATCCAAAAGATCCTAAGGTCATTGGAAGGAAATTGAGAGAAGAAAATAAGAAACAAAAGATTTTCATTCACAGGTAATTAGTTGATTGTCTTACACGTTCATCTTCGGTTGATGAGCTTGTCGATGTGTCACCAAGTCCAAGACTTGAGTCACTGTCTTCATTTTGATAGTTACTTTCAAATGGTAATACTTCAGATGAATCAGAGTTACTCATTTTAAATACGCAATTTGAAAAAAAGCAACTTGTTAAAAGCTAATTATAAGCAAACTAATGATTGGAAAAGATTAAATTTCTGAGAAAATCTTTAAAAATCTTTCATTAACATAGATAATTATCTATGTTAATAATATTATTATTATTTAGCAGTTTATTTGGACACTTGAGAAAATTGGATCCAAAGAATTACATTGTCGAGTGTAAAAAACAATACTAATTAGAAGCAACAATTAACTGTAATGATGAAAACACAATCAAAATAAAGTAAACAAAAATTCAGCTGATAAACTTTTCTTTTATTTTCCTTCCATTAGGTGGCAGTGCAATCGAATTAATTACAAACCCAAACAATTGGTTAATTGGGTTAACAGGTGAAGGAAGCAAACGATTTAATGAAACGCGAGTTTTAATTGTTAATATTTGATTCCCCAATTAGCTAATTATCCGAGTGAAAGATGGAATTTTTGAAAGAATCAATAAATGATTCGATGAAGGAAATAAATTGTTGAATAATTTGATTGATTATTTTGATTGTTTGTTTTTAAATGGATCACTTTTATTTCTAATTATTGTTGTAATAAGATAATAAGATTAATTGTTTTGTTTTTTACTCTTCTTCGTTTGTTTTTGGCTTCTTTGATTGTAATAGTTGTTAGATTTTCATTTGTTGTCTATTTGGATGAGATCGTTTTGTGATTTGAAAGCAATTTAATTAATTCAAAGAAGTGCAACTGATTTAAAGATGATGAGGATGATTGTTGTTGATGAGAATTGGATGGTAATTGCAATGAGTCTTGATTTTAGAATTTAATTTTCTTTTTATATGGCATTGTAATTAAGATGATGAGAGAGGGAGAAGATGATGAATTGTGATGCGAAAGAACAAAAAATTAATCACGATTAACCAATGGCAACGATTAAATCAATTATAATCCTCGAAATCCATCAAAAGTTTTAACATCCGTTTCCTTTTGTCTTAATTACTTTAATATTGTGTAACTTTTGTGTGTTTCATTAATCCTAAATTTTTGGTGTTTCTGTGAATCAATTAACTAATTATCTCTTAATGTGAATCTCAATACTAAATTATATTGAGGTTCACTCTAAATTCAATTAAAACATAAGAGACTCAGTGAAAGTGAGAGAGAAATGGATTAACTCATGTAATTAACACAATTAAGAGATGAACAAAAAAAAACATATTAAATTAAAACAATCATTTGAGTTTAACAATAAAAATTAATTGTTGTAGTTGGTTAATCATTTACTACTTAACCAGCTACTCATACTTTGTATCAATCATTAATTGTAATGGAGACAATTACAAGGTAATCTCGTCAATCAATATCGGAGGAAACTTGACCACTAAATAGTTAATTGTCTCAATTAATAAATCAACTGTCAGTTGGTTGTTGTTGTTTTCTTGTCGAAAACGTTGATTAAGTAATAAATGATATTCCAATTGCAATTAAATCCTAATCTTGATTCGTATTCATTTTGGAATTGAAATTTTTTTTCTATTCATCTTCTTTTCGATTAACTTTTTTTTTCATGGTGATAACTTTTTTCTTAAATCCTAATTTGAATTGATTGATGATGATGATGGTTAATTGTTGATGAAATTATGATGAATTTAAAATTGGCGATAGTAAGAAGAGATGATTTGTCGCAATTGTTGGAGAGATTAAGAAATACGATTAATTTGTAGATCTAATTTTCTTATAACTCAAACGGGAGTCTCATTGTGTTTCATTGACTGAATTGAATCTTCTTGAGGTGAATTGAGAGTTGATGGAACCACCGAGGGAATGGGAGTGGGTCCATCGATTTTAATTGTAATTCCACAATCTTCTTCATCATCTTCCTCTGTCATGGTGGAGAGCCTTTTCTTTTCTTCCTCAGTTTTGGCATCTTTCTTATTTCCTCGCTTCTTTTTCCTGTAAGAGAATAACATAAGAGAAGAGAAAAAAAAAGTTCCAAGAGAAAAAAAAACAGGAAAAGGAAGTAGATATTCGTGGGCGAGGTGGTGGACGCAATTAAGCAAAAATGGCGGAGAAAAGAGAGAGAGAGAAAAGCAGAAAAAGAAAGACAATTATGAGAAATGATGTCAAAAAGCAGGTAGACAATTAGCTCTTACAATTAAATCTTCATCTTCGCAATCAACATTACCCATTAACCTAAACTAATAAACACTTAGCTAATTAGTATTAAATTGTCAACCTAAATGACTAAATCAAATAATCCAGTTAAATGGTAACACAAATTGATTGTCAAAGATGAAAATATAATCAATGATCAAATGTGAACTAAATATAAACAATACTTTAAATTGTTACGTTCATTGATGGATTAGCAATTAGTTTAATAACATAGTAGTAAATAGTAAATTATGGTTTCAATGAAAACAAAGGAAAAGTTGATCAATTAATCAATAAATTGATTGTCTCAAAGATATTAACTTATAATTCAAACTCCCATGAATGAGGTAAAAGGTAAGCAAAGATAATTTAATTACTAATCTTGTTTCAATCATCAGATTATTATAACAAGGATAATGTTAAATTGATTTACTATCAACTTCCGGTAATTTATTGATTGCTCAAGCTTTTCAAGCAGCAATTTAAGCGTGTTAACTATGGTTAAATTGTTTGGGAATTGAATTAGAATAGGATTGTGAGTTAGTTGATTAACACGATGATTAAATGATACAAAGTGAAACAAATCATTATCATCATGCAAATGTAATAATCAGTTAATTGTCTCAACTTGTAAAAGTTAATAATTGGTTAATTTAAATGAACAGAATAATTTGGAAAAATTTAATTAACAAAACATTGATTTGGTTTTCTTTTCTTTTGATTATTTCATTTCTTTGATAATTAATACAATTGGTATTGATTGATCAGAAATTGTTTCTGTCTTTGATTTTTGATAATTAACATGAAAGTAATGAGAGAGATTCAATTGTTACTTTGTTGTCAGAGAGAATTTAAATTAATCATAATTGTGTCATGATAATTAATAATAATAAGAGTAATAATGATAATTAATTAATGAATAAAATTAAAGGCAAAAAGAGAAACAAAAAAAATTAGTTACAATTAGCAAAACAATTTGGTGATTTTGTTTTTTTGATTCAAAAACATAACAAAAAAAAGAAATCAAAACAATTAAAGTTAATCTTTGTTGATTTTTTTGCGCAATAATTAAAAGCTAATCAGGGACAATTAAAGACGGGAATTAACAATTAACTTAATTAACTTAGTTTAAAGGGATATTTAAAAGTGTATTTCATTGTCTAAAATTGTGATTGATGGTTTGGTCTAATTGGATGCACAATTTGCTGATGATTTGTTTTCAATTTAAAACCAAGTCATTTAATTGTGAGAGTCTCTAGATTGATTTCCTTGATTTTTTGATTCGTGCAACAATTAACAAAGTATTTCCTTGCAAATACTAATCTTCAATCCAAAGAGTCAATTAAATAGATTGTGAAAAGTAACATCACAATCAAACGGCGATATCGCTACAAATAATTAGAGAGGAAAAAACTTCAATTAATTAAAAATAATCAAAATTATAGAAAACACAATTAAACTTTCATTCCTAAACTTAATGAAAACAAAGCTAACCATTGTAATTAAATATAAATTGCAGTTGAACTGGCAATTGATTTAATCACAATCAACATCGATTAACGGTTTTCTAATAATAATCAAAATCTATCATTAAGATTATCAAGTAAGTCCAACAAATCACTTATTTTTGTGTTATAATAAATGTCTAACAATTAAAGGTCATTTTTGTTGTTACAATTAACAAATAAATTACCAAGACACTCAAAGAGTAATAATGATTAAGCTAATACATAAATAGTTGAGAGATGTTATTAAATTGCTACGATTATTATTACAAAAAAGTTAAAAGTTTGTCTTGGCTGTTTGTCGTTACGAATTCAAAACTCAACATAAAACAATTAACTAAATTAAATCACTGTTAGGTACTAATTGTTACTCCCTAAATGACACACAATTTTCTTACCCAGTAGATTTATCCTTCTCTTTACTTTCTTTTAATGCTGCTTTGTTTTCTTTATTTGTCTTAGATTTTTGACTTTGATCAATACTTTTCCAGGTACCACTTTTGGCAAGTTGCTCGGTAATATTAATATGACACTGATCGGGTTCCGCGTTGAATTTATTGACCGGTATCTTGAGTATATTGCCATTAGCCAAAGGAATAGCAACATTACCCAAACTTGAATTGGGTATCATTTGATTATCATCTTCTTCTCCCTTTGAATCGTCATCTTCCTTTTCCTCTTCCGCTTTCTTACGAGCCGAATCAGGCATAACATCATCAAGTAATTTCAATTCCCTTTGAGTAAAGAAAAAGTCCAAACAAGCACGAACACCAATGATAACAACAAGCTAAATAAAACCAAGACAAAAATTAGATTATTATTATTATATTAACCATTTGCATGATTGGTTAACTTGGATAATTAGATCAAAAGTATTTACCATCAATGGGAATAAGATTGAAGTTTTACTGTAAGATTTGATTAACCACAGAATCGCAAAGCAAGATACTTGAATTGCGGTAAAAAGATGGACTTTAGGTGTTGGAACATGTCGTAAGAAAACGTAATCAGGCTGATATTTTTGAGGCATCAATAGAATCAATATTCTTTCGAAAAACTGTAAAAATATAGATGGAAAATTAGGTAAGAAGAATATTAGTATTGATTGGTAAAAGCTGAAGAAAATTAATCATCAATTAGATTTACCTGTGAACCCTTGAGTGAAGATGTACCCATATAAAGAAAGACTCCATAAAGAACTGGCATTGGGATGTTTCTCAGAACTGAGGTCATGAAAACGGAAAGACCACAAAGAATGAAGATACAAATATGGGTAACTCGTTGTTCCCTAACACCAAGAAATTGTGGCTTCTCTCCTGGTGCAGCAGATTCAGATTCCATTTTCAATGAATTAACATGAGTCATGGACAGAACTGTAGCTGCAACAAACCAAGGTAACCCAAAGATTGAACATATTGCAATGAGAATTGAAAGTACGAACAAATCAAGATGGTAACCACATCCTTTCTGTTAATTTCAATAGAAGAAGAAAAAAAGTAAATCAAAAGGCCAACAATCAAAAATATTACAGATAATTAAACAAGCAATCAACAAAATAACATACTTTAAGCTTATTCTCTTTACGATTAACGATGACAGCGGTAATTTGTTGATCCATAAAAATCAATATAACAGCTAAAAGAGCTGGGAACGGACAGGCTATCGGCATCCACCAAGGATTATTACCAATTATAGGGATCATCCAACCACCACGCTCATCAGAGGTGGGCTATAAATATATATTAGAAAAGGTAAAAGATATAATTATTCAAAATCTTTTATTGATTCAGGGCAATTCAGCTTGTTTTCTTTCCGTATTCACTCAAAGACTAATTGTTGAATATGGTCACTATTCTGTGAAAGTTTGACCGATGTTTTCAAGGTCAATAAAGGTTATTCAGTCATACACTTGATGAAGTTTCTAGGATCAAAAAATCATTCAAATTCACTCCAATTTGTTGAATTGCCCTGTAGATTGATTCTCTTACCTTGAACTTATCTGGTACAACTAATTTGGGTGTTGACAGGCCAACTTTATAGTCTATCAAAGTCATAACAAATATAGCTATCACTACTGAGAAATCACTGACAAATTGTCGGACTTTACTAGGGAAGAAAGGAGTAAATTTAAATTCTTTAAGAGATACCGAGATGGTAAAAGTAAAGATAAAAAGTAAGACGGAAAAAAGGAAGACATCAGGCACATTTTTTTCGTTACAACCAGGGCCCATAAGGGCACCACTATTTTCGATGCAATATTTGATTCCAGTTGAATTGTAAGCATACTTTTGAATATTCCAAGAATTATTATCTTTATCCAGACAATTACAGGTAAAATTAATATTCGCAACATCTCCAGTTCGAATGGGATATTCTTTACCAATTTCAAGAACCTTTTCAACTGCTTTGTAGATGAAAATAACCGAGATCAAGGTGGCAAAATTTTCTTCAGTAAATCGGGTAATATAACAAACGAAAGCACTAGCATCAACAGCCACGAAAACCAACAGATAGAAAGCAGTCCACAGTCCGATCCACATACGAATCGGTAAGTACTGTAGACCAAATTTCCTACAATCCAACAAAAAATATATAAGACAAAAAAACGACAATACGTCAAAATTTGGATCACAGTTAACATGATCAACTAAATCATAAATCTAGCGACAAAGCAAAAAAAAAAGGTACGAACTGGCAAACATTGAAGACGATCGTTTCATAGACCAAAACGGGACCAGTACTACCAAGAATGGTCAACGGTTGACCACTAAAAAATCCATAGAGTATACCGCAAACAGCACCACTCAATAAGCTTTCCATAGTAGCCTGAAAATTGGAAATGCAATCAATTGGAATTAAAAATCACACCGAAACTTTGACCTGATCAATTGATTAAACGTACAATATTTTTTCCCGTGGCATCGCCAAGAAGACCACCAAAGGTAATAATAGGAGCTAAACAGGCAAAGTATAAAAAAATTACTGAAGCGATTGATTGCAACGCTAAGGCATCCTTAAAGTCGCTCAAGTACCAAGGGGCTTTACGCTTAAAATCGTTAATGAGACCACCGAACCACCTGAAAGTTTGGAAGAAAAAAAAAGGTTCATATTACTAATTGTTATTAACGATTTACTGGATGAGCCTAATGAGATTAGTTGAAGGTTACTTTTCCCTTATAATAGTTATAATTTTTTTGATTAACATGCCAAATTAAATTCATCCAAATAACATGATTAAGATGGTGAAATATTACAAAAGTTCATCTGTCTCTCTGGTAATCTCATTTTGATGGAATAAGATAGAGATAAAAAATACTCTGTATCTCTGATGGATTGATAGCTATTTGTAAACTATAATTAGAACAAAAGTAACAGTTACCATGGAAAAAGGTATCAATATAAAAGATTCCAGGAAGAAAGAGGAGAAAATTAAAGCTACAAAGAGGTAAAAATAGTGAATAGAATAATTTTGGCAAAATTATAAGTATTTTGATCATAATTGATTGTGTTACCTTCCAGATCGTTTTAATCCACTTGCTTCTCGTTCCTTTTGCTCTTCTTCCTCTTCGTCAACTAGTTTAACGGGTTCAGAGGGATCATGTTTTTTACGAGATTCCTGAGAGGGTATTTGCTGGGGTGGTTCAATTCGTATACTTGGATCCCATGCTCCGGGTGGAAGTATAGTAACAGCGTCCAGAAATTCATCAACACCAGCTAGAAGATCTTGTCGACTTTTTGATTTATATGCAACATCATGAAAAATCTTCAAGATGAAGATGTTTAATGAGTATCGATAGCAGATAAAGAACAAATTAGAAAAGTTCACTTGAGCGCCGATTTAAATTCGATATGCTTACTTCATCAGACATAAGAGTTGCCATGGCTCGTCCAACTTCATGATAACGACCTGGAATGCTGTGAGGACCCAAAAGAATGAACAAAAAGCGAGTGGGCACCGGCACCTCAGTGAGATCTCCTAAATGACAGGCTTGAGACAATCGTACGAAAGCAGATATATGCTTATCAAGGAATTCAACTTCTCCAACAAGAATATTATCTGCTTCGGCTCCTGGTGGAACTTTTTTCATGAATGCTTGATTTGCCTGAAGAAAAAACAAGAAAATAACATAATTAGATTAAGTGATCCAACAAATTGAAAAAAAATTAAAGAGAAACAATTTACCTTATGTTGTAGATCAGCTGAAGAACTGGCATTATGGTCCGTAAGTGATACACCCGAAAGTTGTTGATTATTGGCATGGAGGTGGAGAGATGTTGCACTGGGACTTAGAGGTATCGATCCTCCACTACCTCCTCCAGCATCATGATTTGACCCTTGACCTGTTTAAAAGGTTAAACAGAACCAGACTCATCTAATTAATATATGAGATTCTCATCAATCAGATGAAATACTATTCATTATTATAGTAAATTTAAAAATGATTAATTCGCAAGGAGTTCAAAGTGCAAGGCAAGTGACACAAACAAAATCAATGGTAGAAAATCATAATTAAGCATCATGCAAATTAACAGTCGAGGAAAAATAGTCAAATCAAAACAAATCAACTTGAACATTGTGATGAACAGGTAAAGAGGGGGAACAATTAACGATAACTATTCAATTCCATGGGAATCTCCCACCAATATTAAATTATTTTCCAATAATATTAACAATTGTGAGAAAAGCAAACAAAAAGGAAACAATCTAAGGTTAAATTGTGACAAGTATTAACTGAATTTAATTTTTCTAAAAACAAAAGGTGATCAACTAAATTCTCGTTTCATTCATTAAGATTCATGATTGTGTTGATTGTTCACAAAAATCGCAAAAAAAACAAACAAAATTCAGGTAAGTGAACAACAAATAAACAGTGTAAACAATTGAGTATTGAGAGATTCATGATGCATGAAATGAAAATTTTGATTGCGAATTTCAATTTTCAATGATTGATTGATTATCATGCATCCAAATTGATTCACCAAACACGCACACGACACACACACACACACACACACACACAACTCGATAATGGGCATTATCATAGGTTTCTAATAGTATGTTAAGAGATCGTTATAAATAATTAAAATTTCGTTAATTTTGTTTTTATATTATATAAATTTGGATTCTACGTCTTTTAAACTTTGTCGTATTAATTAGGTGAGAAAATAAGAAAACACTAAAGGTAAATTCAAAATAAATATAATATGATAATAATAATAATAGTATAATTATAATTATGATTATCTAGGTGGAAAAACTTTTTTACCCAATGAAACGTTCAAATGTTTGCCGAATTGAGGATTCCAATCTGATGAGGTTACTGGTGCGGTAACCGGAGCATTGGGATGTCCCCCAACGGTAGTAGTATCTTTAGTAATCTTATCCAAATTACCTAATATATTTTAACCATTTCAACACAATAATTGATGTTTGGAATTTGTATATCATATTATATATAAAAAAAATATATATAAGGTTGATGACGATAATATATAATATGTTTATATATGGGTGTGTATATGATAAAAGAAATGATAATATTCATGGGGAAAGGTAAGAAAAAAAGTTACATTAACACAGAGTAAACAATCAAGCATTGAAATATCGTTGATATTTAAACGTGTATCATAAACACACACACACATATATATATACACATGAGGTAAAATTAATGCCAATACTAATTGAGATACGAAAATATTGAAATAATAATAATGTGTACATAGGAAAATGGGAATTATACTGAGATAAAACGATATTCATGGTGATTAATTTGTAACAATCAGTTGATTGTGAATTGGTGTAAAGAGCTAACAGTTTTATAATATTAATTAAAGACTTGAATATCTTGATGCATGTGATGAGTTTTGTTTTTGTTTTGTTTTTAACGTTGGCAAAATAAAAGCAAATGATAAGAAGCTCTGAGTGTGATGATTAAATTAATCTATCAACAGATTAACAAAAAAAAAGAAAGTGATTGGTGTGATTATGATGATGATTATGATAATTATGATGATGATGATGTTTGTTTTGAGTTAAATTCATTTTCTCCATATGTTACTTACAGTGTGAACCGAACATGCTTTTAGATGAATTTCGTCCAATATCAGCAAGTGAACGAATCAAAGGAAGACGATTTTTATCCTTATCATGTCTCTTCTCATGTTGATGACGATGACGACGTAATAATGATTCTTTCACTTTATCTTTAGCTTCTAATGAAAGTTGACCTGAATTAACCATGTTTTCAAGAACCAGATCTGAATAATAATAGAGAAAAATACAAGATCAAATCAAGGTTAAATATTATGTTCGTAATCAATATTTTTCCAATAAACAGCCAAAGACTGAATTTGCAACCGCTTTTTAAATCATTCACGGAGTTGAATAAAATCAATGAGAGATAGAGTTAACCCGAAGATAGAGTTGTCCTCTCATTTAAGTGATGTAGTCTCTTAAAATGGTCAACTGATTAGATATAAAAAGTTATCTTTACTTGATTATCAATAAACTTCGTGAATGATTTAAAAATTGGTTGCAAACTCAAAGTCTGTGGTGATTTAGTTATTATTTACCTGCAATCTGATCTAAACTGGAACCTTCCAAGTCCAACATAACGGTCCCATTAAGTATACAGCTACGAAGTTCAAATAGAGAGTGAAGAGAGATCGTGGCAACATGAGGCTTAGACCAACGATCTCCTCCCTCCTCGACATCTTCCTCGAATTTGATCCACCTTTGATACGAAAGAGAATTCAAAGTAAACAAAAATACATTTAGATGAATTTCAGATATTGTACAAGGTACGAAAAAGGTATAACATGTAGATAAAAAAGGAATAATTCATTTGGATAAGTGATGGAAAAAAGAACAAAGCTTCATATCGATTATAAGGATCACTAAAGGTTAGAAAAGGAGTATAAATTGAGATAGAAAAGATGAGATTTTTACTGAATTTTCGTTGGAAAATCATTTTTCTTAACGACGATATACAGCCAAAGGCTTTGAGCTTCCAACTACCTGTTAAACAATTCACACAGGTAAATGTAATCAATGAGAGATAAAAATGACCCAGAGAGATGTATTAATAATAATAAGCAATTTTCTCTAATTTAAACGAGATAATCTCTTGAAACGATCCTCAGATTATATATCGAAAGTGATCTTTAGCTGATTATCATTACCTGCGCGTATGATTTAACAAATGCTAATAAACTTAGTCTTTTGGCTGTACATCATTGAAGATGTACTAACAAACACTTCATCTTAATTGAAAAGATGACGAAAGGAGTGATGAGAGGAGGATGAATGATAACATAGTGAGTTAAATTGAGTGGGCAGAGAAAGAGGAAAATAAAAACCTTGCAGTTTCCCGCCATTCAGATTCATGGCCATCGCTGACGAGCTCTTCAAGTTCACTGAATAAGGGGTGAGATTCATGTGTACCATCTTGATCATCTTCACCCAAAATAAATTGAACTCTTTCAGCTGGAGGTGTAACTATGGTGGTAAATTGAAGAGAATAAAAAAATTGCTCAGAATATCATACTACTTGTATAAGAATGAAAAGAACGAAGTTTACCAGGACGAATATCACTTTGTTCGCTACTCAATGTTCCATCTTCACGTTTTTTGGTACCTCCATTATGACCATTATTCTTGTGATGATGGTGTTTATGTCTTCGATGGTGCCCACGTCGTCTGTATGATCCTCCAGGAACATGGAAACCAACATACATAGCATGAGCTCTATGACCTTCAAAATCAGTGTCCGCATAAGACGGATGAGTAGTTAAGACTCCAGGATCTTTGGGAGCCTCGTCCATTGGGATACCACTTTTATTAGCATCCATCCAAGGCCTTTTATTGATTGTTATTGTAACAATATCATCATTATTGTTGTGATCATTTGTATTTATCAGAGAAGAGCACATGCCAGAGAGTCACAAAGATTATGTTGAGTAAATATAGATGATGATGGTGATAGATGTAAAAAAGAAAAGGATGACGATAAAAGAGAAGAAAAAGAATAAGAAAAGATGATGTTATTAATAAGAATTAATATGAAACATTAATAATACACGGAGAGAGAAAGAGATGGAGAGAGAGAGAAAAAATCAGGAGCTGAAACATGAGAAAGCGGCAATTTATCCCACAATATACACAAATAGTAGATAAAAATAAACGTTGCTTCATCTCTTCATTTCTAATTATAACCAATCATGAAGACGAGGAATCAATTGAAATTAAACGATTGATTCTCATCAAATAGAGATGCACATTAGATAGAGAACTTGGATAACAATAAGTTCAAAAGAATAGAAGACAAAATCGACAATAATAAGACAAGAAAACACAAGAAAAAAAAGAGACGATAAAATAGGGAAAAAGGGATATTAGAATACACGAAGAGCCACTTACAAGAGAGAAGATAATTAAAAAGAGTTTAGATTAATTGGAAATGAGCAACTAAGAAACGATTTTTAATACAGTCGAACACATAAAAGTCATGAGTTTGCAACCACTTGCTAAATCGTTAACGCAGTTAAATCAATGAACGGATAAAATTGACCAAGAGATGCGACAATAAACAATAACCTCTCGAACGGGATAATCTCTCAAATGGTCATCGGATTAGGTATCAATGGTTATCATTACCTGCGCGAACGATTTAACAAGTGATTTAAATCTCACTGTTTAACGTCCTTTACAATTGGAACAGAAATAAAGTATAAGGATGATGATGATGATGATGATGGAGTTTAGTGGAAAGATGAATGGCAAATGTAAGATACATTGGAAATGAAAAGCAAGAGAGTTTCAAGTAAAAGGAGAAGATGAAGAGCATAAAGAAGACAAGAGGGAGAGAGAGAACATGTAAATATCAACATAGACATTTTCTCATCTTTTCTTCTTGTTCAAGGCTTGAATACGAGCCAAACAAGGAGGATGACTTTTCTTTTCTTAGATTCTCAAGCCTAAATGGATTAAAATAATAATATAAACATATTTCACAAGTTCTCTTGCTTTTCTCTTATCCTCTTCTGTGTGGATCATCACGATTACAACTGCCACGGTTAAAACGATCATCATCACCCTCACCTTATCATTGTCATCATATTGACATGATCATTTGACAAAAAAGTAACGGTAACAGTTGATGTTGTTGTTGTCACATAAAATGTAGATTGGGAAAAGAATGTGAAAATTATGTTGACAGGTTCATTGTGAGTTTGATAGTTTTTACACTTATCAACATCATTTAAGCGGTAAAAGAGAGAGAGAGATCCAATATCATCATGGAAGATGGAAGATAATGGAATTATAATTTATCACATCAATTCCATCACCAATTTAACATGACTAACTGTCCATAGACAATTTTCAATATGAATTCTCTCTTGGAATTGAAAGTGATCAGCTCTCTCGGTCTTCTCATATTCTACTGTCACTTGAAGATATAATTTGGAACTGGAATGAACAGGAAGTAAATAAAAATAAACTAATCATAACGGATTATTAATGAAGAGTGAAAAAAGATCAGAAAAAATTTGCAAAAAGGTTAATAGGTTGAGGAAATATAACTTTTTGGAGAGATGATATAAAATCGAAGAGAAAAACAAAAAGAATAGAAAAAAAAGAGAAGTCAAAATGAATAAGTCAAGAGAGAAAAAGTATTAATTGTGCCTCACAATTAACCATGAAAATGGTTACATGTCAAGAGTGAAAAAAGAGAACAGTTTTCACGATTATTAACTCTCTTGAAATGAGAGAGTGAGAGAGAAAGAGAGAAAGAGTAACATGATAAAAGAAAGTGATAAACATTTGATATTCATCATCAACAATCCATATGATGGGTTGGAAATCAGAATATAAATGGAGTTAATTTAAGAGAGAGCAAATTAACTTACAATGTCATCTTCATGGAGAGATTATCGTTTACTTTTCTCTTAATTTAGCAATAATTAACAAGTGATTAAAGTTTTATCCGTTGGAAATATGATGAAGAATAAAAATTCACAAAAAGAAATAGAGAAAAGTTAACAAGTTACACAATCGAAAGTTCGTTAACAAGGTGCCAATAGAAAAGAAAGGGAGATGGCGATGATGATGGTCGGTGGAAATGAAGAGAAGATTAATTTTCATCTTCCTTTTCCTCTCTCTCTCTCTCTTTCTATCTTCATGATATTCAAATACATGAAGGAGGGATGAAGGGGTGGGTGGAGTATGAACAATATTCCAATGGTGATTACAGGAAGTTGGAAGATGAAAAAAGAGGGAAAATTTTAACCGGAAGATGAAAATGAACCAAAACGAGGTAACTTTTTCACTCTCACTCAAGTTATTTCGCTCTCTTGCTCTTTCATTGATTTAGCGAATGGACAGAAATTACTATTAAGATAATTAAGAGAATTTATTATTAATTGTCCTTGATTGAATATGAGATTTTTGTTCATTGAAACAATTTGAATGGAAAATTTTTCATCAACAATCAAATTAGAAAATTCAAATTTTTCCCCTTTAATTGTTGATTGTATCTCGATAATGATTAAGTGATTAATCAAGAGTGACAATCAATTTAGTCTATTGGTTTTCATTCATCAATTTTTTGTTATTTTTTTTACTTCTCAATTAACTTTTTACTATCATAATCATATAAACAATTATTGCCAATTGGCAATCATTTATTTTAATACTAGAAAAAGATAATCACAATCGTAACAATTAGTTAAGTATTGCATTTTAAGCTCAATCACTTTGGATCTGAGCAGTCAGAAAAAATAACAATCAACTGATTGTTATAAAAGACAATCAAGATCAAATTAATCACTGAAATATCAACTATATTATTAATAATATCTAATGATTAGTTTGATTGTTGGAAAATCAAGATTAACTCTGATTAACAGCAATTGAATTTAATCAGAATAGATTAGATGCTGATTGAAAATTCACACAATTTAATTATTACAATGACAATTAACTTAATTGAATCAAGGAAAGAGTAGATTTACTTTTCCATTCATTGATTAAAGAATCAAAATTAATTAAACACAATTAATCAAATCTCTTAATTGCTAATTTACATATTGGGTAAATTATCAATTCATATCATTTAATATGAACCTAATTAATTCAATATTCAAATTAATTAGACACCATTTTAATTGCTATTGGTTTACTAATCAATCAAGAGATTCAAAATGTAACAATTAACAGATACGATTTATAAATTGTTCATCTTCATTTTTATTCAAGGTTTTGATTATCATGATTAAAAAATTCACACCAATTAATTGTAATCATGTTCATGGTGATGAAAATATTATAATTATAATTAATATTAATTGTAAATTGTTTTCATCAACCGGAAATTTGGTTGGCTAATTACAATTAACTTTTAAAATTATAAAACTAACACAAAGATTAAGGTAATTGTCACAATTTGATTATCATGATTAATTGAAACAACAATTTACTTAGGTAAATTTATTAATTATCCTTGAAAATTTCATCACCATTGAATTAATTGTATATGTAAATGCAGAAAAAAGGTTTTCATTGATAATTTTGTTTAATTGTCAACATTAATTATCATTGATGATTTTTACTTTATTGTTTCTCTTAATCAATTATAATTGTGAACATCAGCTGATTGTGATTATTACCATAAATGTAAACGCATCAGATCAACAACAATCAATCCGAATGATTTAAATTTCTCAATTAAGATTGATCATCAACAAGGATAATGTTAAATAAACTGATTTCGTTGTTGAACAATTAACAAAATAGACATTGAATTAACTTTAATTTATTTCAAGAAAAATATATTATCAAATCAAAGTCCAATTTAATTTCCACAAGAATGGACTTGATATCGATTTATCGAGTTCTGGTTATTGTTCAAATGGACGAAAAAAAAGTTCTTTCAGATCAATCGATTCGTATCAACGTTTTTTTTTAAATGATTGATTGATCAGTTTTCTCAATTCTGTTGAAAAGATTGAACTAATAATCAACTCGATTCATGAACATACGAAATGGTCACTTTTGACAAGCTCATTGACACTAGTGGACAGGGGAAAGTGTCAACTGATTGTGAAAATTAAATTAACTCGGATCATTTCATGATGATTGTAATTAGATATTTAGATTAATAGACAGAAAAGAGAATCAAAAATCAAGCAAATCAACTTTTAACAAAGAAAACTGTTGATTATCATCGAGTATTTAAATTGTAAATATAAATAAACCATTAGATGTAAATCATTTCATCAACAATCAAATTAAATTTTCCATTGTGAATTCCTATTGTTGATCACAATTATGTTGAATAAATAAATAATCATTACCATATGATTAAGTGTACAAATTATATCGTGATAAATTGTTGATTTAGTTAAAGATCAAACAATTAGATAGCAAATACAAAGAGAACCACTTGGAATTGAATATGAAACAATCAAAAGTAATAATCAATCCTAATTGGATTAGAATATCGAGAAACAATAAATTAATTTACTAATCATAATGTAGTTTAAAGATTATGTATTAACAACAATCAACTAAATGATTAAGCTAAATTGTTAAGCACGATAACAATTTAGCGTGTAAATGAAAAAAAAAGTTTTACCAATAGCGTAAACTTTAATTGTGTTGATCTGTTAACAGAAAACATGTCGGATAACAATCATAATTAAACTATTTATATAATTAAGAATATAATTTATTAATTGTCTAAATTGTATAATGTTAAAGGAAGGGGAAGAAAAATTAATAATAAATGAGATGAAATTTAAAGTTTGATTATAAAACATGGAAAAGGTTACAAAGGAAATCAAGGAGACAGAACCAGGAGAAACGTTGAACTGAATCGATTGCCAGAATTTTTATCGATCTCATGGAAACATCATGAATGTTTTATCATCACTTTCTCTGCCTCTGTTTCTGTCTAATTTTATCTGTCGATATTTCTGTCTTCTATCTTTCATGATACTTTCACCAAAAACCATCAAGAGAGAGAGAGAGAGAGAGAGAGAGAGAGAGAGAGAGAGAGAGAGAGAGAGAGAGATGAAAACTAGATACTGAACTGAGCTGTTAGTTAATTGTTGTTGAGATGGAATAAAAAAATTGTCTTGGTCAACATAAATTCAATTCAGTCATGAAGATATCATCTTCTTCATGGTATTCAGGGTGAAAATAGATGATGATGATAATAATTCTAGAATCAAGATGAAGATATTGGAAAAGAAAGAGATAAAGTTATTCAGTTGATCGATCAACATTCAGAATCATTCTGAATCTGTTAAGTTTCTTATCTCTTCGTGAATTTTGGTTAACATGAAATTCTGGTTTCAATACCTATTATCATCATGTACATTGTATATAGCAAGAAAAGATCATATATAACATTGAATCAAAACTGATTGTTTATCAATTGAATCAATTCACTTGAGATATAATCAGTTGAATACTTCAAATCAATCAAAAAATGATCACCATGATAATGAAGGTTACCAATCATGCTGATGGAAGACAAATAGAGAGAACGAGAAAAAAATATGAATAAATGTAATCGAATATATCATTTCATGGAAATTTTCAGAATCTGAGTAATCACTTGAACATTATGAGTTATTTTTTTTTCTTTTCAGGGGGTAAAAAGTAAACTTTCATTATTCATTAACGATTAGCATTCTTGGAATCATTTTGTTCATCTTTTATCATGTTAATCGTCTGAACAATGTTTCAATTCAGCTTTCAAAAGTTTTCAATCAACAACTTTTCACCAATATAATCACCATAATCTAATATAGCAAATTAATGGTTAATACTTAATTCTTAAACAATTTAACAGAATCATTTATTACAATGATGTCGGTGAAATATACATAACCAATTGTTATCATGAAAACTTATAACCAGCAAAAAGTTCAAGGTGAAATTTCAAGTTGATCAACAGAATAGTAAGAATCAGATGAATGGTTAATCTTGATGATTTTTTAATCCAGGAAAAAATAAGCGAGAATGAGAGAGAGAAAGAGAGAGAGAGAGAGAGAAAAGATGAAGGAAAGATCAACATCGTACAATTATTATTAGAAACTGTATCATCACCATGATGATGATGATGATGATGATTACTGAAATTTCGTTGCATGAAGTTCTGAGCAAGAAAAAAAACTCATAAAACATCATGGCGACTTTATAATGTTATTATCAAGCAATTTTCCAAGAAAATGGAACCATATTAAAGTAAACAAATTGTTTCATGATATATAGAATTCACAGATTAGTTAATCTTCATTAGATTAAAGATTAAGGGATTGAACAAAAAGGAGAAAAATTTTTGCAAACTTTTTATATTAGAAATTGATCTTTTTTTTTAGACTCATTCTTCCAACTCTGCGATTCTTTAAGTAAATTTGATTAACTTATTTTGCTTCAAATGAGATGATTTAATTACGATGATGATATTCAGAGACTTTTTCAATCCACAATCACATTAGCTGAAGGGTTTCCAGGTTTATCCGTTTTCCTGTTTCAATTGAATCTCAAAGGTTTCCTCGTCTTCATCATCATCTTAATAACTATCTCCATCTTTTAACGAACGACCAAAGTAATAAAATCATTTATCTTAAGACAATAATCCCCAGTAAATGATAGTAATTAATTTGATGATCATTTAAATCATATTTGCAGTGATTGTTGATGAACCTTAGTAACTAAATTGTAAAGTGAGAACCAATTGGCAATCAGTTTTAACGATGATCAAAAACAGTTGGAGATTTTTTTTCCCCAGGAAATATGAGTTTCAATGAGTTTCTTGATAGATATTAAATTTTTAATGATTGAAAATTGATTGTTGATATAATTATGAAAGATATTGTTACGAAACAATTGAAACTTTCATATTGAGAAAGCAAAAAATAATTATTATTGTTTCTGTTAACATGGGAACAGAAATATTTTGCTACTCTCATATATTTACATAATCATCATGGCATTGTGGTCAATGGACATTGATTTTTATTGGTTATCAATTAATCAGAATCTACATTCATACGTGTATTTTTTTTTCCATCAAACAATCAATAAAGTAATCAGATTAATTTGATAGAGGGGAAAAAGTGTCAATCATGTCGATGATGCTAATCGATGTTGATGAACCTTAGAAATGGATAGTTACATATTCGATTCATTGTTTGATTTTTTCATAACAAGGGTCAAGCTATTCATTTTTACAGGTAATGGATATCTCATTATGAGCACAGAGAGAGAGAGAGAGAGAGAGAGAGAGAGAGAGAGAGAGAGAGAGAGAGTCAACTCACTTCTCTAAATAATAATAACAACAAATACTGAATCATAATTGTCACGGAAGATTGCGAGTGAGAAACAAAATCGAAGTCTAATATTGTTCAATTTTTTCTCATTCGACAAGAAACTTATTAGATCAATACATTAGCGATCTACAAAATTAACCGATTAATTGTTATTAGATGTTCATGCTATGGATATGGTTAATCAGCTATTAAGATAACTAAATGATGCACAAATAAATGGATTCACGATAATCCATTGAATATATTGAGAAGAGCACAAATAAAAGTATCAATTTTTCCCTGTATCACAAAAAAAAGTGATTACATCACATTTATAATCTTATGATGAAGATAAAGGGGATAAACAAAAGGAAGATTGAGAAAACCAAATCAATGTTGATCCATAAAGAAAGGATAATAAAGATGAGGATGAGAAGAAAAAGATCAGTAAGATAGAAGAGAGAAAAATTCTGACCTGGTCTTGGTGATGGACGCTGATTTGACCGGTAGTAAACTTTCATTCTCCATTTGGATTTAAGGCACAATCGAAGGAGTAACTTTGGATTGGTGATACAAAATGCAGAGAAACAATTCAAAAGAAATCACAATTGGTCAATCTTAATGATTTTACTCTGGTCATTGAATAAGAAAAGTGAAGTAAATGTAAGAGATTGAGAGAGAGAGAGTGTGTGTGTGTGTATGTGTGTGTACTGGTTAGGAAGAGAAAAGAAAACACATGGAAATAACCAGAAGAAAGAGAAGAAAGAGAAAAACAGAGAAGATGAAGATAAGCACAAAGATTCAAGGGCTGGTTTGAGAGAGAAAGAGAGGGAGAAACATGCGAGAGATGAATTTGTGATGAGAGAACAAGAGAAAAACAATCAACTAATGTATTGATGTGGATTCTAATCAAAGGTAATTTAACTGTTATCCAATTTAGAATTGAAGAATCAATGAGAAGAGAAATTAAAAGTCAACCACTTTTGAGAATCTTAATTATTTAAGGTTAATCGTGATGGTGGAAAATATTGGAAATGGTCAACACACTCAATGAACTTTAGATTGGAGAGAAAACAGAAAAAAGGAAGAAAAATGGACATTGACCAATGAAGAAGAAAAATAATCACAGGTTGGAATAGAAACATTTGAATGGATGGAGAGAGAGAGAGAGAGAGAGAGAGAGAGAGAGAGAGTCTGAGGTTTCATGAAGAGAGAGAAAGAGAGAGGTGAGGATGATAAAGAGGGAGAGAGTTGAGAGAGGGAAAACGGATGATGGAAACGCCATTTTACCTGAAAGAGTTAAAGAACAAGGTAGAAAGAACTGTTAACCGCCTCCAGGTAAATACACAGTGGAAAATAACAAGTTTTACCAGATTAATTCGTTTGTTGTTGACCACCAACATGAGAATGATCATTATTATCATGATACAGAATTTCAATGAAATTAAATATCTTCATCTTTCTAATTGTAACAATCAATGTGATTTGTTTTCTGTTGATTGAAAACAGGGAAGTGAAAAGACTTTTGATTGCATGGTTGTCATAATCTCACTAATTACAAGTTAATTGGTGTGTTGGATCATTTCAATTAAAAATTTGTGATTCAAATGAAAAACTTTGATTAGATTATATAATCTTTCAACATTTAATTGTTGGCAAATTGAACAATTTAATTGTCGACAAGGGAAAATGTTTGCGATTTGATTTGTTACAATTTAAATTGTCATTTTAGGTCTAACCCTGAAGCGTAACAATTAATGAAAAGTGTTGATAAGAATCATTGATTAATCAAAATTAAATGCCAACAGCGATCAGACTTAATGATTAACCAAAATAATTTATATAAATTAGAAATGGTTCCTTCAATGGTTCATGGTCAATATCAATATTATCGTAAGAAATTAAGAAGCTAATTAGCTGAACAATTAACTGATTTTTTGTTAGGGTATCATAATAATTAGCTTGATTAAACAATAATTAACAGTTTTTAATAATTTAATCAGGTATTAAATGTCTGGTAACGAGAAAACTTTCATTTAACTTAAAGTTTCCAATTATTTATCATGATTTATATTCATAATTAATTAATCAGATTAAGGTGATCGCAACTATTATAAGTCGACAACTTAATTGTGATCTAAATTTGTGATGGATGATTAAATTATTTGGTTCAATATGATGGTTAAAAAATGAACTTAGATCCACCCAAATCTAATAACATGAATCAAGAGGAAATTGAAGTTAATGATGAAAATTAAGTCAATCTTTATGATTATAAATCATATCAACCCTTTAATTCAGTTAATCGTTGAGATTTAATCAGGAAATTTTTTTCTATGATAATCTGATTAATTGAGATGATTTCTGGATAACATTTAGATAATAATAATAATAAAAATGGCTGACTGATTGATTGATTGATTGATTGTTTATCTTATGTAAAGGTTTTCACTGTTATTTGGTCAAGAATATTGAATTTCATTAATCAATTTTTATATTTATCATTTCAAGCAGAAAACAAGCAATCAAAATGATTTGGTGATTTACAGGATATAAACAAGAGTATGACCATCACCAACCACCATGAAAACTAATACGATTCTGCTAATTTTTGATGGAATAACAAAAAGGATTAATTAACTAATTATTCATAGAGATGAATATCACAGAATGGCTTCTGTATATGTTACATAATTTAACCGACATTAAACCTCTAATTACCAGATTCGAATTTCTCTCTCTCTCTCTCTCTCTTTCTTTCTTTCTTTCTTTCTTTCTTTCTCTATAATGAACACAGATTTTACTCCAAAGGTAAAAATCTAATACTTTGGAGACACTTGAGATTTTGATGTTTTATATAAGAAAAAAGATATAACCACAACCAAGATTTAGCCAAAGTAATTAATTAGTTGGATAACATGAAAGATGAAGAGATTGAAGAGCAAAATTGATTCTACTTGTGGAATAAAATGTCAACATGGAGAAAAGTAGAAAAGGACAATATAACAACATACCTTTAATTAGCAGGGATTTTCAATAACTTGATTGTTGATGTTTTTGATTTGATGAGAGAGAAAGAAAAAAAAGATGAAATCAATTGGTAAACACTTTCAAGTGAAATGTGAGACTTGTGAGTAATGATGGCACAAAGTTATTTTCGTTATTTGTATTTGGTTTAAGATGATGGATGAAAACAACAAATCGGTTGAAAGTAAAGTTAAGATGGCGGCGAAGGGAAGAAAAGAATAATCGAAATTATGTTGAGAAAAGAACAAAAAAAAATCCAAAAAGATGATCAACAATAAATGGTAAATATGATGGTTCCTATTTCTATCTTTATCCCTTTATTTCCTTTGGTTAGGGTTAAATGTAGGTTATTGCAATGGTAATAAGAGTAATGTCTTTTTGTAGATAATTTTTTCTACCAAAAACCAAGCGGCAAAAGAGAAGAGAATGTTTAAGATATTCCAAAATAGGCACAAACACAAAGGACGAGAAACAAAACCACCATTGATGACCGGGAGAGGAAATTCCAATATGGCCGAGCAAATGATTACATAGAATAGAATAAAAGAAAAGAAAGGAAAAGGTCAACAACAATTAGTTAATTTTCATTTGGAAATGAAAACAAAACATGTTAACCCTTTGGTTGCATGTTAACTTGTGACTCTTTTGGGTAACATTTAAGATGAATACTAACTGTTGTAGAATATTTTACTCATTGTCCAGTTGATTTGATTTGATTGTTGTTGTTAATTAAAAAGGGAGAAGGAGGTTTAATGGAAACAGAAGAAAATGTGATTAAAATGAAGAACTGAAAGAGAACACAAATTAAGCAAAGAAAAGAAATGGAAACACAAACCGAGAGAGAAAAAGAGTGAAAATGAAGATTGGGTTTAGAAGAAGAGAAAATGTTTTTTTCTCCAAAAAGAAAAGTAGACAAAATGTAGACAGAGAAAAAGAAAGAGATTGATCTAGATGAGCTTTTCTCTCTCAGAACTTCCAAGTATCATGTATTTTTCTATCGATTTTTTTTTCTTCTTCTTCTTCTCTTCCCATCCCTTCATCTTTATCTCTTCATCATCTTTGCCATCTTCTTTTCTTTCCCGTCTTTCTTTCTCTTTCTTGCTCTTTCTCTCAACATTCTCTTCGTCTTCTTTTCTCTTCCTTCTAAGTTCAATTCTGGTTCCATTGGTATTCAATTGATCTTATTCATTTCTCATCTTCTCTGTCTTTCTTTTTCCTCCCCTCTCTTTCAATTGTCTTTCTTTTTCTTCTGTCTATTACCAGTTCCATTGGCGCGGACTCACTCAATTCTCATCCATAGAGATCATCATCATCTCTCTCTCTCTCTTCCAGAGTTATATGAACAATTCCAATCATGGTAATGCCATCTGAAACTCACTCTATGGATTAAATGAATTTGGATCAGCTGATTTTCAATGAAATCAATTTGTGTTTATTTCTATTGATTATTCATCCATTTTCAGAGGTAAAAACTTACAAATGTTAGTAAAAGTTTCCGACCAATCAGATCTTTCTTTTGAGTAAAACTTACTACAACCATTGAGAATTTGTTTCAAATATTCATTAATATTAGTAAAACTAACGGTACTTTCAATATGGTTGAACTAATCTCTTCATGGGAAATTAAATCTTCCCATACATGGTTGAGTAAAAATCTGCAACCACAGACCAAACATCATACTTGCAACCTCGAACTTCATTCATCCAATACTCTGGTGAACAATATTCGGGTATATAACCTGGAACAGTTTCACCCTCTTTGAAAATGGCACCGAAATCAATGATCTACAGGTTGTTTTGTAGTTCCATGTTTTCGCTCAACAATGAGAATTTCAATCAATTTTCACCATTGGAACTTGCGATTTCGTTCTTCATTCCCTCTAAAGTTACTTGAGCACCAAAATTATCTCAGCTGATTATCGATTATGTGAAATGAACTTTTAGTTACATTTACTCGTTTTCGAGATTCATTTTCTCATTCACATTCATTGAAATAGATGAAAAGATTTTCAAATAAAATTGTAAACATAAATTCAATTTTCAATTGATCGTTTTAATATTAATTTGGTTAAGAAGATTCAATTTTTTTTACAGGTAAGAACTTTGAAGTTGCCTTTAATTTCATTAATTGTCTCTTTTTGTTAGTCTAAATCTATGATGTATAATCAATCCAATTGATTTGATTCCTTTTTTGTTTTAACTTCTTTTTTTTCAGTTGATTTACTTTTTTCGCTCTTGTGGTTGTTTTATTTACAGTTGAATTTTATCACTACAATTTTGTTTATGGAAGTTTAAAGAAGTCAACGAACATAATGAAGAGACTGATTTGATTGGCATTTGTATATCACTTTCACCATGTTTTAAACTTGATAGGCCAATGATGGAAAGGAGATGAGAAAAGGAGAGAGAGAGAGAGAGAGAGAGAGAGAGAGAGAGAGAGAGAGAGAGAGAGAGAGAGAGTAGATTGTAATTGATCAATAAAAGTGGACAAAAAATGGTGGAAGTGGTTGAAAAAAGATGAAGGTGGAAAAAGAATTGATGAAAAAAGAGAATGTTTCACTTCGAGAGAAAAAAAAGTTGATCTGAATGTGTATCAAAGTGATTTCCAAAAGAGATCGAGAGTTCTAATTATCTTTCGATCATTTTATCTTCTTTCTTTTCGACTTTTTTTCTTTGTTTACGTTTGTAACTGATAATATTTGTAAAAAAAAAGAGTTGATAATTCTAAGCGGACATCGACAAACTATTCAGTTCCAAATCTCCTTCTTCACTTTCCCGGTTAATTATGTCATCATCTTGACTATCAGATGTAGAGGATGAACATGATTTCATTAGAATTAACGAATCAGATGAATCAAGAGAGCCACTGGAATTACGCCTGATTCTGTTATTACTGGTTACTGAACATTTTTCTGCTAAATCTTCATAACTATTTCCATGGAGGAAACAGATCAATAAAACCGTCATATTGTCACAACCAAGTCCCCCTGTATGACAGTCTGGAGCTAAACAATGTGTCATCAATTCCTCACAAATCTGTTGGAATATAAAGAAAAGAAAGAGAAATTATAAAAACAGATAAAGTTAACGAAAATAAAATAAAATGACTTAATTGTATGATTAGAGTTAATTGGGTATAATTTACGATGGGATGGAAAAGAAAATTTTTTCTCTCTTATTCTTACAATGGCAGGTTCCATTTTGGCAGCTATTCTGGTTCGAATGAAAGAAACAACTTCTTCGTTACTCATTACATCCCAAATACCATCACAGGCTAGGACAACAAATTCCAAATCTTCGTGAATAATCCGATTCTCAACATCAGGTAATGCGGTTACAATTTGATCCTCAACCGATTTATTGTCATTCTTTTTAAAAACAAAATCACCTAATGCTCTGGAAAGTGCAAGGTTTCCATTAACTCGATTAAATTCAACCCAACCACCGGCAGCTTGAATACGTTTAGCTTCTAGTTCATCACTTGGTTTATGGTCAACCGAAAGAGGATCAGCTCGCCCTGACCAACAAGCGACAGCACGAGAATCACCAACATTTGCGATAAACATTACACCCGCTTTGATACACATAACAATTGCAGTGCTTCCTATAAAAAATAGATAAACAAAAATAGTAGTAATTAAATTAATACATAGAGAAGAAGAAAAATACAAATATGAATAATAGAAGAAGAATAACAAAAATTGAAGATAAAATGACAGAGAGAGAGAAAAACAAAACCAAAAAAAGAGAGGGAGAGAAAGAGAATATCATTGTGACGCATAATCTACCATTTAGTTATCACATTAATTGATCAATTTGAGTCATCATTTTACACGATTAGATGAGAGAAATCATAAAACTGAATAATAATAACAGGTAGAGAAATGAATTTACCTGCAAGTTGGTCTTTCATCTCTGGATCATTAAGCATATCTTGGTCTAGTTGAAGGAAACCGCGCCTCATTGCCTCCTCAATTTGACCAGTTTCAAATGTCGATTGGGACATGATTATATCATGAAGGTGTTTACCTGCATAATCAGCTACCTTTGTACCTCCATGTCCATCGTAAACAGCAAAGAAACTGGCCGTAGGATCAGTTGTACTTAAATCAAGAATATGAGTGTGAGCATCTTCCATACTGATTCGCCAACCTTGCATACAAGAGGCACCAACAGACACATAACTATTACTTATTGAGGTTGTTTCCTTGGCGGTAACAGGTTCTGATAAGGTTTGTCCCATTCTTTCTTCAACAATTTAATTTAATTTCTTTTCTCACGATAAACAAAAAGTCAATATAACTGATTAAATTTAAATTCTAATCCAGATGATTTAATAATAAATTAAAAGAAGAACCAACATGATAACAAATAATAGAAAAAAAAATTTTTTCTTTTCCAAATGTAAATATGTAATTACAATTTCTTTTCTGCGCATGACTAATATTCATATGGATGAATTTTGGAATAACAGCTCCATCTATGTGGAGAAATTATCTCTTGTTTGGTTGACAATTAGAGAAGATTAAAGTTGACAATTTAGATTTGATCTTTTCTTTGTTTTGTTGTTCTGTTTGAAATATTCATATATGCAATTTGAGCAGAGATGTTTGGGTTTTTGCTTCACTGGTTAGAAGGGATAACGTTTCCATATTATGTAGGCACAAGTTGCATAGAAAAATATAAACGATAATATAATTAGTATGTTATCAGTTATTTCTCGACGTCCATATTTGTTTAATAAACTTTTCGATTGTGAAATTACTCCTCTCATTGAATGAAATTCTTCTCGAATTTGATTCACATTATCAGATGATCGAAGTAAAGCTTCATAAGATAATCGACTTCTTTCCACTTGATCAGCTAGAAGACTTCGTATTCGATATAAATCTGAGGTCACATTTGCGGCTCTTTGAGATGCACTTTTAGTTACATTTACACGTTTTCGTAATTCATTTTCTCCATTTCCATTTGTATTATATGAATGATCAAATAATCTTTTTCTTTCCTCATCTCTGATCATTTCTCTAACTTGTGATGTAGCTTTCCGATGATTCTTATAATTACTTTCTAATTGATATCTAAGAGCTTCCAATTCTAATGACATGGCTTCTTTTTCCGATGGTTTGATAAATAAATTTACTTTTCTTTCCAAATCCTAAAACAACAAGAAAGAGAAAAATAAAAGAAAGAAAAATCAATGATTACACAAGAGAATAAGAAAAGAAAATCTTGTCTAGGCCTTAGAAATACTCACATCAATTAGAAATTTGTGTCGATTTATGGCATTTATATAATCAGAATTATTGGAATTAAAATTTTCCTGATCACGAGTTTCCCATAATTGCTAAACAATAGAAAAATAAAACAAAAGAAATTAACAATTAAACAACTATAAACAAATCAACATTCTAATGACAACTTACCTTGAGTAATGTTTTCACAAAAATATCCTGTTTATAAATTTCCCTTTGAATCTCTTTAATTTTCTCCATAACAATTAAATAATCGCAAAGAAAAAAGAAAAACAATTCAAATCAATCTAATTGTAGACCAACAATTAAACTTTATTTTGACAACAACAGAAAATTGTAAACATCAACATGAGAAAAAACTTCTGTGAGAATAGACTCAAATGTCTATTCATCGAGCAAAAAATCGATGAATAGCAAAAACGTTTTTCTTTTGATTGTAAACAAATCTTTCTCCAGAAAGTTAATTTAATTGTAACTATTTTCCAGTAATCTAATTGATTTTTAATCTTAAATTTTATTCTTTTTCTATTTTCATGGTTACAGGTAAGTTTATAGTTCGATTCATCTGTTACATCAACTGTTCTTTGGCTCAAATTGTTTAAACTCTAATCATTTGGTTTTCTATTTTTTTTTGATTTTCTTTCATTAGGTAACGATGGAAGGTAAAGAAATTAGTGGATTAAATGAAGAAGCTGATTTATTTGACATTATCGCTCATCATGTAACCTCAGGGCAATATAAGGATGGTTGGGATGAGGATAAATGGGAACAACAAATGGAAGAGCATCCATTGTTTATGACCAAAGCACCGGAAGGTGAATTACCTCCTTTAGTTGAAGCAATTGCTCAAATTAAATATGACGAAGAGTCGGACAATTTAATTGAATTGGCTAATAACTATAAAGATGATGGTAATGAAAATTTTCGTCTTAAAAAGTATCGATGGGCAGTTGATTGTTATAGAAAAGCTTTGGAGTGTAAAGTCAAGGATAATCAATTGAACTCAATTCTATTCAATAATCGAGCCTCAGCTAATTTTCACCTGGAAAATTATCGTTCCTCCATGTTGGATGCTCTTCAAGCAATCAAATTAAATCCTGACAACAAGAAGGCAACACTTAGAGCTGTTGAGTGTATGATGAAACTAGAAAAGTATCAATTTTGTGTTGACTTTTGTAGTAAATCAAAATTCTCATCAGAATTAACTTCGTACAAGACAAAAGCTCTGGAATCATTGAAACGAATTGAAAGAGATGAAAGAAAAGCAAAAGCTGAGGAGAGAAAAATTAAATTACAACAAGAAGAAATTAAATTAGCCGTTGAAAAGAGGAAAATCAATTACTCTGGGTCACTTTTCATCGCCTCTCATCCCGCAGCTGAAGGTCATCATGTTCACCTAAATGACCAAGGAGAACTGATCTGGCCCGTTCTATTTGTTTACCCCGAATTTGGACAATCTGATTTCATTGAAAGTTTCAATGAAAATGATTCATTTGATCAGCATTTTTCCGCTATGTTCCCTCTCAATGAAGATCATCCAAACTGGGATGTTGACAGAAAATATCGACCGGACAATCTAAAAGTAGCCTTCCAAGATGCTCGATCAGGTCAAATTTACCCCTTCAAATTAACCAGGAAATTAAAATCCATTCTAACTGATCCTAAATTCATCATCATCTCAGCAATACCAACATTCATTGTCGTTTCCAATGATAAGTCATTTCAAAGTTAATAACTTCAAAAAAAAGAATTCTTTTTTCTATCTCTGTAAACATAAACTGTTAATAATCAAATAACTATTCAATATAATCTAACAATTTAACCCTAAACCAGGTTAACACTGGGACTGATTACGAGAAACTCAATTCTACAAGTTGTATGATCAAACTAACCCAATTTCCATTATTCCGACCAATAGATGGAGTTAGTGTCTTGTTAATTTTCTTTTTCGTTTCGAATACAAAATTAATCTCAAATAGAAACAATTTACTAAACTTCATCTTTCATAACAATCAAAGATAAAACCAGGAGCAAACTAACTAATTCTAAATCAATGGATTGTATCAAAAATCAAATATAGTTGACCAAAGGCTGAACAAAGCTAACGATCTGAAAGCGAATCAAAAACGAAACTAAAACAAAAGTTCAGAAAAAAATGACCAACGATTGACCAAAAAGAAGAAGAAAGAAAACCTGAAACCCCATTGAAATTCATCCTGATTCCTTTTACTAGAATTTTATTTCTCCAATTGGAAAAGAATATAAAAAGAAAATGGTTACATTTAAGTTTCATATATGAAAAGAACGCAAATGGACAAATCGTGTAACTCGTGGACAAAACAATTCGAAGACACAATCGTTTTTACCAGAAAATACAAGAGAAAGAGAGAAATAAAATTATAGGTACTGGAAGGAAAATTCGAAGTTGAATAGAAAATAATCTCGATTAGTGATCTCCCCATCCCTCTCCCTTTGGCCTGTTCGTTGATTAAACCAGAAAACATTGAATGATTACGATAGTAAACGTTAATTCAATAGATGGCTGGACTATCAGTTTCAGTATCATTCGAGGTTTCAATGAATTCTGTCACCCTGATACCCTAGATATTGTACCAATAGCAACACCTCATCTCCTCATATTCAACTCCCACAAACTCCACCTTCTCATACCTTTACCAAGTAATAATACGCTCGAGAGAGAGAGAAAGAGAAGGAGAGAAAGAAAGAGAAGGAGCGAGTGAGAGAGAAAGAGAGATGATCATGTATATATAAGTATTGAAGGCGGAGTGTAACTAGAAAATCCTACACAAGAAAAGAAAGAAAAGAAAGAGAAAAGTAGGAAGTGGCCTAATGAGAGAGAAGAGAAAATAAAGAAGAGAAAAAGAAATAGAGAGAAAGAGAGAGGATGATGATGAAAATGATGATGATAATGATAATGATGATGAGAGTGATCATGAAGGATGAAAAAATAGATATAACATTATAAGCTTATATCGATAGCTTTGTTTCCCAGCATCAACATCATCCCAATATCATCATCATTCATATTATTACACCAACAACAACAATCTAATATATCCAAAAGTTATATACCTGAGATTTTGCTAATTGTTGAACTTGTAACTTTTTTCTCTCCTTTTAATTATTGTGAATTGTGTTATTTAGTGTAAGTGAATGTTTAGTGATCAATTAAAACTAATTGGTGATCAATGTTTTAATTTGATTGGCAATCAGTGAAACAACAACTTGAACAACAATTTTGATTGACTTTTGGTTTTAATTTTTTTTGTAAAATCATATCGTTTTCGTGTTTAATTTATATATATTATTTCAGAAATAATTTGTTTCTCTCACCATTTTATTGATTGTACATCAAGGTTTCTCTATAAATCAATCACAATTGATAAATTGTCCAAACTCGACGAAAACATATTGACAACTATGTTTCTACTACCAACATTAAACTTTAGTGTTGCTCAAGTAGCTACGGTTTGTCAAAATTTAGAGGATTCGGCTGACATTGAAAGGTTAAGCCGTTTCCTCTGGTCACTTCCTGTGGCTCATCCAAATTGTGCTGAATTAGCAAAAAGCGAAGCAGTTTTAAGAGCACGAGCTTTGGTCGCCTTTAGCACCGGCAATTACCGGGAATTGTACAATATACTTGAACATAATCGTTTCTCTCGAGGTTCCCATCCAAAGTTACAATCAATGTGGCTCGAAGCTCATTACGCTGAAGCGGAGAAACTTCGTGGTCGTCCATTAGGTCCAGTAGATAAATATCGTGTTAGGAAAAAGTATCCACTTCCTCGAACCATTTGGGACGGTGAACAGAAGACCCATTGTTTCAAGGAGAGGACAAGGTCACTTCTCCGTGAATGGTACTTACAGGATCCTTATCCTAATCCAACCAAGAAAAAAGAATTGGCCACACAAACTGGATTAACACCGACTCAGGTCGGAAATTGGTTCAAAAATCGACGACAACGAGATCGAGCTGCAGCCGCTAAAAACAAGTAAGTTAACAGAAACTAATTTCCAATTCAATTCAATTCCAATTCCATTTCAATTCATATAACCTGAATGTTCATCATCATTCACACAATCCAAATCCGTCAGAACTTTTTTTCCTTCCCTCTCATAGATTAACTGTAAATCTAATTACAGATAAATAATAGTTCAATAGGATATTCATAACATGATCAAGTCTCTCTTTCTATCTCTCTTGTAGTCATTTAATTTAAATCTAATTTAATTTAATTCCTTCATTCTATGTGAGTCTCTCTCTCTCTTACGATAAGTTTTACTTTTTATCAACCAAATCAAATTAATTTTCAATGGACAATTTAAATTTTACAATTGAAAATTAGATGATGAGGTAAAGGAAGATAAATCTTACAAGGTAAATGATTATAATACATTTTCTGAAAATGATAGACTTTCAATGTGATTGATTGAGTGAGAAGGATATTGAAAGTGTTTTTTTTTTCGCAACTTTCTCATATAATATATATTCCCATTCAATTGATACAAATATCATCACAATCATCATCATGGTCATCATTATCATCACCAATATCCTCAATCATTTATGACCCACTCAAGGAAACATTACATCATCATCACAGGTACAGAACTTATTATTAGGTGAAATAAGATGAAGTTAGAATCAGAATTAAATGTTAAACATAAGAATAAGAAAAAAGAATATCAGTTTTTATATGAGATTCTCTTAATGGAACAATAAAAAAGCTCATTTTCTTTTCTTCTTCCTCTTCTTCCCTTGTAATTTTCTTCCATAGACATTTTTCTCTCCATCTCTCACTTGATCAACACACACGCAAGTCGGATACTTGTTTAGGCTCATCATTCATTCATTTAAACACCGAAACCTAATTATCCCTCATCATCATCATCATCATCATCATCTAAGATTAACAAATTATCTTGAATCTTTCACAGTTTGAGAAAAAAAAATCTCTCTCGTTGATTAAGTTATCATTTCTCAACGATTGATGTTACAACCTTTAGGTTAGATTAACATTGGAAATCAAATCAATATGATTAATAATGAGCAAAGGTTTGAACATTGATCAATGGATAACAATTATCATTATCATCAATGAAAATGAGCAACAATAGCAGGATGATGATGAAGATGATTGAAATTTGCAACAATGAAGATGATATTAAATAAGATGCAAAAAGGTAAATGGATTGTATGAAGTTTAAAAAAAAGCAAAAGTAACAGTAGCAGGTAGATGATGATGATGATGGAGATGAAGATGAAGATAATAATAATATCAGGTAGATTTGCTGGTGCCTTGGGATAAAAAAAAAACTATCATGATGATTATTACCAACAATCAATCAGATAATTCAGTAGTTTGGTAGTTAATAGTTTTGTGATGTTGGTTTGTTAGTGGTCAGTGATTGTTGTTAATCTTGACCAAGTAAAGTGTCGATGCGTGATGAATCGTCTTTTGATTGCTCTTTCCTTCAACTAAATGTATGTATTACAAAAGGTAGAGGAAAAAACAACTTGGACTGGTCAGTATTTTCATGACTATCCAATAACAATCAATAACTAATATATTCTCATAATTCTGTTAATTTAATTCTTATGAATTGGCTTCTCTTTTTTTTTGCTTTTTCGTTGGTAATCACTTTTTTCTGCCTCTTCCAACAAACATCTTCATCTCCATCTTCATCTCCATCTTCATCCTCATCATCACCGTCATTATCAGGCTTTCTTTTCAAACTGACCACAACAAAAAAATACATATCTAATAATGGACTCATCTCATTACCTTTATGTTACAATATGATGATTGTTATTATGATGATGATGATGATTAACTTGATGACAAAGATTGAAACATCAATCTAACTAAAAGATAATAACTTGATTTAGAAAAAAAAAGTTTTCGAAAAAAGGAAAAAAAAAACTTTTTTCTGCTTTATGATTTGTTGATTGTTGGTGATCATGATTGTTGATAGATTTTCAATTGCAACCTCAATTGTCATCAGAGTAATAACAGGAAAAAAAGAAACAACAATTTGATGAACATGAAAAGTTTAATTCGTTCAGATCAGTTTAGAACTAATTGAAACATATTCGATATCATTTAAGGTTATCTTTGCTTCTTAACTGTTGAAATTGATCAACACAATTGATACTGTGTCTTAACAATTAAGGTTAAATTGCGACAAAGATCAGAACTAAATTATCTTGATTGTTTCCAATTCTAATGATTATTTGCTATTTTGTTAAATTAATTGTTTTTGGATCAAAATTTCAGATAAAAAGTTTAGTTTTCAAGATGAAAATGTTTCAATTGATTGTTGACATTTTGATTATCAACAATCAAACCATCTTGATTATTAATCATAACTTTTTTTTGCTTCTAATCATTATGATGATTTAATCATAAATCACTGATTTATAATATTATTCCTAGTTTTGATTGATTGACTGATTATTAATTCAATTGTTTAAACAATTGATGATCATCATATTGATCATGAAAATTAATCAATTGTAGGATTGAATCAAATCTAATTTAAACAAATATAAGAAAATTTCAAGGTTCAACAATTAAGTCACAATCAACAAATAAACACACACACACACACACAAATACAGTAGTTAATCATTCATATTAACACCTACAATTAAATGATTATACTAATCATATTTTAACATGACAATTAAATGTTTAAATCGTCATCAACCAATTGGTGATAACAATCAAATCACCCTAATATTATGATAAAAGTTAGGATTAAGTTGATTGTTGTTACTAAATCATCACCATCATCATTTATTATTATTAGTTAACAATCAACAATTAATGACAATGACAATTTGTGTTAATATACAATATATTTAAAGGTAACAATTGATAATTTAAGTAAAAAGAAAACTTTAATTGTGTTAATAAGGTGAGATATCCTTGTCCTTAAAAATCACAATCAAATCTAATTGTACTAATAATATTAACAATCAAACAATTTAAAAACAACAAAATGTAAACAACTAATCTAATAATTGTATTAATATAATTTAATAACATTATCAAGGTTTTTTTTTCTTAATCATTATTATCATGATTAAGTTAATTAACATTGAATAATAATGATGATAATAATATGAGACACGAGATGTATCCATATACCAGTTTATTTGATTGTTACCAATTAAATTGTTAGCCTTTCATTTTCCCCTTCAAACTATTAAGTTAATTATTAAATATTATATCTTATAAGTGAGGTAACAATTTAGAGAGATAGAGAGAGAGAGAGAGAGAGAGAGAGAGAGACAAAATTAATATCATATAATATGTAAACAATTAAATCTAATTGTATTCCAAGTAAACATATTGATTATCATTGATACGCATTCGTTTACAATGTAAACTTTTCAAGTTGATCAGATTTTTTTTTCAATATTTTTCTTCATTTAGATTAACAATTTAATTGTTGTATTAATATATTTATATGAATGAATTGTAACTGTGTGAGTATTTTAGATGATAATAATCAATGAGATAAGATAACAATCAGAAAAGTTTTCAATTATTTTGGGTTTCCTATTATTGTCAACAATTAGGTTGACAATTTAAAACATTTTCAAGATGATGTTGTTTTTTTTTTGTTCAATCTAATTGTTATAATATATTTAAGGTTGATGATTATGATGATGATGTGGTGGATATGATGAATACCCCACACAAGATAAACATACACACAGGGGTGTCCAGTACTATTGAGATGAATTGACCTGAAGAGTGGGTTTTGTTGTTTATGGTGGGATATTTTTACCTGTGTGACTTGTGTTAATATTATATTATACTGATGAATACCCTCCTGGTGTATTATTTTGATCTATGGGGTTTAAGATGTTGCTCCCTGGGGTTAGACAAATTTTTTGTCAAAGAAACACATACCGGAACGATGAAGATGATAAGAGGACAATTTATATTATATTTATGAACAATAAGATGCAAGTTATATTGTTATAATTTACCTTTGTCAATGATCACGATGATGAGTTGATGATGGTTAGTTTTAAGATTAAATCAAAGATATATCATCATCATCATCATCATCATCATCCTGTTGATCGTTATTATCTAGTGGATTAAGTCAAATTAATTGAATCTTTAAGGTAAATTTGATGTTATCCTAAAGGAAAAGTGAAAATATCTCTCTACCTTCATCTTCATCTTCATTATCATTTTTATCGTCAATTCCAATCTCCCCCAGGGTATTTAATCCTTATGTGTCGAGGATGGATGAATATACAGAGATGATGATGAAAAGCTTGAAGGTGAAGGAGTAAAATGATGATCAAAATAAGAGAGAGAGAGAGAGAGAGAGAGAGAGAGAGAGAGAGAGAATAACAATGAATGATAAAAAATCTAAATGAAAAAAAGGTAAGTCTTTAATAAGCTTGTAATGAGATGATGAAAGGAGGAAATTGAGATGATAATATGGTTATGGAAGCAATTGAAATGATGATGATGATAAAAGATGATAATATTTGCCTCTTTCTATCAATTTGTCTTCCTCTGTCTTTGGAGATAACATTTTTCTCTACCTCTCTTTTACCAAACCCCCTCAGGGAATTGATAACAAATTATGTAAATCTTTTCCTCTCCATCATTCATAACTCATCATCTTTATTAAAATAACACTGCAAGTCTTTGATTATGGTATTACAATAATCAATTGTTACCCTTTGTCCCCCACTAAATCAAGTTGATTAGTTGATTTGAGAGTTTTTTTCCCATCTTCTATCATCATTATCCTTAATTATTTCATATCTAAATCAGAGAAACTAAATCTTAATAAGATGATGATGATGCCAATTGATATTATATTCATTTAGCCTGAGGTTATATTTCAAATGTTACATTAATTTTGATCAATGAGAAAGTTTTTTAAAATGTTAACAATTGAAAGTGAATTTTTTTAACGAAAATATTGATTAATTGATCATACCTTTGATTTACCTTTTCGCACATTCAACTTAATTATAAACCACAATTTAGTAAAGTTAATCATCTGTATCAATTATTATGACACGTGAAAGTGTGTGACCATCGGTCAATTGATTGTTAAACTTAACAGTGACCATAAAAGTAACATAATAAATCATTAGTTTATTTACTAAACTGTCATGTAATTGTTATGGTTTCCTAAATTTACTGGACAAATGATCAATGATTATGATGATTACAGTAGCAATTAACAAGCAAGATGATGTTTAATGATAATAATGATGGTAACAATTATAATAAAACCTGAAACAATTAACAATGATTACATTTTAATCATAAGGAAAAATAAACCATCTGCATCGTTAATTAGTAGCAATTGAAAATCTTAATGATGATCTTGATGATGAAGATGATTAAAGGTGGGATCCACGCCTAGCTTATCATCATCATCATCTCATCATCCTAATTCAACGGAAGCTCAAGTTTCTCATCCTAATGTCAAACCTTTTCCTTGATCAAATAATATTATCTTCATCATCTTAAACTCACCACAATCATCACCACCTTCACCTCCCTCCTCATCAATATAATAATTACCAGAATAATTAATGACGATGATGATGATGATGATGATGATAAGGTAAAAGATGAAAACAACAATGATGATAATGGTGAGCAATTGATGAATGGTTGGTTGCCTGTCAACACAAATCATTGATGATAATTCATTGTAATCATAATCAATTTGATTGATACGCCTTAATAGTTATCATCAAGGTTGTATTACAATTATCATTAATATTATTTGTCTTTGGGTTAATTGTAAATAATTTAAGCAAATGCCTCACGCAAGGTTAAATCAAGCAAACCAAATGCTCAATTTAAGATGATGATGATTATCAAGATGATAAAATTATAATTGATATCATTAAGAATCATTAATCTCATTGGTAATATTTATGTAAATCCCTTTAAACAGAAGTAAATTGTCAATAGTTAGTCAATTAGATTTAAATTATCCAACAGATTACAACGTGATTTAAATAATGTTACTAATACTTTTCCAATAACAACAATCAAATATTAATTGTTGCTTATGATTTATTGGTGATAACAACAATCAATGTTTTCTGTATGTTGTTTTATTGTATTGATAATATGATTACTTTGAACACTACAATTAAACAATTTGATCATCATCATTTTTACACTGATAGCAAATTTAATATCAATCACAATTAACTGGACAATTAAGAGATGATGATGATGATAATTGATGATTTATTAAGAGTGTAAATGTGTTGACAATGAGAAAGACAATTATGCTCATTGGAAATCTAATTCTCTTTCTATTTTCTCTTTCTTTTCATCATTTTCAATTCATCATCATCTTCAACAATAATATTATTCACTTCCTTCCCATCATCATCATCATCATCCTCTTCAGTTAAAAAAGTATCATCATCATCACTCCTCCTTCATCCTCCCATCACTTCAGCCCAACCTTATATTGTCTCTCTCTCTCTCTCTCTCTCTCTCTCTCTCTCTCTCTCTTTCTCTGTCTATTTGACTCTCATCTTCACTGTCGATAAAAAATTTCCCCCTTGTTATTGTTATTCCTTTTCCTTGTCTTCTTTCCCTTTTTCTCTTCATCATCCTCATCCTCATCCTCATCATCGTAATTTAATATAGTTTCAACTGAAATGCAAGAAAAAAAAAGTGAACTGAAAAGTTTATGTAAATAGAAGTGAAGAAAAACTTTTCCCTCTTCCTCAATGTTTACTATGCTTTTTTTTCAATGGAAACATTGTCATCATCATCATCAGATGACAAGATGATGATGATGATGGTGATGAACACCAACCAGCCTCCTTTTACCCTCCTCTCTATGGTAAAGAGCATCTCCTTGAAACTGTATTGTGCTGATCAAGTCAAGCTTAAAGTGTGTGTACTTTATATTAGATTGTATTATCATCAATGATTATCATTGATGATAATAAAAAGGTTGACCTACCTTTTAATAACTGTTATTAAATGTGTCAATAACTAGACACTTGGGGATACATATGATTGAAAGTGGGTGGTAAATGAAATAGTCGTTAATTATTTTTTCAAAAGGTTATGTTACAACTTTAGTTAAATATTACAAATGGACACACTTATCAGCCCAATGGTCAATATTTAAATACATTCATCAAATTTACGTATGGGTGGAGTGGTCAGAGGTGGAAGATTGATAAACCTTTGTTTTGTCCACTCTCTCGACAATTAGTATTACCTCTGGTCAAATTTAGATCTCTCATTGATTTTTTTTCTTCTTCTCTTCTTCTTCTTATTCATCTTTCTCTTATAATCTAATTGAGTCTAATTTCAATCTCTATTGTTTGGTGAACTTGTTTCTCTCTATTGTTTAGCTACTTAATATACTAATGACAACATGATGATAATAATCATCAACGGATAAAGGATGAAAATTAAGATGAAGATAAGGATGTAAAAAGTATGATGATGATGTTAATGCAGTGTTCTGGTTCATATTTATCCCGGATTAAGAATCAGTTTGTTTATCAAATTACATTTTTTTCTGAAGTCAATGTTGTTAATCCGATTTAGTTGGTTTCTTATTCATGTTACTTTTTTTCAATAGAAATCAAGTTAATCTCTTTCTTTTATTTTTCTTCTCTCTCTCTCTCTCTCTCTCTCTCTCTCTCTCTCTCTCTCTCTCTGTTATTTTTTGTTTTCATTTCTTTTCTCTCTCTCTCTTCTTTGAACATCCTCAATCATCATCATCATCATTATTATCTTCATCTTTTTGCAACTTATTTCAGCTCCTTTTCAAGCCATTATCAACATCATCCTCATCCTTGACATCTCATCAATTGTGACAAAATTGTAAAGTGTCTAATATTTAATAAGGAATAACACAAATTGAGTAATTTACCAGAAATTGAGAAAATGATTAGAGATGTTTAAGAGTTTACAATAAAGAAATCAAATGATGATTATGATTAGATGAATTCAAATGATATTAAGGAACATCAAAAGTAACGGTAACTTTAATCGACCTTTTTTTTTATTATTTTTCTCTCAGATTAATACAACAACAAATGCACCAACAGAAATTGAATATGCATGGACACCATTCATCAGTCCATAAAGATCGTGATAGAGATCATCATCATCATCATCATCGTGATCGTGATTCTCATTCCCATCATCGATCCTCCCTTTCCGGTAATACAGTTATTAGTCCTTCCTCAGTAGGAACCAATGATACCTCATCTTTACATAGATTCAGCGTTGAATCATTAACCGGTATACGATCATCATCATCACCAAATTCAGAGGGTCATGGCCCGATAAATGGATCAAGGGGCGATGGTGTAAGTGGCTGTAAAAGAGAACCCTTAGATCTAACATCAGATGAAGATGGTTCCCTAGGTAGTTTAGGTGATGGAGATTCAGATGATGATCTTGCAGATATCGACATAGATGATGATGGTAAGTTGAATTCAAATCATCATTTCTCTCTCTCTCTCTCTCTCTCTCTCTCATTTTTGTTTCATCCAATAAATTGAGTAGCAAACTTATCACCATAATAATAATCATTTCCTATTTCCTATTTCCTGTTTCCCCTTTTTATTTTATTCACCTCATCATCTTCCAGATCCTATTGATATTGATGATAAACCAGCATCACCGCCGTTAACTTTTAATCAATCACTAATAAATTTGGAGAAAAATTTAAAAGCCTCTGTAGCCATTGTGGTCAATAATCAGTTGACCGGATCAAAGATTGTGGATAATAAACATTGATGAAATATTAATAATATATAACAATTAACACGCTAATCAATCAATAGATTATCTCTCTTTCTGTAACAATTAACTTCTCATGTATCCCTGAGGTAAACAATTAAGTGGACAAATCATGATAAACAAATCATGGTCATCTCTCTCTCTCTCTCACACACACACTCTCACTACTGCAAAAGCACAAATCATGGCAATTTAATTGAGATCCAATTATAACTTAATTTTGTTTTGTTTGTTTATTTGGTTTATTGGTGATTGAGATAATCAAGAATTGGAACAAAAAAAGAAAGCAAATAATTTAATAATATCTTCTCATTATCCATTGATGATGATGTTACAATTAACTAATAATCAATTGATTGTCCGGTAAACTTTAAAGCAAAGAAAAGGGGAAACCTTTTGTAAACAAATTCTGGAAGTTAAATCAAAACAAAGTCAAAGTGAAATCAGCTGATAATTTATCATCTCCTTTAAAGATGATACAACATTGGAAGATAATTGGAATATCATCTGACCCACTTTTAGAACTTTCTCCTTCATCTCTCTCTCTCTCTCTCTCTCTCTCTCTCTCTAACAATCATGTTCATCATCTTCTTCATCCTCATCATCTTTCTCCTTTATTTTCTTCACATTCTTTTTCGTACTCATCTTTTTATCTTCATATTCATAACTCTTTGCTCTCTCTCTCTTACTCTCTCTCTCTCGCTTCTCTATCATCTTCATCTTCGCTGTCTATATAAATATTGTTACTGTCTGAAAGAGAGAAGAAAACGAAAATTCATCTTTCTTTTCTCTCTGTAAAAAGAAAATCTCATCTTCATCATCAAATTATAAATACAATATAAAGAAAAAAGTTCTAAACAAAAAAAAACAACAAAATCGAACAAAACTTTATTTCTTCTTTTTTATTTTTTCTCTCTCATCTTTTCCATTTTTCTATCTGTTCAATTTTATTTCATCATTTTGAGAATTTGAAATATCGAAAAAGTTGATTCATCACTGAATGTGTGACACTTATCGACCAAATATTACTCAGAATCCAATTCGAGGCAGAATCATGAATATAATCAAGTGAAAAAAAAGTTCTGATGCGCAGTAACCAGAATGATGATTATCCAAACCTATAAAAGAATATCTTCTCTCTCTCTCTCTCTCTCTTTCTACCTTCCTTTCTTCTTCTTCTTCTTCTTCTTCACTTTCTCTTTGTCATCATCATCATCATTCAAGGATATTCATCATTATTACACAATAATAATGGCGCGAGGGTGGGACTGGTGTATGAAGATTAGGTTAACACACATAAATCAAGTGGTTGCAACATTTTCAACTTAAAAAGTTACCCAAACAATTTAATCAAATCAAATAATCTTCAAGTTAATCAGTGACACAAGATGATCATGATTAGTGTAATAATTTATTTACCTTGGCACGCGTATACCAATCAACATGATTATGATTGGGACATAAAAAAATCATGTTAATTGTTAAAGATAATGATTAAGTCTCATAATATGAAATTGCATTTATTATGCTACAATTTAGACAATTGAACATCACCACCAACAAAACATCATCATCATCATCAACAACAACAATCAATGATAATAACAATAATAATGATAATAATGGTGATGATGATGAATAATTAAGCTGATTTGAAAAAAAAGCCATGAACCAAATACTCAGTTAGTATTAAATGATGATCAATTGTTAACACTCATGATGATGATAATGAACAATAAACAAGATGAACAACAAGGAACCAGAATCACAATTGATTTAGAATGAGAATTTATAAAGTTCACTTTCAAAAAGTGTTCATCATGTTCATGGTTCAGTTGATGATCTAGTTTGTTATTTATCTATTTTCTTTCGCTCATCATCAACAACAATCAATGAGAATCAATGGAAAACAATCACCAAACCAACAACAACAATTAAAAATCTCTTACAGGTAAGAGACGAGAAGAAGAGAAAAAAATATAATCAAAATGAATTCGAATTGAAAAGAATTGAAATTTTTCTCGACAATTGATGAATATCTAATTCTCATCTTGTATTCCATTGAATATGAAACATTGATGATGATGGTGATTAAGATGATGAGATATCTCATGCTGTGAAATTGTTTGATTATTATTGTTGATTTAATAATAGTTGAGTTAAAATGATAATAACAATGAGTTGTAACAATTGAATTGACATTAATGGTAGGTGAGCATAGACAAAAACTGAAGGTGATTAATCAATTAAATCTCATACCTTTTTTGGGTATTACAATCAGTAAATTATCAATCAAAATGAGAAGAAAAAAAAAGTTGATTACTTGATGATGGAAGGAAAAAAAAAAGTAATAATCAAACTTTAATCAATAATCTCTTTCTACAGGTAAAGCTTTTTAATTGTTTGCTCATTAATTGACAATTAATGAAAAAGGTTTACCTGTGTTACGAAAATCATCTCATGAATTAACATGGAACTTGAAACTTTTTTTTTCTCAAGTTCCACTTTCATGATTTTAAATTCCAATGGATTGGAACAATTAATTCTCAGATTTGATTGAGTGAAATCTTAATCTCATGTAAAGGATAATTAAGATGATAATAATTAACTCATGTCATCGGCTTTATTTATCTTATATATGTAATTACTTTCGTTACTAATTATGTTCATTGTGATGGATGAATGAGATTACCTGAGTAAAAGGTAAAAAAAGTTATCGTGATAACCAGAAATTTGAAAGCATCCGGTTGATTATGACGATGATTATGATGAAGATGATCATCATTTGTTAATCATCATTGATGGTCAATCATTATCTAAATTTGCTGATGAATTGACAATTCATGTTAATCATCTGGTAATTTTTGTTTAACTTACTAATCACTTTGGTAATCAGTCATTAACGTTTTCCTCTTGATTGTTACAATAATAATGATGTTTGATGAGAAGAAGACTTTTTCAATATAAAGCAAAGATGATTAACTAATGATGATAATGATGAGTTTTAATTGTTAACTTATCAGTTGGACAGTTTTACAATTAATCAGTTTTCCTTTGTGTTAAATATTCAATATCATTTTTTTTTGCAATGAAACTTTTTTTTTCTTGATCATCTTTATTATTATCTCGTGTTTCGTGCTAATTACATGCAAATTATCAGCACGTCATCATCATCATCAGGTAGTTAAATTAACTTTTTATAGGGCTTAACTAGTCACCTGATCTTTAATTGATACTAATCATCGCAATCTATAATAATAATGATCACATGAAGATGATTATTGTTCAATATCAATCGACATCATCATCGATGATAAAATAATGTTACATTTATGTGATCATAATGTTTAAATTGATGATGAAAAGATTATTATTAATTATGATTAAGCCTTTAATTGGTAATGTCAAGGTTAATTATTTAGGTTAACAATGAGATGAAAATTTAAATAATTATTTCACTTTCAATTGGTGAAAATTTTGCTATCAATTTCCGTGGTAATCTACAGGGGTATTCAGCTTAACTATAATTTTCCATGAGGTGAAATTTGGGCAGTAATGAGTTTGAGAGATAATCAATTGTCATAGATTGAAAGATCAAGGGCATTGAGGTCATTTGAGAGCCAAGAAGTAGTAAAGAAGTAAACTTTTAAATAAAAGCATCAAACAAAATCAATTAATCAACTTTGATTGTTGACAACTCTGCATATTCATGATGTTGATTTCCATAATAGTGAAAATCGCAGCCCCATGATTCAATGTCTTGAACTTCTCATCGACACATATCGGAACATGAATGAGCGTGAAGTACGTGTTTCATTTTTATCCTGAAAAATTCAGTAATAACCTTTAGATTTCGAGAATGATTTTATTGGTTTGTAATAGTTCCAGTTTAATTTATACAGGAAAAGTTTCTACTCTTTAAGATAAGGTTACATTGAGGTCATTTATTATGACATTCAAACACGTTGATCCACCAATGACCTTGATCTTTCAAGTCTCGAACCAAAAGACTTATATATTTACTGAGAAAATCGAAGAAAAAAAATCGGTAAGAATAGCTGAAAAGCTCTGAATTGATGAGATGAAGTTTTACTTAATCACATTAATCCAAATTTGATCAACACTTTTAACAGATGCTTATGTGATTTGATTGGTTTTCAATAATCTCAATTTACTCTTGATACTTATCTTAGCATATTATCATAATGAAGGGCATCTTCATCTCTCACTCTCCATCCTAATCATCATCTTGTGTTACCTGTAAAAAAAGTAACAATAATTTTCAAATACAAGGTCCAGTCAAAAGCGATCAAAAACTTTCAAGTGGTTAGTTTCAAAGTGTGAAGATGAAGAAGATGATGATGATGAAGAGAAAAAAAGACCAAGATGATCATTCATCCGTGACTCTCTTTCTTTACTGTCTATATTTGTCTATCTCTTTTTCCATCATCATCATCATCATCATCATCTTCATCTTACTTACCTTTTTTCTCTTGAAAAGAAAAAAAAAACTAATTCAATCAAGTTAAGAAAATTATGTTTGAGTTTCAACAACAAAAGATAATTTGACCAATTATGACCTTCTATCCTTGAAAGGATTTCATCTTCATCTCTCTCTCTCTCTCTCTCTCTCTCTCTCTCTCTCTCTCTCTCTCTCTTTCTTTGAAAGTTTTGCTTATCATCTCGATCATCATTTACCTGATTCCCCTTTTTCTGGCCCTGGGTTTCCTGATACTTACCCATCAACGTTACCTGATTGCTTACCTGGATTTTTATTTATATTTATCAATACACATTTACTGCCTGGTACCATTTGTCCAGTCTAAATAAAACTGACCAACACTTATCAGTACAGTAGTTGTTTATTGTAGACATTGACATCTTAATCCTCTCCTCCTTTTTAAATACAATTAGACTGGACCGTTAATTAACAAATTATATTGGTAACACTTTTTTTTTCCTTCTTAACAATAACTATTACAATCCTTTGATTTACTTGAAGGATTATAAGATTGGATTAGGATTAGATAAAGAGGAAAAGTTTATCCAAGTGTAAAATCAATTTGTAGTTTTTAAGAGAGAGAAACTTTTTCTCTATTGTTACTCTAAGTCAATTAGTGTACAATTATCTGAATTATTAATTAGCACCAAGACAATTAAAGGTATGAGATTATAAGATTAATGGAAAGTGAGACAAAACCAACAACAATTACCAGTCAATCTTTTCATTTTATTGATTGATTTCTTACAATTAAACTTAATCAATCCTCGAACATGATTAATAATCTAACCTATTAATCAATAACAATCAATTGTTTTCTTAACTTTTTTTGTTGTTGTTGATGATTCTCAATGATGATGATGATTGAAATTTACTTTCAATTTCAAATAGTTGATTCAATATGATTTTAACCTTGATAATCAATCAGAATCATCATCATCATATATCATCAATTTGTGTATGTCTACATGTACCTGATTGTATTTGAACACATTAACGTTAATTGTGATAATGATTATTGCAATTAAATTAATTACATTGCATTTCATGTTGTTCATTATTATTATTAATACAAATACTTTATGTGAAAATCATTTTCACTTTAATAATATTGTTATGTTATTTTTCAAATGCTTGTTATTTGATCTTGAAAACTAGTGTGTGTTTGTATTAATGATGATGATGATTAAGATGATGATAACTATTAGTTAAAAGTGGAGCCTTCACTTATCATCATCATCATCTCCTATTCCAAGTGATGAGGATGATGATGATGATGATCAAACAAAAGGAGAGACTACCTTGTAAAGTAAACAAATTGTATTAGATGCAAAATTAAATTTGATTGACTGTATTGTAATCAATGTTGAGAAATTGAATTAAATCAT